CCACTCACCTCGACGTCTTTTACCGCACCGCCCAGCGCCTCAACACGCTGAGCGGCTTCACCGTCAACCTTCCCTCCAACGTCCACTCCTATCAATCGGGAGTTCTCTGCGATCAGCAGCTCGCGCTGCTCCTCATGTGCGCGCTCCCCGACTCCTATCGCGCAGTCAGGGAGCATTTCAACAACGAGGTCAAGGCGGTTGAGAGTCTCTCCCTCGTCGACCTCCGCGATGCCATCTTGCGTCATCAAGCGCAACTCGCGAACTCGCACAAGTCCCCCGGACAACAGTCCAAGGGCAAGCAGCGCACCACTGGCGAACGCCCGTACGAAGGGCCGGTCGCATCCGCGCAACCTGCGCAGGGCGGCAAGCCGAAAGGCAAGCCGCAGTGGTCTCAGCAGCAGCAGCAGGCGGGCCCTTCGGGGCAGCAGCAGCAGCAGTGGCAGCCGAAGCCGAAAGGCCAAGGCTCCAAGCAGAAGAAACGCGGCGGTCGTAACTACGACCGGTCTGGCAAGCGCGACGCGCATGCCGCCGACGGTACGGTGCACTTCGCACAGTCCGCCGACCGCTATGCCCCTGTCGACCAGCGGGAATATTTCCCAGCTCCCAGGGAACTGCCGCCGCCGCCGCCTATGCAGGAATCAGTCCGGGATCCGCGCCTCCTTCCTAACCAGTCGGGGCAGCGTTTCCAAGGGACCGGCGCGCCGAACACCTTCGGCATCCATCAGGCGCTTGATCGCGCACGAGACACGGCTAGCCTTCACGGCTCGATACGCCCGCTCGTCGAGGATGTCCGGACCGAGGTTCAACGCGAGACGCTCGAAGAGCGTCTGAGAGAGGTATCTCCTTCCTCTGGCTATCGTCTTTATCGACAGAGCCTAATCGATGACGTTACTTCTATTTTAGGAGCCATCAATGGAGATTGCCGAGACGCCGCAAGGCAGTCCGACTCCAACCGAGCGGACGATTCAGGAGCCGATAGCTCCCGAAGCGTCTCGCCGGGACCTTCAGATAAGGTTGGCAGAGATGCAGGCACGGAGTCACAACCACCGCTTACGGTATCTAGGTTGGGCCCCAAACCCCTCAGCCGCCGACTGGGGTCTCAGCGACGTCCCGCAACCACCGCCAACGTCGACCTTGTCGACGCCGGCTCATCCACCGAACCCGACGTCAACAGCCTCGAGTTCGGATCAGTCGCCGATGGACTTCCATACGGCACCGAGTTCCTCACAGGCCCAGTCAGCCTCGAGTCAGAGCTACCACACAGCTCCTCGGAACCAGACGTTCTTCGGGCTACCACCCAGCGACGAGTCCAGCGTCGAGGATCTTCCTCCGCGACCCGTTCACCCGGAACCAGTCTCGCCGAACGTATCGGCGGAGACACTCGTGGACCCACCTCCGCGTCCCCTACCGAACTTCCACTGCGACATATGCAGGGGGAGGTACTGCCGAATGCCCGAGGACCACGTCCTACTCAGCTTCGGACTTCGGCTCTCACGAGCCGAGATTCGACGAGTCCGCGAGGCAGACGGGATTCCAACGGGACAGAGACCGAGAGGACTCCAAGCCGATCGCCTAACAGATGCGGCGGGAGAACTCGGGGTACCAAACGAGATATTCGGGTGGCCCAGGAGGAGACAGGAGGAATGGATGAGGGAGCTCACCGAGGTGCGCCGACGCGGCGCATTTCAGGAGCTCATGGAGGCAGACCCGCACGGTCCAACTCGCCACAACCCCGCCGCGATACTCCGTCAGGGTCTACAGCACCCAGGCGCGATAGCCCGCTGGCGCCATCGAGTCCACCACGAGAACGCTCCATTTCACTTGGAGCGAACTCGATCAGCCCCCTCATTGAGGGTTACGGATCGCGATCTGCGACTCCTGAGGCAAGGGAACGCCCATCGGAGGCATACCTGGCCGGCGAACCTGAGGACTACGATGGATGGAGCGACGAGGGCGGAGTAATGGACTCGCTAGAGCGAGCGTACGAGGCAGGCAACCCGTACCTGAACAAATCGTACGTCCCTATCCCCTCTAATGAAGCAAACGCACACGCTGACGGTCACTCGTTGAAACCGTACATAGAACGTAGCGTACTTGTATCATCTAGAGTAGCATTGGACAATGGACACGTTTGCGTTTGCGCATCATCCACCTCTGCATGCACTAAGTGTAAGGGAAAGTCAGAAGCCGGAACAGCCTACTGGCTGCTTGATTCGGGTGCTACGGATCACTACACGTTCGACCGAAATGATTTCGTCGAGATCCAGAAGCTTACCAAGAAACAGCAGTTCCCCGTTAAAACGGCGACCGGCACAACACATGTAACACATAAAGGGACGTGTATGATAAAACACACCGATTCTAAAGGTGTTCAGGTGGTTAGTCGCCTCTACCCGGTTTACCTGATGCCGGAGCTTAACCAGCGATTATTATCGCTGGGGTCATTCTTGAAGGACGGACTGTCTGTATCAGGCAGCGCAGAGACCGTCCTAATCGTCTCCGCCGATGGCACAGAGGAATTCTGTTGCACACGGCGTAACGCTAGCCCTGAGGACACACTCTTCGGGCTCAGAGTCGTCGTGCAAAACGTTGCCGACGCTCAACTTCATTCAGTCTATTACGTTGATTACAACGTTGCCCATCTTCGTTTTGTGCATCCCTCACCAGAGGTATTGTCCAAAATGAGGAAACACGTCACCGGCTATCCACCAGACACGGAGATATTGAGCAAGCCTCTATCGCCGCTGTGTAAGGGATGTGCGGAAGGCAAGATGCCGGACAGGCACTATGCCAGGAACTCTGATCGTGCAGGAAAATTCCTCGATCTTGTTCATTCCGACGTTAAATCCTACCCGACAAAGTCGTTCCACGGACAGCACTATGCGCTGATCCTAATGGACGATCACTCTTCTTACGCATGGGTCTACCTGATATCACTTAAATCCTCAGTGATCAAGTGTGTCAGGGATTGGCTCGCGTTATTGAAAACCCAGTACGGCACTACGCCGAAAACCTGGATGTCGGACTCAGGGGGAGAATACACGTCCAAAGCGTTCTACGACATGTTGTCCGAAAATGGCATAACAAATATGCGGTCAGTACCGCATGTGCCTAAGGAAAACGGTCGAGCAGAACGTCTCATCCACACACTTTCGGACAAGGCGCTCGCTATGTCCAAACAAGCATGCCTGCCGAAATCCTGGTGGTGTTTCGCCGTCATGCACGCAGTCACCGTATACAACCGAACTCCGATGCGCAGACTCGAATGGCAAACGCCATGGCAAGTCGCACGGGGCGAAGTTCCTGACGTCTCCAAGTTCAGAGTCTTCGGATGCGGAGCATACGTTTTCCTACCAGAAGCGTACCGCAAGGATAAATTAGACTCCCATTCCGAACTAATGACGTATATCGGAAATGCGGATGGCGGGCATGGATGGAAATTCATGCGGCGCGATAATTCCACCTTCATCGCTGCCCACGCCGTGTTCGACGAACTAATGTTCCCTCGATGCACAGAACAACCGATCCCTCAAGCCACGCGGATACACATCCCAGCGGCTGAGGATCTCGATCACACGGATCCTCACGTTACGAGTAGTTGGGATCCTATTCTCGCTATTCCGGGAACAAACATTCCCAAACGTAAAGGTTCTTCTTCCAAGCCAAAACCTTCTTATCAGACGCCGAGCTATGATGACGACGGTTATCAATCGGAAGAGAGACCGAGCAGCTCACGCGTCCCGGCTCGTAGGCCAGCACCACAAGTGCAAGCCGCTCCTATTGTACCTCAGGTACCGGCCCCGGCAGGGCTGAGGAGATCAACCCGAGTACCGGTTCCTACCACTCGTCAGGAAAACAATTCCATAGTTGGTGACACAGCTTCCCAACGAGCGCGAGCACAGGATAGGCAGGTGGCCGCGGACCGCCGAACATCTACCTCAAACAGAGGTGGTAGGCGGGGCGGCCAGCCACGACCATCACGAGGACAGGCAAATACGCCAAGCTCTCAGCCACCTTCAGCATCTCAGCCCGGTGCGACTACAGAGCAGTCTGATCCAAGAGATGCACGGCAAAACGATGGACCTGTCGTCCCTCCACGCCACGAGTATGAGGGCGAACTACCGCCCGCCCATGAGCCCCCAATATTACCGGGCATGGATGAGGCCGAATCCGGCCGAGAAGGGGGAGAATCAGTGTCATATGCCTCTCTAATGGCAATGGCCGTTCCTAGCGACTCCGTTCGCGATTGGAAATACGAGGATTTCAAGCGTCTACCAGCCGAACAACGAGCTGAATGGGACGCAGCGCGAGCAGACGAGATGGAGGCTCTTGTCAAGCGCCACGTGTTCGAGATAACCACCTTGCCCAAAGGGCGCAAACTGGTGGAAAGTAGATGGGTCCATGACGTCAAGTCAGATGGACGCAAAAAGGCGCGCATAGTAGCCAAAGGCTTCTCTCAGATCGAAGGAGTCGACTACGAGTTAGTCTTCGCACCAGTTGTCCGATTCGAGACCGTTCGCATCATGCTAGCACTCGCAGCACTAGAGAACTGGCACATAGCAGCTCTTGATGTTCGCAACGCGTACCTCTACGGCGAATTGGAAGAGGAGATCTACATGCGACCGCCGCCGGGCTATGAATTGCCCCCTGGCCAAGTCTACCGACTCTACAAGGCCTTGTATGGCCTTAAACAGGCCGGACGTCAATGGTGGAAAATCCTCCAGGACTCCATGATAGAGTTGGGCTTCGTGCGATTGCAAAGCGACGCCGGAGTCTATGTATACCGTCATTCCAAGACGCGTTGCATAGTTATCGTCTATGTAGACGATGGCCTTTTCTGTAGTAAAGACAGAGCGCTGGTGGAGCAGCTCAAGGCCAAGTTCATGAAGAAGTGGGAATGTCGAGACCTGGGAGAAGTCAGCGAGTTTCTTCGTATGAGGATTCAGCGTAAAGGATCGAAGGTCATCCTAGACCAACGAGACTACCTGCACAAGGTGCTTGAGCGCTGCAAAATGCTAGACTGCCATGCGGTCGCTACTCCACTCCCAGAAGGCTATAACCCTATCCCAAATACGGGTAAGCCAGATCCAGGGCGCACAAAGCGCTACCGTCAGATCATTGGCTCGTTACTCTACCTGACACTCGGAACGCAACCTGACATCTGTTTCGCTGTGAATCAGCTTGCGCAGTTCAGCCAGAACCCGACGGCAGATCATTTGAATCACGCCCTCTATATCTGCAGATATTTGAAGGGAACGTCCAAGTATTCTCTGATCTACGACGGTGTCACTGGTGAAGGACTACACGCGTATGCCGATGCCAGCCACGCAGACGACAAGATCACGCGCGTCTCCACGTCCGGTCACTTCTATAAGCTAGCAAGTGGTGCCATCACATGGACATCACGCAAGCAGAAGTCTGCCGTCGGCAGCACAGTCGAGGCAGAGTACATCGCCATGGCGGGTTGCACCTTACAAGGCAAATGGATCCGCAACATGTTCCTAGAGATGGGTTACGCTATGACGGAACCTACTCTCATCAGCAATGACAATCAGGGCGCAGTTAATAACGCGAACAACCCCATTACCAGTCAACGCACCAAACACATTGACACCGCCTTCCACATTACGCGACAGTATGTCGAAGAAGGACGATTCAGAGTCGAATGGCTGAAAGGGGAGGATAACCCCGCTGATCTTCTTACGAAGAACTTGGGCCGTGTCAAACTTGAAAAGTTCAGGCCCTATTACGGCTTAGTCTTCGACGACGCCAAGTCCTCTATCGTCTAGCACGCTACCACGCACTATTCGAGGGGGAGTGTTGAACGGACTTGATCCGGACTCTATTTACGTACATGACTCATAGTAGTTTAGTAATGCACACAGTGCATCAGTCAGCATACGCTTACTCATACGAGTACTAAATATAGGCAACCAATAGCATAACTAACTCACCTACGTTACATGCGTTACAGTCACAGTCACTCTCTAGTATATATACCAGTACTGTAGCGCTCTCTCAAATACAAGTCTTTCTCTCCTGAACGACTACCATCGCTACCAGCTCTATCAAGCTACAAAGCCTCTAAGCAAACCCAACAGGTGAGTACGTGAAGCCCGATGCGTGCGCTAATGCGCCGCTTCCATTTCACACACAAGACTACGATGTGCAACTCAAGTGCCGATATACAGGGTTATGATACTTTTTCAGATTCGGCTGATCTACTATGGATTCCCACCTTCAAGTTCGCTCAAGCGCTGGACAACGAGATCAGCAGGCCCTCGGGTTTCGAATGCACGATGTTTCCGCAGACTGGCGCTCCTACTGAAACCACGAGTTACTTATCTCAATCTACCGTGCAATACAACAACACCCTCGCACTTTCTGCCGTTGAAGAACTCCAATCAAGACACCCCCAATACTCCCGATACTGCATGTACCCAGAGCATCCTTGGATTTCCATGGCGGTGGTAGTGCTCCTCGCGTCCCTTTTACTCTCGAGTAATTTACCATGGGTGGCCTAATATCTCAGCAAGGACGATCGTCGCCATCCATTGACTCAGAACCAGGATTGTCTCTGAACTCGAGTCCATTCATTTCGATTTGCCTTCAACAAAATGGTTTTTCAATCACCAAGGTTTGTCCCAGTCAAGGAATGTAACAATGTAATCTGATCATCTCGCAATGTGCAGGAGCCGTCTTGACGTGCTCGCCTTAATATCTTCTCAGGAACCTCTCAACATCAAAATGATGTCAAAATTCTGCCAAATATGCTTACTTCGCCACATGATCTTACGTGCACTCAGATTCTCGAAAAAGATCTGTATTAACCTTCAGTTCCTACAATGTTACATGGTATGGCTTACGGCGCTTGCGACTCCCTGCATAATTTCGCGCATGTGTACACTTGTGATTCTGGTTGACACAACGAGTCATTATACCCCTACTCGTTATACACTTATTCTTCATGTTCACCGCGATTAGCTCAATAAAATCACCATTACTTTGTAAAAGTGGGCGTCGAATCCGACGGTAAGTTTCAGTAACGTGGAAGCTCAGCCAACACACTCGCCAGCACAATCTTGTGTTTCTCTCCCATATTATAGAAATGGGGAGAGGATTTCGTGATCATTGTGTCCACTAGCACATGCATGGTTGTATATGTTCGATTCTTACAGCACCAAAAGCGTCAGCATCATGATTGCAATATCTTTCTTGGACTTGCTTGACCTTTGGACCTATGCGAAGTGTGAACGTTGGCAAAGTTACGTAGGCCTGACCAGTTATCCTCACAGTAGACGAGTGTTTGAAGCAGCCCCAGCTTAGTCCAAACCAATGCCTACATGAATCCCTCTTTGGTTCCTTTCCTATGTCTACAAGTGATCACTTCCACCAAGCAGTGTTCCATCGTCCGCCTGAATTTAATAACGTCCATGTGCTGACAAGTCTACTTGCATGGCATGCAGCAAGTCCGTAGATTTTCGAATGTAGATAGTTGGTGGACAAAGCTCGAGAGGTGTCAGCCGTCCGCAGGTTACAGATAGCCCTTCGAGTCCGCACAGCGTTGTCTGCAAATCAATGGTCTGCGATGCTTATGCCCCGTCCGCTGGTGAAGGTTACGATACCTACGCACAAATGGACGTGTTTTCCATTGTCTTCATATATCTGTGATGTCTAAAGAGACTGCGTTATCACCACAAATTAAACATTGCAGAATATTACGGTACAATCATGGGTGGATAGAAAGTAGAGCGTTGCCTTTGAGTGGCTCGCAACATGTTATAACGTTACAATACAGCTGTACATCTCAAGGTCTGTGGACGTGTCCGCTGCTCGTCACCCTGCAGACGATATGCCGGTCCGCTGCTCCAGATCCAATACCTGTTCCCTCTGCATCTGTCCACATCCACTGGAAGATATAAAAGCGAGCCTCTTACTATGAGTACCTGTTCTATATACCCAGGTCAAAATACGAGATGGCATCAACTAGCTCCTTGAAACGCTATCCTTGCCCCCAAGAAGGTTGTGGCTTCAGATGCGATCAGCGTACCGCTTTGGTTACTCACTGGAACGCAAAGCAGTCAGTCTTCCTCTTCAACCGGTATTTGTTAACTATCTGACACTTCTTCCCTTCCTTCTTAGTGCTGGAAACAAGCCCCACGTCTGCCCGGACTGCGGATTCGCGATGGCGGATCCCTCAGCACTCACAAAACACAGAAAGAGGATTCATGAATATATACCTCAGCGGCGCGGACCTCTTCCCAAAGCTACCTCAAGCTCCATCGAAGCTCCTGTTGAGATACATGTTCAATGTAACACGTGCCAAGATATATTTCCCCCTGCAAAAGAGGAACATGAGGCCACCATGTTCGATACCTGCTTCAAAGCTGTGATGGAAGGTACTTTTGCCAAATATAAATGCAGAGTGATGGTGCTCTAACTTTTAATTGAAGAATTCTTGAATGAGTTGGGCAGTAAAAATGATTGAAGGTCTTTCGGATTCATTTACGATGTTATATTTATGAAAGCCACCTTTACCTGAGCATGTATTACTACGAATCGCGTATGATTACATTGCTTTGCTGGCCATACGTGCTCCGTGATCGAATCACTTAGTTGTTAAGGCACAAGCCATGGGTTTGAAGGTGATAGTGAGCCCGTACTTGCGATCGCCCGGGACAGTCTGGACGCCTGGACGCCACAATGGCGCTCGCTCTGCACAGCCACAACCCATGCGCGCAAGTCCCGGCGTCAACCGTTCGTTGGGGGATAGTAGCCTCCTGGAGGTCGCGCTGTAGGATAATTACAGGTCAGGCCAGTACGTTCTCAGATTTCTGTGTGTGTCATCGTTAACGCGTAATCTATACTCTATTATGTCAAGCGTGTTATGTGAACCATGGTCGCGCTGTGTGGTAACTTTTCCCAAGACGCACGCAGAGATGTAGGATATGGTGCTATGATCGAAGAGGACCTGCTGAGTTATTCTAACTTGGGCTAATTGCCGGGAAATCCCCGGAGTGTGGCCATATGATTGAGATATGCTGAAATCACTTCACAACAGCTCAGGATTACATTGCATGGCAATGGGACCCTTCGGTTACTGTCATAGCTATTTTATACGATTGCCATGAGATCGAGAGCAACCCTTCGATGAAAATCACCCTCGTCCAATGTGATGATTTCGATGTTGAGGTCGCTTTACATCGGAGACTGCAAAACTATCTAAATAGGAAAACATGTCAAAACCTGTTTGGCTTTTCCCGACATATCTGAGGGTTCACCATCGTCATGAAAGATATGATTCACCTGATGGATCTGGTCTAGTAGAGTTCATTGGTGTCATACGACCAAAATTCAGGCTATTTACTGTTCAAGCCCCTATATCTAACGCTAGACCAAAGATAGTTATGGAAAACCGAGCTCAATGAACGTTGAAAACATCTTCCCGCTCTCGAACATAAGCGGGACCATAGCTATCCAATGAAAAGCAAGCATCCTTGCGGCGGCGGCGTCTTCGTTGATAGATTAAGATTTGCATGATAACACAAGGTTTCGTGCACCCCGCCGTTGCCTCGCCGTTTGACTTTACCGTCAAGATCAAGTACGCTGGCGATAAGGATTGAGCTGAGAAGGGATGCACGCTGTGGCGCAGTGGCCGGTATTACTGCCGGCGGCACATACTGACATTTAACGTGAAAGTTAACGTAATGAAACGCATGGAGAACGGTGCATCGTCGCCGTGCCTGCAAGCTTAAACGCTGTCTCGGAACTTAGGTGCGACCACGCCATTGGTTGGACGGACAACGTAAAGGAAGCGTCTAGATCATCTGTGATAAGTCTATCTTCACAAAAAGAGGCTGCGAGGCAACTTGGCGTGAGCCAATGAAATATGGGCTAAGCCCGCCTTTGCACGAGTATCCGTTGATCATCTGATAAAACAAGGTCCCCGCTTTCACATCTCAAGCCGCAGATGGTCACAACCAAAGTGGATGCACATTGCATCGTTCTGGCCAAGGAAGATCTAGTCGGTTTTAGGATATATCATGCAGAATGTGGGCGGCATGGAAGGATTACCCTCGTAGTACGCTGGCAATTAACCCAAGTAGAGCAGCGATAGCAGTTTAAACTCATCCCCATCGCGCAAATAACCTATACAATTGATCGCCGCTAGAAGAGAAGCGCAAAAATCCGATACCGGTATGATCAACTGAATAGGGGAGGGTCCCAACATCTTGCGTGTCAATGAACAAGTCAATCACCAGACTGCCCAAGAAGTTTTGGGTTGAATCGTAGGTTAGCTACGGGAGTGGCACAGAAGACGGGATAAACGAACAAGGAAACTATATCTTAGCATAAACGGCAGCAGCTCCTGTAGGATGATTGGAAGAAACACGATGGCGCAAGGGAGGATGGTATGTCACACAGCGGGCATATACGAGTGTGGAACGCGCCAGAAGAGCGGATGAGAACAAAGAAGCAATGGAGAAGAGATACAGAATCACGAGAACCTGGCCAGACATAAGACATAATTTACTTCACAGGCACCGCTCCTTCGCGCAAGACAAACGAGCCACAGGGGCGGGCCTGGTGGGGAAAGGAACGCGCACACATCGCGAAAGGAAGATGGTGCAAGGTTGCTCCACCATTCGTCAGCTTCGTCCTTGGCGCCAGCAATGGTTTTTGTCTTGAGTTTGAAACGGCATCAGAAACCGTCAGAACGCGAATGCCAGTCCAATATCATGTACCGCAGGCAGAGGTGGAACAAGATGTTCGGGAAATCAAGCGAGCTTCATCCGTGGTGAATGACATGTCATCCATGCTTGCTCCATATCGGGGACGCTGCGAACATCGTCGGAATCCTTTGATGGTGTGCGCCCATGTCCATCGATATGCTCGGCGGGGAACCCAGCCCAAGTCCATACTGGACGCTCCCGTCACCTCGAGCCGCTGCATCACGCCGCCCAGCATTCCCGGGAACGCCATAGTGTGCACCGCCACCAACACCGCCCCCGATGACGCCAGGATTCGCTGTCATAAAGGCAGGATCAGAGAATGTAAGCGGCGAGCCCGACGGTGGACTCTTCTGTGCCATGAAAGGGGAACTCAGAGGAAGGCGTGCGGGTGATACTGCCTCTGCATTTTGAGCAGGAGGCCACCCAGGTGGAGCGAGATCGGGGCGAGGTGGGCTAAGCGCAGAAGGGTGTAAGCCGGGAGCACTGGGGATTCCGGAGGAATAGTGCGTGTTGGCGCCCGTGGAGAATGACCGGTGTCGGCCAGGCGGGCTGAGAAGGTTATTACTGGATAGAGGGACGTTCTGGGGAGGAGATCGGAGGGGCGAGGAGGCAAATCTTGTACTCTGTTGCTGCTGTTGCTGCTGTTGCTGCTGGCCAACGGGGCCATTCTGCGTCGACTCGAATGCTGGCGCCCAGATTGACTGCTGAGGCTGAGACTGAGAAGGTGAATGCGAGTATGACATAGTATGAGTATGTCCTAGCCCAAGACCGGGGTGACCCTGCCTCAGCGCGCCATATCCATGCCCGCGGGGACTCTGACCAACGCTCGTGTTTGCGGAATGATGAGGCACGCCACCAAGTCCTGTCGACGGCGATCCTCCGCCGCCCAAGGAGACCGACCAGATATTCTGCTGGCCTGCGATGCTTGGCTCTCCCCAAATCCCTCCCCGAGGTGGTGAATTCGGTGGTGGAAGAGCGTGGCTGTGCTGCTCTACTCCCATACTGTTTCTGGACAAACCGAGACCCATGACGTTATTTAACAAGTCTTCAGCCGTCGTACCAGAAGGGGGACGGCCATGCATGTTACTCGACCGTGACGACATAGAAAGCATCGCAGGCATGTCCGCTGCATCCGCCTGTCCGAACGACAAGCTCGCAACGCGAGCGTGTGGAGTCTTCGGGCTGAGCATAGGTGATATCGGCGACTGCGGATGCGAGCGATCCTGCACGGCAATTTGAGGAGAGATCGTCGTTCTAATGGGAATACGTGCGTCAGCATACAACCTTGAAGGATCTTACCATAGAAACTGAAAAAAGGCACACCTTGGGTCCCATACAATCTCATCCTCTTCGTCCATAATCATCTCCTCGTCCGTGCTGATGACTGAACTACGGTCTACGGCCGCGCTTATGGCCTCCCTGATGATATCTTCGTCCGTCCGGTTTGTCATTGCGTCCTCATCGGCGCTGACAGCGGTGCCCGCGCGCACCGGGAAAACCTGCCATGGGTCGTCCGAGTATAGACCAGCACCTTTGTTCTTCTGAACCGGTCCTTGGGCCCGTGCACCATTGGGCTTCAGGCCAGATATCGCGTTGACCGGCAAACGCTCGGTTGCACTGACACCAGTGCCGTTGCTGATGTTATTCGTAGAGTGATTCGCGCGGTATACATTGTCGACGGACGTATATGCGGTGGCAAACGTGCGGCCTTGCAGCGTGACGGGGGAGTTCTGCGAAATTTCGGAGGAACACATCCAACAGCGACCGAGGACCGACAGCACGGATGACAATGAGTGATGGAAAAAAGTAAGGTTGAGATGAGAGATGCGCTCAGCATATGAAACCCATAGAAGTACAAATGGATGAGACTAACCTCCATCTCGGCCACCTTCTCCGCATCACTGAGAAGGTCCCATATGCGCATCAACATCTCATCGTTTGGGTGACGTCCCTCCTTGCGCCCGATAACACCGGCACCAGCCTCGCCGACAGCTTCTTCTCCGTACATCAGCCCGCGAAGCGGTAAAAATCCTCGCATGTCGACGTCCTCTTCGAGGGGCGTGTCAAGAGCCTTGAGCCGGCACATCGGGAAAGCTCCCGCGAGTGCGGTGAAGAAACGCGCATACGTGGCCCAGAAGGACGACACGCTCGCGCTCGAAAGCATGGCGTTCTTATCGCCCTTGCTTCCCTTACCTCCCTTCCCGCCTTTGCCGTGGTCGGCGGCGGTGCCACTCCGCCTTTCGCCCCCGTTCTCCACGGGTGACGAGGTGTGCTGAACAACATATTTCCCATTCGCAACTAACCACTTGTTGGCGATCCGCAGAGCAGGGAGCGTCCGACGGAACGTCGCAGTGATGAGCTGAGCTAGATCATCCGCTGCAGCATCGTCAGGTGGAGCCTCGGCGAGCTCGGCGATGCCAACCCGGAGGAGTGCACGGTGCATGTCGAGGACATGAGTCGCGATCCGGGATTCAATTTCGTGGGGTGGAGGCTGTGTATAGTTTGAGCTCGAACCCGAGGAAGCTGGTGCGTTTGGACTGGCGCCGGCGTGACGGCTTCCGCCTGTGGTGGCCGCCGCAGCAGCAACGGCGGGATCGCGAATCATCCGATGCTTCCAGAGTGCACCCTGGGCGAGGATAATCACTTTCGAGACGACCTCGGTGAGAAGGTGTCTCTCCGAGACGAGAGACGCGAATTCATCTGCGATGCCAGAAGCAGGCACGTGACGGGAGAATCTATAGGATCATATGCTCAGGAATTATAGCACAGGAAATGTCAAACAGACCCACTTGTCACTCGAAAGTTGCCACGATGCATGAAGCAAAACAAGCTGTTCCTTAAACTGCTCTAGGCGCACCGGCACCGGCACTGGCGCAGGCGCCGCCACATCTGACACTCCCCCGTCCTTGACCAACTTGTGCCGACCTGAGTCGCGCCAAAGCTTCAGCTGTTTGGAGAGTAGTACCCGCATATTGTCCGCGGCAGTTTCGAATGGACGGCGCACGCAGAGCGCCTTGTAGTGGTGGTAGAGCGAAGTGAACCAGTCGCGCTGGTACTGCGCCAGGATCGCAAGCTGATTCGAGGGATTACCCTCGCTGGGCACGAGAAGCCGAGCCTGCTCGTAGAACGCAATAGCGCGCGAATAGTCACGCGCCCGAGCCACGTTGTCCAGGCTCCCGCCGCCAGCGCCACTTTGGCTGCCACCACCGCCGCCGCCGCCGCCGCCACGTCTTCGGTTGCGCCCACGTCGAGCGGGGGCGTTGTCTTCGTGACCCGCCTTGGGCCGACCGCCGGACTCGTTGTAGAGTTCGCGGTAACGCGCGAGGTCACCAAGATAAACGAGCGCCTTGCTTAGATCGGCAATTCGGCTGGCGCGCTCGGCGGCACTCTGCGGCGCGGGCGGTGAACTGTCCTCTGGTGGGAAATGGTTTTGGCTGCGTCCGCCCCCACCCCCGCCTCCTCTACCTCCGCCTCCGCTCCCTCTGCTCTCTCTGCCCCCATCAACACTCTCGGTGGTACCGTCGTGTTGGGCCTGATGCGCTTCGGTGCTGACGACAACCACATCGGGAAGTTGGGCGTGGGCAGTGCTGTTGCTAGTCTCGGGCGGCGAGTCTGTGAGAATACCGAGTGTGGCAAGCGCCGTTGCGGCTTCCTGGAGCGCGAACGAGCGGAAGCACCTCGCGACGAAGGCTGTCCAGAACTTCTCCTCCGTCGCGAGGAACTGGCGGAACCGCTGCATGAGCTTGCGGTACTCGACGGGGCCATGGTTCCCCTGCGCATGGCCCTGGCGAGGCCCGCTTCCGGTGCTGCTGACGTTGTTGTGGGTGGTGCGAGGTGCGGACTGGAGGATGTGGTCGAGGGCTTTGAGACGGTCGCGGTAGGTGGAGATGAACTGGTGGGATGTTTGCATCCATAGGCGCGTTTGGGCGTCGCGGGATTCGGGGTCGGATGGGTGGACGAGGATGAGGCGGAGGTAGTGTCGGCGTAGGCTACAGTGCCAGACAACGAAGGTTCATAAGCGTTGGTGTTGGGAGGTGGGATGGGAGGGAGAGGGGCGTCAACGGGGGAGGGAGTGCGTACTTGTTGCGCTGAAACTCGACTTCACGATCCCATGGATCAAGTTTCCGAATGAGCTCCTTGAGGCCCTGGTGAAGGCCTGAGGCTTCTCTACGGTACAGAAGGAAGTGAAATGGACGTCAGTCATCGAGCTCGAAGCGCATGGGCAGGGATGAGATGTAGGGGGCGGATACTGAGGCGATAGACGCACCTTGCTATATGCGAAGCAGACTCTGCCATTGTTGTACGATGAGTAGTGTGTGTGTTCTTCTGGCGTGGTCTATGGCCTCATCATCGTTTCGTGTGTTGACGAGTCTTGGCTGGGAGCAGCTGGACGTCGAGCAAGGCGTTTGGACGCTCGAGAAATGGGTCGGAGGCAGGTGCGCGTGGGAAGCTCCTGCCTCCCCTGTTTCTCCTCTTTCCCCCTTCGTCTTTACCGCCGTTCCGCGCATACAGTCACCGTCAGCGACAGCCGTCGCCATTGTCCTCTGCTATACACCTTGTCTGATAAGACCTGCATCTGCTTTCATATCTAGCTGCGCAACAAAGTCCGTTGTCTCACTTCGAAAATCCGACAATTCCGACAACGCCATTTGTACCTTTCGGAAACATGAGGAGGGCCGTAGGCTTGGCCTTTCCGTCATGACATTCCACCTGGACAGGTGATCAACACATGCTGCCTGATACCCTCGATGCTACCACTGATTCAATTGAAGCTAACGCCGAACCATCCGTAGACTTTGCGCCTGGCTGCCTATGCTGCCCAGCACATGCCAGTTCTCTATCACTTGCAACGGGCCGCGACGAGCCAAACAGGATACATGTCCTGTCAGCTCCTGTCAATCGATGCAGCGTGCATGAAGCACAGCACATTTTTGTCCCCATCCGTTGCTTCTGTTGCCCTTTTTCTTCCTCAAGTCTTTCCGCTCGAGCTGGCATAAACATGTTGATCCATTTTCCTCCGCGGCACGGACCTTTACGTACGGCAGCGCTGGGGTTCTTCCGGGAAACTATACCTCCCTTCTCCCCGTCGACTTCTCCGCAGCCGAAGACACCCAAAATTTAGGTTGGTTTTCAATGCTACTCGAACCTTCTCAGAGCATTCGCAAGGATACTGCCGCCGCTATGTCAATCAATACGAACCGTCACATCGGCATTTCCGCTGGCGTTCTCCCAAAGGGGTCTAAACCAGAAACGGACCTATCTCACTGTATTCCGCACATAATTGTTTAGTTCTGTCATGACATGCGGGAAATCGACGAGCGACTGACCGCAGCCCTTGGATCGCCTCGCTGCATATGCCGTCTCATATTGTTTCGGTCAAAAGACCATCTCAGCCTTAATGATCAACTACAACCTATCCTAGCTGCACTTCCTGGTACAGCTATTACATAGTGTAGGTTCACTGATTTCACCCTCGAATGAGGTTCAATCAATGTCAATGCAGCTAGTCCTTACCCGATACGTAGCCGTGTCCTTGCCCGTTGAGCATCACATATTGAACGTAGCCATTTCAAGTCTATTCTTCATCCGTGATGCATCGTCTAGACTTTCGACGCGCACATCCTACAGTGTAGCCAACCCTCTTTCATGTTATCACGCATCTGGGTTTACTTACTAGCGACTCTGATGATGCACGCGTCGTTGACCGTATCCGCGGGCTGGTCATTCACAGTCCCATCAATTATGACTCCGCCTGATTGTATGGTCAATTGAGCGTCGGGCCTTCGCTGAGCTCGAAGCCTGCAGCAAGGCGCACCTTCTTTCCCGCCCGGAGGCTGATCGCGAAGGAATTTGTAATATGCTGAGTTACACATCTCTCATTGAATACTGAGTCCGGCTTATAATATACACGATATGATCTGTTCCCTGTATGTTCTAATGGGAGGCACCACGGCGGCACGCAGCGTTCGTGCTCTCGCCCTTTTCACTAATTGTACGTTTATTGCTGTAGAGCTGTGCATTCGAGTGACGGGGGATAACGTTCGTTTGAAAGCCTCGACCCGTGCCTATGATCCAGTCCAAGGTACCCGCGAAGTCACGAGTTACGGCAAGATGCCGACTTGGGCGCCAGGCGGGGGCGGGGGATCGCCGTTGTGGGCGCTGTGTCTATTGCCCGTCAGGACGCTCCTTAAGAACAAAAGCCTAGCTAGCGACGCGGGAGAATGGAGCCCGAGAACCTCGATCATTACCCGAGCGGAAGGGAGCTTTTCATAGAGTAGAATGATCCTGAGCTACTATAGCCGACCGAATAATCGGCCATTTATGCATCGTCGATGAAGCCCCCTGATCAAATGAGAACGTCCTTGGTGTGGCCGACAATGAGGACGAAGGAAATGAAGAAGAGAAGAGAAGGCAAAAAGAGGGCCAATGGGGCCAACTCTATTGTAAGCTCTAGGTCGAGAGACCACCTACTCGAGCACTGCTTCACCGAGCAGAGGCTCAGGGTCCGAAGCCATACTAAAAGTAGTTGCAGTTGCACGTAGACACGTATTATCGGACAGAAGCTTTATGGAGATTACTTCCGCGGGATGACGAAGGAGGTACCTGGATAGCTGCGGAGGCGTAGCCTTCGAAATCTAGAGCCCATGCCCGTGGAGGGGTGCGAAGTATCAGTGCCCTCGGTCGAGCCAGACTCTTGGGAGATTGTGTGTGAGTGTGGACACTATACATGTCGCAGAACTGGCGGAAACGGGTGTATCGCGCGTTTAATTGACAGAAAGAGGCATTGCTCGACGTAAGGACCCTAGTTCATTAGATTTACACACCGAAGTGACAGGCCTTCTTCTTGTCACCGAGGAAGTGTCTGAAGGTATAGGGAGACGTTGGCCTTGAAGATGATAGCGGCGCCCTACAGCAAATGTAAAATGGGCCGACGCGTGTTAGTCGGGCGAGGAAGCGGACCTCTGAATTATTGATCAACTTTCATTAGTCCCACATTAGCTAACCCGGCGCCGGATCGCTACTAGGAAAAAGCTGGTGCTGCCAACAATTACTCGTACTTGCGGTAAACCGTATACCAGCAACGCATATGAACAGGCTGAACAGCGTCTGTGTACCTTTTTCTGTAGTCCTAGACGTTCCCGCAAGGCGCGGTCTGGATGGCGAGCCGCAGAGACTGTGAGATCAGGTTAATTAGCACTATTTGGGATAGATTGCCCCTCGGCTACTTTGACCGCGCGTCTGCGTGTCGCGCGTGTGCATGCCACCTTGTCTCCTCCAGCCAACCAGGCTTAGCCTCCCCTTACCCTTCTTCTGACTCGAGTTAACTCAGACAAAACTCAGCTCGCTCTTCACCAATCTGGGATATATGCGGTCTTCCTGCCACGCTAGGACCCCCGCAACGATAGGAACGAGATAGCAGAGGAGGGCAGCTCAGAGGGGCAGGCACGTACACAGAGGCGCCCAACATGCGTTCGCCTTCAAGAAGTGGTCAGTCAAAAAGTGATCTAGAGTCATGTCGCCCGAACAAACGTTGAAACGTTGATGTCACGGTCGACATCATATATAGCGTCTGACGAAGATCCCGGCGAGATCGTCCCTCGTTGACAATCCCCTCCGAAATCAAGCGAATCGGCGAAATCTGGGATCTGGAGCACCCGAGAAAATAACTGAAAATCGGATCGGGCTTTTGTCCCCCAAGCCATGGCCCAATGGAAAGAAGGACGGACGTCGGACGAGACTTCTTTCAATCTGCCCGGATATGTCGACGCCTAGATGGCATCATAAGCGTATTATGCATCATGGCCTCAAGCTCAGCTGTGTATGTAAGCCCGTCACACATAGTCCTCTTCCTCCCCTCCATTTTACTTTTCCCCGACCCTTTCGACCTCTCCCCCGTTCCGGCCCCCCTTTTGTCACTTACCTTTCCTCCGGGATCTCATTGCCTCTTCTCTTCTCCAATTAGGCTCGAGCTTCCCTGTTCCCGGTTAAGCGTCTCGATCCCATCTCCCTTGGCTGGCCCTCATAAAACGCCGTGAGGACTATATAAGACATCCACACTCGTCTTGTACTCGGTCATCCTCCTCCCATTTGCCTCTCCGGGCTCTAATCGGTACACGTCGCGTCGCGTCACGCATATCAATACCCATACCAGCACCTCATACCCTTTCGTCACACATCTCAACACTCACCTTAGTGGCACCACATCTTCATCGTCGGCCCCACTCCTGACGTGACACACCAACACCACATCACCCTTACCGACTCCACGCACGCATCCTCGAACAAGCACCCCCACCATGCCGCCCTTCTTCGAGATCGCCGTCGCCCGCTTCGGCCAGTCACCCTCAAGCGTCTCATGGGCCATCGCCGTTGTCTTCACACCCGCTACCGGCCACGCCATGCTCTACAAGCTCTCCTCCCCATCCTCATCCTCATCATCGCCCGCTTCCTCACCCATGTCACCAACAAGTCCCGGCGGTTCCCTGGCACTGGACATGCCCCAGTCCGTCACGCTCCGCGAAGGCGCGGACGAATACTGGGGGCGCGTCACCGTCGGTCGCGTAGACGCGGACCGGATGCCGCAGTTCAGCAAGGTGCTCATGGAGCTCCCTGTGCCCTCGCCGTCGAGTAGCAGCAATCCGGGCGAGCCGGTGTGCCGCCGGTGGGTCGCAGACGCGCTCGCGGCCCTGCGGGAGGACGGGCACTTTGTCGAGAAGCACGTGACGAAGCAGTGGCTGGTCGAGAAGATGGGCAAGTGAGCGGACGGTGGCAGATGTTTTTATCTTGGAGGAAGGCGGGGTGCGCGGATGTCACATAGACATGCAGGCTTGTTGCTCGTCCGCATCGCTCCATGTTTCGTGCGAGGCGTGTATGGACGATGCTGGTGCTTGTGAGCGCGTGCGTTCCGCGATGGACGATCCGAACCGAGGCTTTTCTCGGTGTAGTGTGTGGAGTGGCACTGGGCGCGGACGAGAGGGGGTTAGCAGGCACTGGTGCATGACGATTTGGACATGACAGTTTGGATATACCGGCTTCTGCGAAAGTGGATACATACAAACAATACCACTTACCACAAACCACCAAAACATGACCTCTCTAGATCTTCCCTCGTATACGCAGATAGGAGAACGCACATTGGCTACGTAACTTAGAGCACACTCATCCAGGCACTGTACTCCATGCATTACCATTCTATACCACGAACAAACCCCTGCGAATCTTCTCTCGATCTCATACTTCACTGTGGACTTTTTTCTCTCGAGTTCATCGTTACTTCAATCTACAATATCTATAGACTGTCATTTCCGCTCAAATATCTCTCGCGGTCTCTTCGCTTTCGAGAGAGTAGCAATACTACATCTATTCTCGCGTCATCCCACTGACAATACTTCGTCATTCGCACATCTCTCGTAGCCATGTAGGTCACACAGTCGCTCTTCTTCACAAGGTCGCAGCACGGCCAGATCCGTGACTTGGCTTTCCACACGGCAACCTCCGTATGAAGTAACGTAAGTCGTACACACTGCACATCGCAGTACGTGCGATGTTGGCATGTGCTCGCGCTGGCGGCACATACTATCAGCTCGATATTTTCCTAATTTTGTACTCGGCCGTGCAATCACGCAGAATTCATATGCATGAGACTTATAGGGACTCGGATACTCCGACATATACATAGATACTTAAGCGTGCTGATAAGGTGTGAGTCCGATGCGAGGTGTACGCATGCTTCTTGCGCGTACGCGACGACGCACCCAACGTATCCCCCGGGCAACCGTGGCCAAATCGACATAACGAGGCGGGGGTTAATCAGGCCCAGGGACGTGTAGCTAGGCTGGTCAACGTGTATGAATTGTTCAATCAGGTTCCGGTGCATGTATGTAGCCTAAATTCGCCAAAATTATTGCAGCCGGAGGGTTCTCAAAAGTCGAGCTTCTCCATGTCGCATACTTATGCCAAACTTATCAACAGTTCAAAGTTAGGTGCGGAGCATACGCTGAAAAGCAGACAGCGTGAGTGCCCCGCGACGATGGCCACGGAAGGTTATATGCATATAACCTTGAGCCAGGGCACGCTTCGCGGGGGCTTTTTCGCGACTGCTGCTCTCCCTCGCTTTTGCTTCTTTGTCCGTATCCCTGGGTCTCCGGGTGGGTGGAGAGTGGAAAGACGACCCTCCGGGGCGGAGAGATGTGGGTGCTCGCTCCCTCGCATGGGGATATGGCTCAGCCGTTTGTGGTGGTGCATAAAGATAGCATGCTCATCGCCGTGTTCCCGACGGCTTTCCTTTCTGGAGCAATATTCGAGGCCGCCGGTAGAATGAATGACGAGTGAAACACGTAGCTGGTCTGAGGATACTGCGGGTTTGTCTTAATGGTGGTGATATTACATGCATATTTCTGCGCGGTGTGGTTGTACAGGCTGCATGCGGACATGATGGCAAGATTAGCTTCGCGATAGGTTATGGCATCGTCACCAAAGGTATCCACTCGGTTTGCTAAACGCGCCGCTAATTACTTACGCGTTATACGCGTGCCCGCAGACCTACGCGGGAAGCGCGATGGGATCTACGCGGCGTGCACCAAGGGCCAAGGTCTAAGATAGACGGCGACCTGCTTTACTCCCATGGCTTTTTGCGAACGGGCGCACTCGATTGGCTTGGTGCGCCTTCCTGGAGATGCAGGTGCCGCTGTTAGAACACGCACAGAAAAGAAGTAGTGAAAACGAATCGCGTACGTGGATCACGTCAGGAATGACCTTGTTATTCGGTATGCCATCCGTCTTCCCTTCCTCAATGAGCGCCTTGAGCTCTGCGAAAGTGAGCGCACGTTCTTCCCCCGTGTCTCTCCCTTCCGGACCGCCCTGATGCTGGTGCGGTTCCGAGCCAACCTGCTGGGCCGAAGCCTCCGAGCCAGTGGAAGCGGCAGTGGTACCATCAAAACCTGCAGCAGGTGATATGTGGTTTCGAGCCGACGCTACCGCCGCTTCGTGCGCCTGGATGTCCTCCAGGGTGAGAGAAGTCCCAAAGTTTCTACGTAAGGATTGATTAAGGTTGTTTGATCGTACAAGCCAAATCATTGCCACCCGTCATCACATAACCCGGGTAAGTGCGAGATCTGGGCAAGAAAAAGGTGAGATACTGACCTGTTGAAGTAGAAGAGCTCAGCGCGCCGGCGGAGCTCGGCCTTTTCCGCGTCAGATTTGCCTGCGAGGATGTCGTCGGTGAGAATGGCCGAGAGGCCTTGCTGCATCGGGCAGATCGGGGCGATGCACGTTTATGAACGTTTGTTGACAATGTGCACGGTATGGCGTGCCAGGGGGAAAGTGGAAACGTTATTTGGCAAAAAGGGATGGTGTGTGGGTGCGTGTGCGCGTCATGGAGGAGGCCGTGAGCCAAGAGGCCGCCCGACTCATCGAGACCTGATGAAGCGCAAGGAGACGTACCTGGTAGACCTGATCTGTGGAGAATGGGTACGCGAGGAAGTGCTGCACCAAGCTAGGTGCGACAGCGGGGTTCTCAGAGGAGTCGCCCGCTTGAGAAGGTGAACTGTGCTGGGGTGAGAGGTCTGACATATCAGGATAGATTGCCCTCGCGGGACATGGAAAAGCTGTCAAAGAGAGTTATTCGGGTGTAGCTCCTGGGATTGCTGGGCGTGTAGATGGATCAAATCGGTGTTATATGAATCGATGGATATCAGGGCGGGTAAGTCGAGCGATGCTAGATTGGCAGGACGGGGAACTGAACTCACGGAGGAGAAAGAGGAGCTGGGCAGACTCCGTCCGTGGCACGCGGATACGGCTACGGCCCGGCTAATCTTCCAATTATGGATCAACCGGAGGTTTTTACGGGTTTGTTGGAATCGCCCCACCCTCACCTCACCTCCGCCTCTCCGTCCCGGCTCACCGTCTAGCTGGTGCAACCTACCTCCATCTCTAACACACAGAAAGTATGTCGAAAATCAGCAACGAACGCAACCTCAAGATTCTTCAGGAGCTCGTCGCTAAGCCAGGCAACGGTGCGCGAGCACTCATTCCCCTAAAGCATCGGGCACTCATCACTTACCGATCAGCCCTGACCTAGATGTATGCGCAGATTGCAAGTCGCGCGCGCCTAGATGGGCTTCCTACAACCTCGGCATCTTCCTCTGGTTAGTTTCAGCTGGTTCCTCTGCATCGGTGCCCAACGTCCTCACGCGACCCATGTGCATCTAGCGTCAGCTGTGCGAGCATCCACCGTAAACTTGGCGTTCACATCAGCAAAGTGTACGTTTTTGCTCCCTGTTTCTCTCTTGGGACACGGCGTGACGCGTGCTGAAATCTGATTGCGATAAAGAAAGAGTCTGACGCTCGATGCATGGACCAAGGAGAACGTCGAGGTCAGGGGTCACACCATCATTCATCACCGCAGCAGTGCCTGTTAATATGTGCAACTCCAGACAATGCAGAAGGTGGGAAACATCAAAGCGAATGCCTTTTACAACCCGGACGAGGTCCGTCATCCGCCGCCGACGAATATGGTGGATTCAGAGCGCGACAGCGAGCTCGAAAAGTTCATACGAGGTTCGTCTTGTCCAGTTTCTCTCTCATTTCCCTGTCTTCTCCACCCTTGTCCGGTACCCGTCGTCATGGCTCTGGTTGTAGCCTCGCGGCTTCATAATCTCCAGCCCTCTTCTTGAATCTGGATCATTCGCCTCTTGGGCCACCTTAGCCTCATCATGATAAACGAGCCCTAAAACTGACGCTTTTGGTTCTTCCATTTTCTTCACATAGCAAAGTATGAGTTCAAGCGCTTCGTGAAACCTAAATCTACAGCCCGCCTCGCCCCAGGTTCGGTCCCAGGCACGAGCAACCCCTCTTCCATTTCTTCCTCGTCAGGGGCAGCTGCACTCCAGCGTGAGCAGCAGCAGCGCAAGGCCTCTGCGCCCGTCAGCTCTTCTACCTCTCTCGCTCCGCCATCGGCGCCTCCAAAACTCCACACGTCGCGGAGTAATCCCAACCTCTCTCAGCCCCAGCCCCAGACTCAACCGCAGGCACCCGCTGCACCATCCCACCCGACGCAGGCGCCGTCTGCCCCTGCTGCCCCGACCGGCGGTGTCTGGGGTGACCTCGTCTCGCTGCAAGGCCCGTCGCAGAGCTCGTCTCTCCCTCTCCAGTACGCTGCTCAGCCGCAACCCCAGCTGTCAATGACCATGCATCCGGGATCCACGGGATTCGGCGGCGGGATGAGCGGGCCGTACTCAGGCGCGACCCAAGGCGCACCGCTTGGCAACATGTACACCGGGATGCCGTTCAACAGCTCGCCTGTTTCGGGGACTGGAGTGTTTGGGTCTATGGGACCGATGGGGGCGGCGGGGGGTATGGGCGGTATGGGTTCGATGGACTCGATGAACTCGTTCGGCTCCGGTTCTTTTGGGTCGATGGGCTCGATGAACTCGATGGGTTCGCTCGGGTCGATGCATACCGGGATGAGCTCGACAAATCCTTTCCAGCAGCAGCAGCAGCAGCAGCAGCAGCAGTTTGCCGGTATGCAGCCGCAGATGGGCATGGGTATGAGCGGGAACGCGTTCCAGTCGCAAATGCAAATGCCGATGAATACCGGCATGCCCATCCAGCAGCCTGCGCCCCTTTCCTTCGGCCAACAGCAGTCGTTTGGTGGTGGTGGGCTGCAGCCTCCGCAGGGCGCCCCGCAGCCGTCGCACTCGGCACCCATCATGGGCCAGAGCCAGCAGTCGTTCGCGAGCTCGCCGCAGCCGTTTGGAGGGCACACACCGCAGCCATTTGGGCAGGCCAATTCGGGCTTCACGCCTCAGGGTCCCCAGTTCGGCGGCGGTTATTTCCAGGCTGGTCAGCAGCAGCAGATGTACCCTGGTGCGGGCGGGGGTGCATTCGGGTCCATGTAGTGTGGTCGGTTGTTTAGTTGGTGGGTAGTGGTTATCCTATCTTCAGGGCATGTTATCGGATTCGAGGACTATTGAGCCTTGGTTGACGGATGATAAAGGTGATAACCCAAGCTGTGGACTATAGGTTACTGTGGAACCGTTATTGGTTGTTTACGACTAACGCTCAATATACCCATGTTTTATTTCTCGGTTTTCTTCTACGATCAACGCTATCGACGGCGGCTCAGGCTCTCACACAGCAATCTATTCTCGTTCTATGATCTGACAGCGGGACTCCGAGATCCAATCCTCCGGCCTACCTCCAGCAGTGAGTCCGACCAATAGCGTTGGTTGAGTTTCGCCGCCAGATCTGACTTTCATTGGAGACATAGGCTTTACGAGAGGCGTGCACCCGGGCCGTCCAACATGCGTGTTATTACGTTTACCATTAACCGCCCGCCGGGGGTAATGGCAGTATACACGCTGCACTCTAGCTGCCATCTCTACCAGTGCGTTCCATGTGCACCTCGAGCCCTTCGTCTCTTACTTCCTGAGTATCCCGAGGGCGGAACCCTCAGGCACCGACCACCGTCCCATAATCTCACCGGATTTTCGGGCGTGGCCATCGTGCCTATCACACGCACCCTCGACAATTAATTGAAGGTGCCAACGGGCGGCCAATGTCACCTTTGCCGTTAACGCCACCAACAGATCCTCGGTGTTCTCCGCGAGCTATTCCGTGACTTGTGTTCTTATAGTGCTTAAGACCGAGGACAGAGGCCGAGGACGCGAGCACGTTCGGTGAGCAACAAAGCATGTTTGATGGGTCTGTTGCGGTGTAAGTTTATCCAGGCCAGGATCTGTAGGGATCTATGGTTTCATTATATGGCTACATCGAGGCCCGACGTCGAACATAGATTTAATGATTCTCCGAGGAGTCTCAGCCAATTATGGTGCGCCACTAGACTATGTGTCTGACAGCTTCACTTTTTAACGTCATGCTTGGCGTTTGCTTATGTTAGTTTCCATGTTGGTTGTCGATGTAATTTTCGCATCTCGGATATCTGCGGCGCGTTGCTCCCTTTCTCAGGTTTTCTAAAAATTGAAGCCTTGTGGGCGCTTTGTCAGAATGGCTCGCATACGTAACTCAGCTCTGAAACTGCCGGGTTCTACTAACCTAAACCACTGAGTGGAACAATGTCTTGTAGGTGTCCATGGTTACGAGTGCTTCATTTCGCTGTAAATGCAAAGTCGTATCTCAACACACTGGAACTTATGGTATGTAGCTTAATTTATTCAGACCTCTGAGTTTACCGAGACAGGACTACAGGCGTCTCGTACTCAGCTAACATACTGATTTAGTACATGCAACGATGGGACTTACAATTGTTCCCCAACACAGTAAGTGGTAACAAACTCATGGCTATTTGCGCGGCTCTCACAAGTACTCACTAGCACTATCGAAGGCTACTCACGCTTAGACACTCACCGGCCCGGATCGACCATCTGACAACCTGAACCTTTACCCGTCGTGAGAGACGGACAATCGAGCTGTGGCGTTGACATAGGCAAGCACTGAAGTCAATGTCTGGTACTGATAAACTGCTAATATATGTACGCAGTGAAAACCCTTTTCATTGTGGTCACTTGTATTCGAAAGATTACACATTAAAAGGTAATATGGGTTAATTGATTTATAAGAGGCTTGGTTTGCCTTCATGGAAAAGAAGGTGTCTTGGGCGAGCGTGCGAGGCGTTCAAGCCGCTGAAGCAGCGTCTACGACTGGTTTCAAACCTCCTTCATAAGCAATTACGTCCTGATTGATGGAGCCTGATTGCACATACCAAACCACAAGTCAATATAACATACATTACACATATTGTCGCTCCCTTGGACAGGCTGAAATTTCTGCTTGCAGAGATCGCAACGATGCTCGCTGGATGCAGGCGCTGGCTCGGCAAGGTCTGCGCTCCGGGGGAGAGGGCCTCGGCGCATAGGTTTGTAATCGTGCATCCTCTTCTTGTGCTTCGTGAACGCGGAAGGATCCGAAGCACTGTGGCCGCATTTTTCGCAGACATAGGGTTTTATCCCATCACTTGAGAGGGTCAATGGTACGTCAGTAATATTCGTCTAAGTCGTTTAAGTGTCACGCACTGGACTGCGTTGCAGTGTATTGTCAGTGCGCCCATCTGGTCAGTACCAAAGTGACAGTCTTCCTTGGAACAGAGGAAGCGTTTCGAATGCTGCTCGTCCGCCATGTTGAATAATCGAATATTCGATGTTGGTGGGGAGCGGAGCCCTACATCAACCCTCTTTTTATACGACGCATACCTTGGAGACTGGTGTGGACGAATGGAATGTTGCAGACATAGAGGACGGCGGACGTCCGCTTACAGACCGCGCGAACATGTCCGCTATTATATACTCCTCCGCAATGTGAAGCGTGTTTAAGACACAGCGTACTCATCGTCGTCCACGGAAACATTACAGATGGCTTTTACAAACGCAGGGAAGTTACACAGGAAAACATCACCTGTATAGTTACTTGGCCTGTTCGTCCGTCACTTCCGCGAGCTCGATGCATTGCCATGCTGCCAATCGAGTGCTACGTCCAATCCAAAGGGCCACTTGCTTTGGTCGCGGACAAGGTAACTTCAAGTATCACACAAGCGGACCCCACGAAGCCACGTGAATCTTATATGATCGTGCGGACAAGAGGATAGTCCTCCTGGATAGCTGGGCTTCTCTAAAATTCGATAGATGAGTTCACCGTCGATTTACCCCGGGCTCATCGTAAGCTAACTTGGCCAAATAGTTATTTCGTTTGATTTGTGCATACTTAAACATATCCACAGTCAGCTCATCGTTTGCGGTTGAAGATTTGGGGCTATATATTTGATATTGCATGTTGTGACGTTTCGGAGATGTCAAAAGCGTACAGTGAAAACGAAGAAAGGCTTGCATCTCCCTATAATAGAAGCTGAATGACCCCTAAATCCCGCGTTTTCACTACCGAGGGAAGGTGTCGGGCTTACACTGTGCCAGACCCTCTGTCACTCGTGGTACAAGTGAATGAGGGTAAGACAGTACTTGGCTGAATCACCTGTATAGCAGTAGTGTGCTTCTTTCTTACTTTTGATCCTGCCCCTACTTTGCCGCACACTCACCACATCTGCATCTCATGGCAGAAGTCTCCAACTTCTGACATGAAGAGATTTTGCGAGCAACTCACAATATCAGCCAGAAGAATGCATGGAAGGCCCCGAGTTTTTTTTTCCGATTCCTAATTAAACCTCATCAGGATTTTGACACATGTATTAACCACACTTTCTTGACTTTGCTAGAGTGAACCTACTTTCCCAAAATTTGAAACCACAATTCTGCTATAATAGAGAATTCAAATCGGTTTGATAGATTCATAGCTTACTCTTCGTAACGAGAATTGCAGCTTAAATGCCACTGATGCGGTGTTCTAGCCAAATATTCTCTAGTAAAGAGCCGGAAATACCCAAAAAGTAGGTTCATCTCGGCAAAGTCAGGATAATGCCGGTAAAGCGGCTTGTCATTTTCCTGATGGCCTGTCCGCATGAGAAATATAAATGTGGCATGAAATCAACAATGGATATGGATATCGGTACTGGTGTTTTAAGTACTTCACACTATAGCGCATCAAACCTTCCTGTTTGTCCTCGCTCGGTACTACGAACAATTAATTTATGGCCCAGCACTTGTGTCGACTCGGACGACTCAGAATTAAATTTACACAACATCATGATGACACAGCTGTTGCACCATGATACCGAAAAGGACTTAGTAAAAATTTCGCAATGCAAGCCTGCGATGCAAGGCAAACCTCGTCGAAATTTCATTGGATTCCACTGCGAGCTTGATATATACTTACAAGAAGCAATCAATCTATTAGCGCCGTGGTGTACTGGGTAAAGCGCCGGCGGGTGGCAAAAATGATAATAATGAGATCGTTGTTTCGATTCGACAAATATCTTTTTGTTTGCCCGCCTGCCAATTGCTTGCCAATTAAATACACTGTGCTGAAACAGCCATTATGCATAGTGGCCAGTATGATGCTGATTGTCGGCCTATAGGCAACGCAAGCTTATAGCCGGCTTGCATAGGTTGACATGTGTGCTTTGCATGTTGATAAATTGTATAAAAATTTCAGCCTATCTAACTTGAAACTCCGGTGTACATAGATCCTGGTCAGACTAACAACAGCGCAAGTATCCAGTGGCCCCGCTTATGCATAAGCGAGTTGTACGGCTTATAGGTTGATTATCTTTACATAAAAATCAACATAGTCGCGGCTGATATTCAAGTCGAAAGTCCGGTGTATAGTGGTATACCCGGGTACAGCAAAATCGAACTCCACTGATCTAATTCTGACGGGGCCTGACCAGTGGCGTTGCGCCTCCCAGGGCGCGCGGAAGCCTTGGACAGTCTTGGACTTGCCTAGGACAAACGGGGCAAAAGCAGGTACGATCAAAAATTCGTCCGCAACTTTAATGATACGGGTTATACTCTGCATTCCCACCCTTGCTTACCATCTCCACCTTGTGTTCACCTTGAGTGCAGGCGTATCCCGTGACTGCCGCGAGAATCCATGCAACAAACTACCTGTCATGTCCCTGGCACACAGCCGCAACTCGGGCGCGACAGATCGGACAACGTGTAAGCTCGAATGTTACTTGGCTGATGGCAGCAAGCATTGGAGTCGCCAAACAGGCGACATCACAATTCCCTGTATATAAGCCAAGATTACTTGCTCAGGTACTGGTACAGCCGTACTATCTCAAGTGGCCAGACGTTGCATCCTTCTACTAACACAATGCCGGGAAATATCTCTATAAACGAGGTTTCGGGGAAGGAGTTTGATTTTATCATTGTTGGTATGTGCGACGTGGTTCGTCACCTTTCCGAGCACTCACTACTCAAACTCTACTAGGGGGAGGTGTAAGTCCCCATGCGGAGGATATCTACTTGTTTTGACACTTGTCATGTGCAGACGGCAGGTCTGAGGCTAGCAGAGAAGCTCTCGCGGGAGACCCAGCTCAGTGTCCTGGTGCTCGATGCAGGAGATATCAGCTTGGGCGATTCACAAATATGTGCGCATATATTCTTCTCACCTATATCGCACACGTCAGCGCTCTTACTGTGCTATTTCACGTTCAGTAATGCCCGCGAAATATGGCTCCCACTTTGGCCAGGAACAGTATGACTGGAATTTCCGAACGGTAAAGTCTCGATCACGCCCCTGTTGATGAGTACTCATCTAATATGATGTTAGACTCCGCAGAAATACAGTAACAACGTTCGATATCCGTGGCCTAGGTATGTCAAGTATTTCCGCAATGGCTGAGTTGACGTCTGGGAATAACCGACTGGCGACAGGGGCAATGTCCTCGGTGGAAGCTCCGCAATAAACTTTTACCTTTGGACAAAACCTCCCAAGGCAGACATTGACGGTGCGTACGGCGATTATTTCCGGTGTTTTCATAGATATAGATAAAGCTCTTCAAGATTGGGAACAGCTCGGTAACCCCGGCTGGAACTGGAAGTCCTTTCAGAAACATGTCCAGGAAATTGAAGGGTAGGCTGGACTGCTACTTTTGACCGAAGCAGGGGATCACACGAGCTTTAGGTACCAGCAACCCGCAGCCAAATCTAGTGCAGCCCATGGCTTGAACTTTCGAGACTGGGATATCGGTACCGAGGGTTAGTGATGAGCGGGTCGTTCACCCGATGTTCTTGCATAATGAACCCATGGTCTCTAGGCCCTATCAAGCTCTATCATCCGGCGACAATTTCCCGGCCTGAGCTCATGGCTCATGAGGTACGATTCAACGTCCTTCAATGGATTTATAGTATTTTATACTCATGGGAGCCGTAGACTCTGCAGAGACTCAATGTCCCGAAGGCGCGTGCGCCGGTGAGCACCTGTCTTTCGGATACACGCATGTGGTTCCTGAATACGTCATTAATAGATGAGCGGGGATGTGAGTGAAGAATTGACTGCGTAGCAAATATAAGAACTAACAAGACTTTGACAGCCGAAGGGAGCGTATTTCACACCCAAAACCATTGACCATCAAGGATATATCAGAAGCTATGCGACTACTGTTTGTCTATCTATCCAGTCCTAGGTTACTTCGTACTGACCCAGATCATTAGGCTTTCTACCTCCCTTATATTGACAGAACTAACTTCAAGGTGTTAGCTTGTGCTAATGTTACCAGACTCATAACGTCGGGCATAGACATGCTCACTGCAAATGCGGTTGAGTTTACTCACAAAGGCGCCACACATACCGTGTATGTGTCAAAGGAAGTGGTCCTTTGCGCAGGGTGAGCACCTTGAGCGAGTGATTATAACCATACGTACTGAAGAAGTCCTAGAGCCTTAAGGTCCCCCCAAGTTCTGGAACTTTCAGGAATAGGCAGGCGCGATGTTCTTGAGGCCATCGGTGTACCTCCGAAACTTGATTTACCTGGCGTCGGGGAGAATCTACAGGAGCACATGTACTGTGGAATGTCGTTTGGTATGCACCCGCCACTCTCTGCTTTGAGCGCCCATTTATAGGGTATTCACAGAGCTAAATGATGACGTCGAGGACCTGACCTTGGACGTATTACGTGACTCTGACTCTCTCAAGGAACATATGGAACTTTAGTAAGCGATACTTGTCACTCGAGGTAACCTGTCGCACTATACTCATCGTTATCTCACATCAGCAAGACAAAGGAGGGTGCATTCATGCTTGGCCCCACGGCTCTTGCATTTACCCCTCTGCGTGCCGTGTCAACGCGGGCCGAGGAGATATACGAAAAGGCTCGGAAAAAGATCGACGACGAATGGGACAAATACCCGGAGGGTTTGCGGCAACAGTACAAGATCCAGCTGGAGCGTCTCGACAGTGATAGCCCTGCTTGCGAGCTCATCGCTTTCCCTGGGTTCCTGAGTGCACCAAGTGGGTACTTCTTGGCTGTAGTCTCTGCAGTATATTGTTCTGAGTGAGGGACGATGTACAGATCCACCCGAGCCCGGAAAGAAGTATATCACGCTTGCGTGTGCACTAAACCATAACTTCTCGAGAGGCACCACCGTACGTAACACTGTCAGCAATATTACACTAATTGACACTAACATCTAAGTTTTAGCACTCCGTATCGTCCGACCCCAGGGACCACCCCGCTTTTGATCCACACTACTTTGAACACGACATCGGTACAGCACCACATATAACCCTGACTCGCTCGCGTGATCATTCTGACCCTTATTGTAGATCTTCAAACGTTCGTAGAGCTCGCCAAGTTTGTCCGGAGATGGAGTCACACCAAGCCACTCGCCACATTAATCAGTAAGTCTCCCATATCTCTGTCTTTCCCTCCGTTTTTCACAGGATATGTCAGAGAAAGAAGTCAACCCCGGCAATGATTGTATGGAGGATCCTCAACTTGCTGGTATGTATCCCGCTTACTTGGGTTGACAGTTCGCTGATCTACGAATCCACAGACTGGATCAAAAGCACTTTTTCGAGCACCTTCCGTGAGTATCTTGATAACCCTTCTGAAGCTGAAAGCAACATCTCGTTGACTTTTATCAGACACTGCAGGCACTTTAACGATGGTGCCTAAGGAAAGAGGCGGCGTGGTTGACTCAAACCTCATGGTTGGTGTTTCTCGCCTTGTTCCGAATTCTAATTTAATTCGCTAATTTAATCGTGGCGGAATAGGTATACGGCACCACCAACATCCGTGTTGCTGACTTGTCCATTGTCCCGCTTCACATTGCTGCACATACTTTATGTGAGTATATCATCCAGTCTAGTTACTTTCGCGCGATTGATCGCTGTAACCTTGATAGCGGTTGCGTATGCAATTGGTGCTCAAGGTTAGTGATCTAGTCCTTCCTCTAGCTTAGGTCGTCTACTAATTCCTTGTTTGCAGCCGCAGAGATTATAGCCAAGGCTCACGCATGAGCGTGCGAATAACAAAGTATAATAGTGCTATGACGTTACACATGACCGCATGTCTCTTTCAGTGAGCAATGTTTATAGTTATGATCGATATAGATGTACAACGCATGCAAGTGACGCAAGACATTTCATATAGTAACTCGTGGATGAGAACGTTCTAGAGCACGCATTTTGAGCATATTCTGACTTAAAAAACGCTATGAGACCTTGTGCACATCTATCCGCAACTGGAACGACGTTGGCTATGAAGATCATCTCGTATTATTCCTTCACTCGAGCTTCTTATGATCGTCCAGTGATAAGTCCGTAGCATCCAAAAAAAGGTCCGTCTGGAAGCCAGTTGTTGCCCGCCTTTCATTCTCCCCTGGACTCTATAATATCGATGTTTGGGGTGCATAATGGGCATATATCTTCCAAATATATGATCTCTCAGATATCCAACTCACCTTCCAAGCTGCAGTACACGTGGCAGATACCACACTGGGGATCACCTTCATGTCTATGCCGAGAACTCTTGTTACATGTATTGCAACGCTTCCTGTTCTTGTGGTTCGTGACCGGGGCCGTGGAGCAGGTCCTGGACCAAGTGGCGTGTCTACGTGCTGCTGTACTGTTTGGTGCTCTGTGAGCGTAGGAGGGTTGGAGGCGATGTGGCCGCAATTTTTACAAATATAGGGCGCAGTTCTAGAGCTATGGGGAAGGGAGGTATTGAATGTAGAGGATGAGCAAGATGGATGCGACCTACTGTATGTCGTTATAATGGGCGTTCAGCGCATTGAGCGTGTCAGCGCTGAAGAGGCAGTTGTCTTCGACGCAGGAGAATAGTTTCGTGGCGTGAACTGCAGCCATTTCTGGGAACGAGATGGAACTTGAGAAAGGCCATCGTCCTGCGCTCTTTATATGTCATGAATATGCTGTATATTACATCAACGAATTCTGTGAGCGTGTGGCGTGCAGATGGCGGCTATGCTTCACCGCGTCGCTCCAACTTCGACTCCTTGCACGAGAATATAAACCTTGTAAAGCAAACCTTGATACAACTAGTGATCAAAAGTACACTGTAACATTGAGACCTGCCAGCTGTAGCGCAAGGAGATGCAATGCGAAGTCCTGCCACGATCCTTGGAAGGTTGAGAATGTAGTAATACACTGCATACCGTCCCCATGTCAGTTCAAGATCGCAGTGCATCACCAACCAGATCACGAAAGACCATCTCGTATCGCAGCATGCATCTTATCCAGCGCTTCTCGAGCATCCGCCTCTGGGTCTTCCTCCCAAAGCCAGTCCCACATGTGTACGATCGCCGGGCCCAGATCCTCGTATCGCTCTCCAAGGGCTTCGTCGTCGAACTCATACATTTGACCAGACTTGCGCGACCCGACGAGAATCGCGTTCGCTTTGGGCCGGCGGACGGCATCGTATGCTGCGAGCGCGTGTGAGAGGCTGCTCTTTGTGACTATTGGATCGGAGAGGATGCGAGATAGGACGTATGCATCCTTCAGGAAGGGCTTAGTTCATGTTGCTGTCAGATGGTAAGAGATGGCGGGGCATACCTCAATGGCCTGTCCCGAGCCTGCACCTTGGTGAGGAAGCATCGCATGTGCCTAAGTCAAGTTAGCGACTCAAGGTTTCTAGTTCAGAGTTGAGCGGGTTACACATACAGAGTCCCCTACGAGCGCTACGGACCCATGAACGTACGTAGGGAGCGGTTTGATAGAGTGAAGCCCCCATTTGGTCGGTTGCTCGATATGTCGAAGCAGATCTGTGACTTCGTCTTCCCACCCGGCATAACAGTCAAGAAGCTCTTCTGTCGAGCACTCAGTCACCCATTCTTCGCTGTAGGGTGTGCCTTCTTTGTCAAGATGGGAATTCATGGTGATGACGTTGACCACCGTGCCGCGCGATATTCCGTAACCAACGACGTGCTAGTGCGAAGGGTTCAAACAGTGCAGAGCAAGTCTAGGGCGAAGATACATACCTTGCTCTTCCCGCAGTACATTATTGGCGTAGCAATCGCTGGATGCTCCTTGCCGTCCTTGACCAGTTTGTCGGTTGGGATAAGACCTCTGTACGCGATTATACCACTCCAGTAAGGAACACCTAGAGATTTTACTTCTGCATTGCCAGTTTCGCGAGCGATTGCGTGCAGCATCGCAGTACGTATGCTGGACTTGATACCATCACAGCCTACTAGGAGGTCGCATTCTGCACTCGTTCCATCACCAAAGTGAAGGGATACTGGCCCTGATGCAGAGTCATCATACGAGGCGAGACGTTTGCCGAAATGGGCTATGTTAGACGGAAGGTTGGCAATGAAGGCACCGAGGAAGTGGGCACGGTGAAAGCGGATGCATCCGTCTTTAGCCAATACATGCGCGTAAGAAGGGACGAATGAGTGCGTAGAAGGCCATTGAAGACTCACAGGGAAGTTCGAACAACCCGAACCGAAAACCTTCTCCAGCCATGTCCGACCGACGATAGTCAAAACCTATCCCTGAGATAGCGTCAGAGAAGGGAAAACCCAGATAAAGTTACAAGGTAAACACTCACCACGTTCTTCAGTAGGAGGCGCATTAGCAACTTTCGCAAAGTCCTCCGCGACGCCGAGCAGCTCCAGAATGCGCCAGGTCCTGAACCATATCATGACGCCTGCTCCTATCTCCCGGAAGCGCCCTGCAGATTCATACAGCTGAACATTCACGTCTGGCACCTGACTCAGGGCGACAGCAAGAGCGAGACCTGAGATGCCGCCACCGCTGGCGGATGTCAAATTAGTTGCTCGAGATAGGCTGATTTGAAGGATAGACGCACCATATAGCGATTCGCAGACGAGGCTCTTGGACACTCGTCATGGACGTGTGGAAAAGACATAGATAGCTCTATGGGAGCGTAAAGATACTCGTCCGTAACTGGAACGAAGGGTGGTCCAGGTGCTATAAACGTCATCGCGTCCCTGGTCGTCCTCGTCAAAGCTTCAATTGTTCGTCTAGTGGTAAACTCAGGATTGTTAACGGAACCACGGTGGAATCGCCCAGCGGTAAGGCAGGTGGATGCTAGCTTGAGTTCGTGCGTGATGAGATGGGATTCATGTCGCGGTCAGCGTTGCCAGCCAAGCTCGTGTCGCGTCCGCACTCTCCACCGGAGTTTCGGCCGGAGTCTTCGGCTACGCGGTCCGCTAAAAGCCGAGACGATACGGAAAAGGACAAGTGTCGGAAAAAGCTGGGGAGGGTTTATAATGGACTGCCTTAATCAAGCGCTTAATTATGACCGGGAGTTCGCTTAGAATGGCCATTGTTAGGCACGGCCTTTATTTTTATCCCACCGAAGTGATGATCATGGTCTCGACTCGCTTAGAATGCTTTAGATTCCCACTCGAGTGATTCTTATCCCATGTTCATGCACGTGACCTGCTCATCATCATGCGCATTCTCAACACGCCGTGTACACACCTGTCCTCGTCCTGAGCAGTCCCGCCTCTCTCCCCGCCCCGCCTCTTGCTCTCTCAAGCCTTCGTCCTCCGACATGGCCCCCGCTCCCTCCTCTGGAGTGTACAAGAAGAAGAAACGAAACAATCACCTCCGACGTCCCCGACAGCAAAACATACCACTGAGCTCGGCCTCCTTGTCAGGGGTTCGTTTTGGCTTGCAAGCACCGCTGAGCTCGGCGCCGGGACTTCTCGAGGAATCAGACCAGCCACTCAGCTCGGCGTCGAGAGCTAATCTGGATCAGATCCAATGCGTAGTCTGCTCCCGCGCGTTTACGACATTAGGTAGCTGCGCGACACACGAGAAAGCGTGTTTGAAGAAAGCTCACCTGGAGCAAGTGAGGGCTTCGTATGCACGAAAGCTCATTACGAGCACCAAAAATGGTGCGTCTCAATACGCCCCGACATATCTAGCTTTTACTAATGCTTCTCTCGTGCTGCCTCAGCTCGGATGAGAGCCCTTGTCGACTTCGAGACCATGCCTCCGTCCATCTCCGCTGCCCACACTCTCCCGCCAGTATTTGCTAGTAAGTCACCCATCTTCTCTTTACGATATAAGCTGATTCGTTTAAGATGCCGACGCTGGTCCATCTCATCTCGGGACTCGTGTACCCGAGGATTCTACGGCTCCAGAGGACTCTGATTTCCCTCCTGCTGGCGAAGATGCTAATCTGGGCGCCGGGGACATGTCATTCTCCGAGGACTTTATCCACGAAGCTGAGAAGGTACCGAGGGTCGATGGATTTGACCAACGAATGCGTGCGTGTCGTCCTTCGAGATCCCCTCCTGAACGCTAACGTTCAAATTGTAGGATCGAGCTCTCTCGCGTCGAGTCTCGACACCACCTCCACCTCCAGCCAGTCGTTCCCGTTTACGACCGGCGGTCGTCCACCAGATACCTCACTTCCTGCATTCAAGACTGAATACCACCCGAAATCCGGCCGCCCCACCCGCTTCTATTCGTATGACGAGTTCCGTCGCCCGGTCCAGCAACAGGTCTTCGAAAAGGATGAACATCCTTGGAGACCGTTTCGCAGCCGTGCCGATTACGATCTGGCATCTATTGCGGTCGACGCGCAGATGTCGGATTCGTTGGTGAGGCGACTGTTGGATCTCGTAAAGGGTGTCAAAAGCGGTGAAGCTAATGTCACCTTCGAGTCGGTCAAAAATCTTCGGGACGCATGCGATACGGCTACGACTACATTTACTCCTGTAAGTCTGTTGCCTTGTGTTATATAAAACGCCCTCTGTATACGTGTAAATCTGTATCAACGAATTCAACTGTTTCTTTAGTTCGAACTGCACGATATTGTGATCAACTATAAGGGAGAAGACCTTCATCACGAGTTCTACGGGCGAGATATGTTTGACTGGGCCCTGGACTTACTCGAGAACGAGGCTCTTGCGCCTCACTTCGTCTGGGACGCTCAACGACACTACAAGTATAATGGTTCCGATTATGTACGCTTCATTGACGAACCATGGTCGGCAGACCGTTGGTGGGCCATACAAGTACGTCATCTCATTCTGAATCCTTCGAACTGACGACAATGTAATCTAACCACCCGTTACAATTAGGAAGATCTCCCGAAACTCGGCGATCATCCCGCTGCACCATTCGCCATCGTCTTGTACGCTGACAAGACAAGACTATCGAGCGCTGGGAACGTACAAGGCTATCCCGTCGTTGCGAGGTGTGCAAACTTGCCTGCAGACATTCGCAATGGCAAAGGATCTGGCGGTGGATACGTAGTCGGATGGCTTCCGATTGTGAGCCCTTCTCATCTTATCCTATGTGCCGTATTCTAACCCTTTCATCGTCCTCTCCAGGTGGAAGATAACTCTGAAGAAGACGGAACGCTTGCATATACGACGCTGGAACGAGTGCTGTGGCACGACTCGGTGCGGAAGCTGTTCGAAAACGCCCAAGATAGTTCGAAAAACGGCTTCTTCTACGAGAAGTGCCACGACGGGATTCCTCGATGGCTTTACTTTACCATTCTCATCCTATCCGCAGATTATGAGGAGCAGTAAGTCCTCGTCTTATTACTCAAGTCCCGTCTGACTCTATAATTGCAGAACTACTATGGTACTCAATCGTGGTGCGGGCGGAAACCACCCTTGCCCGGTGTGCCTCGTGCCCAGGAAGCAGCAACATGACCTCTCCCTACGATTCCCTCGACGCTCGGAGGCGGAAACTCAAGCAGTGGTGGTACAGTATAATCAGGCTGACATAGACCCAGCGGAAAAGCGACGACTAGGGGCCCGTCTCGACGAACTGAGCATCAGGCCTGTCAACGTACGTATACTGTCCTTTGATACGTCGTTCCTACTGAATATTCACTATTATTCATGATCATAGAACATTTTTTGGATGCTAAGATACTCTGATACGGCCAACACTATATCTGTCGACCACCTTCACAATTTCCATCATGGGATATACGGCAAGCATCAACATCCAGAGTTACTCAAGATCCTCGAGAACACGCCAAACTCCCGCAAAGACTTAGGCAAGTTCAATAGTCAGTAAGTGCATCTATGTTCTTTCGACTTGATGGTTCTGAGAAAGCTAATCTACCACAACAGGTTCTCTCAGCAGCCCCGTTGGCGTGGATTCGGTCACTTCGAATCGCCGTCCACTACAACTTTCAGCGACGGCAATAAATTCAGAGACATATCTAAGGCAAGTCAAATTCCATCGTACATTATGGACATGTGCTGATCGTGAGCAGCAAGTTTTATTTTGCACGTACAATATCCTAACGCCCTCCTACTCGCCCGAGGGATTTAAGCTACTTCAGCTTATTGCCAGCTATCTCGAGCTAGACGCCTATTATTCCCTTGAAGTTCACACCGAGGAGACGCTTCGAGCCGCCTGGAAAGAAGTCGGAAGGTTTGGTACTCTTCTAAAGGTATGACGCTTGTATACCAATCCCATTCGTCCTCATTTCCCTGATGATACAGGAATACATCGCTTTGGCCCTGGTCGCCAAAAGTCAAGGGCGAAACACAAAAATCAAGATCAACTGGGACTTTCCGAAGATTCACGCGCTAATACATTTCCTCAACGACGTCTTGCAGAAGGGAGGAAGTCGTCATACTTCGACTCGCCCTAACGAAGGCATGCATGGTCCACTCAAGGATTCATACGAGAATCGGTCAAACGGCAAGGATTTTGCTGAACAGGTGAGTCATTACTCTGGCCTTGGTTTCCTCGATTTACTAGACGGGTGCATACGATCCTTAGATCCTGCGTGTCGACACACACCGGCTGGCGCTCCTTGTCATTGGCGAGCGTATTCAGCGACAGGCCGAGATCAAGCGCCTGGAAGCGCTTCAGGATCGTGTAGAGCACGACGACGACGTTACAGCATACGAAACCGACAACAGCTGGCACGTATACCTCGGCTCCCCACAGCAACCTATAGCCGTCCAGGATGTTGTCAGTAAGCGCAGCCAGGATAGCGCCTTCGAGGACTTCGAGCTCAAACTTCAAGACTACATCAATCTTCGCCTTTTCCCCAACCTCGGGATCTCGCTGCCGACACCTCTAGCTATCCCAGAAACCTTCCAGGTACTCTTCATTCCTACGATTTGCGCTTTTTCTAATATATATTAAGATCACCGAGTATTACTTCTTCAAGGTCAACTATGAGTCGTATGAAACATGGACGACCAGGACCGACTACCTGCGCTGCAACCCGTCGTTCTACAACCACCCTCGATACGATTGCGTCCTCGCCAAGCTCACACCTGGGACTGCCGGCATCGCACGCCTTGTGATGCCATTCGACTTTACCATATTGTTCCAGGATGCCGAAGGGGCCCACCCTCAAACATTCTCAGCTGCTCTCGTTCAACCTTACACCGCTCAGCCCAATGTGCCCGCTGACGTTGGCAAAATCGACGACGACTTGAACTTCACCCGGCTTAAAGCCTGCCCCCGTGCTGACACAACAATAATCTCTCTGGACTCGGTCATTCGAGGCGCTCTGATATGCCCTGACTTTGATCGCCCCGACGAATACTTTGTCAATGCCTTCGTTGATGGAGACATGTTCCTTCGAATGAAGGGCGACTGGACTAGGGTTTGATTCTCTTTTGTGACTCCCCTCTCATCCGTTTGGGATTTAGCTACACGTAAGTAAGTCATTGCCTCAATCTCACGACAGGCTTTCCATCTGATTAGCTCTCGGCGCCGCCTTTTTTTGCTACAGTTTACCGATGGTATGTAAGTACAACCTTATTCGCTGATCTATTCCGGTCTTCACGTTCACATTATATTCGCAGTACCCAAACCGTCTTCCTCATTCCCTCGTTTAGATCTCAACTCGCCCAACCTCACCCAGCCGATGCCTGGCGAGTACTCGTACTCAAACGGTTCATATATAACCGCATCACCGGGTCGTCCGTTTACTCCCCTGGACTACGACGTCACTCCCGTCTCGCTCTACAACCTGAGCGGAACGGAGCTCTCCTATCCCATCTACTTGTCTTCCCATCTTGTCTCACACCGTCCCACACCGTGTGCTCATCTCATGCTCATCGGTTCTCTCTCGTCTCTCGGCCGCCCCCCCATATACTCATCTGCACCCTCAACTACCTCACCTCCGCCCGCGCTCCGTCCATGCTTCCAAAGCTACGGGAGGGAGCGCCTCTCTCCTCGCACACGCCTTCATAAACTCCCAGCTTCCATATCCCATTTGCCCAACCACCTCTTATCCTCCGGCCGCTTCATCAAACGTACCTCCTCCTCCACCCTCCGTGCTATAGTCAGACAGCGTCCGATCATTTCCAAGCTGCTTGTTGGCTTAATGACCTTCTCCCGCGGAGTCTCAGGAGATCGCGCACCTCGTGAAGGGTTCTGCAAGACACGCTGCACTACACGAGGCCAATCAATCGAAGATATCGGACCTGCCCTCCAACGACGACAGGGTCCGTGCCATGTGCAAGCCGAAATTGGCTAGTCGAATCATCCGCGACGAGTTAAGACATGGTAGGCACTGTCTCCTCGTTGGATGCAACTCTACTGATCCTTTTGATTCTCTAGTTGAATCTGTGCACGCTGACACCCGAGAGTTTTGCGGAAACGCCTCTCGAGCAAAGCTGAACATCGCCGGCGTTCTTACTCTCTTGGTGCCCGCGGCGTTAGTCCTCGGCGTTTGTTGTCCCTACTAGCCTCAAGGTCCATGCATGGCTTGGGATGCATCTCAGTGCACCGCTTTTGCTGCGCTCGATATGCGAGTCCACGGATGTAAGTTGCAGCTGGACACTTTCTGCAGCATGTCGTGTTGCCTCACGGTATGTTTTGTTCTTTTTAGGATCACGGACTCTCATGCTCAGGTCACAATCCCTCAGCATCAGGGTCTGCGAACCTTTTCCGCAGCGTTAACGGTTCTTTAGCTCTCACACTTGCCTCGTTTTCGGTATGCTTTCATACACGTCCTCATTTTGTGTGCCCTGACCTATGCCGCGCAGACTCGCAATCCTTTGCAATGCTGCAAAACACGAAGAGGAGGTATGTTCAAGCTCAATTTCCGGTGTGAACGCTGACGTGACATTCTCCTTCGGAAGCCGTCTATCCCTCAAGACCCACTTGAGGCCTGACATGAGTCAGCCGTATACCGAGCATATAAGACCACGGTGAGCTTCCCGTCAAAATCAGCAAACTATCGTCTCTGCTAACAATCCCATCGTCTCACTACCGCCATCGCCTTTGTCTCGTCGTTTTCTCATCGCCGTCCACGTCTGTCTGTCTACCATCACCACTAAACTATGTCAACACCGGTTACATTGGAGGACTTCTCCGAGCAGATGCGCAACCTCGTCGACAACGAGGCCAAAGAAGCTGAGGAGCAGGAGCACCTCAGCATCATGCAGGTAAACGCTGCCACTGTCATGGAGTCCGATCTACGCGTCGTAAGTTTATGCCTTTCTATTATTTCGTGGATTGAAGTCGATCCCTCTGACGTTTGTTGTTGACAGGCGTACATGCGCCTTCAGACGAAGTACGTCCAGTTGCGTACCGAGTACAAGGCGCTGGATCACGAGCTCTACCTCCTCCGCTTGGCGATGTCCAATGGCTCGATCTCTACGACCGAGGCTGCGCTGAATGACCTCATCAAGGCCATCTCTCGGAAGTACGCTATCCTCATTCGGATCTGGGTCCCTAAGCTCCTGTTTCCCGCCGTCGCGAAACCCATCGATCCCGCCGATCCCCAGAGGTGGGCCAATGAGGACATGCAGCTCCGCGGTCACATCACCGAGCTCTTGATGTTCCTGGATGAGAAGCTTCGTTTGGCGGCAACTCAGTATCCGCTGTTTGCTGAACATGCAAGTGTCCCAGTCCTTGTCCGCTTCATTCAAATGCTCACATGTTTCTGTAGTTTGGTGCAGGTGTAGAAGCCGAACGTGGAAACTGCGTCTCCACAGTCAAGGAGAACATTGGGGGCATTCTCAGCGAGTTCATCGAGCTCGATCACAACACGTGCAAGGACTCGAGCCTGCTCATGGCTCACCCTGGCGTTATCGCGCTTCGCAAGAACCCTACAGAGCCCAAGGTCGACTACCCCAAATACCCGTCCGTTCTGTACCAGGATCCCAACTTCCCTTGCAAGCAGGGCCTCTTCAGGTCTAGCGCATTGATCAAGGTAAGCCCTTTTATTGTCTGGATGCTCTCGTCTACAATACTGACTAATTTACGACTACTTAACAGGCTGCGAAGTGCATCCTCTTCGGGCCGACTTCACTTGGAGTTCGCGGCGGCACCGGGGGACATACTGCTAAGGGCGATCTTTGGAGTCTCGAGTACCCAACTCCCGGCCTCATTGCATGTGTCGCTGTCCTGGTACGCTTTAATTTACTATTATTTCGCTAACCATTGTGTCTTACTTCCTATGGTATAGGTATCGCACCGCGTAGGAGAGGACGACTCCTTCAAGTTGAAGAAGAATCGCAGCGGGGTGTTCTGGCCGGCGCGGTTCGATTTCTACTACATGGCCATGTGCTCCTCCGATACGAAGGATTGGTGGGACCCACTCTTCAAGTTCTGGGCCAAAGAGCTTTTCGGCATCGAGAACGGGGCCCTGGCTGCTGCTTCGGGTGGCACGTTGTTGTCTGTGACGGCTGTGTCGGCCGTGGATGATGTTTTTGAGGAACTCAAACGCCCTGCGTCGCCCGGTTTCGGCAACGATCTGCCTCCTCTTCCCCCTGTTTCCACATCCGACTCTCCTCTGCCGCCGCATTCTTCCTCTGAGTTTGCCTTGCCGTCTGTTTCGTCGGGCATCCCCCCTTCCATCTCGAGGTCCAACGGTGGAGCAGCGGTGCCTGCCGTGGCTCTTGAAGCTGAATCTGCATCCGGAGTACTCCATCGCCACCTTGGTCTACTATCGATCAGCAGCCCCAGCTCCACTAATCTGTCTACATCCTCCGAGTCTAGCTCTGTGGCCTCGCTCGTGACTGGCACCCCTGTGACCACCCCCACCGTCCCGGTGGTCACTGCTCCCGTTCAGAACCCTCGTGCGCTGCGCCGGGGTCAGGCGGTTGTGTTCGAGCGATCCGCTAGCGTTGGCACCACTCCAACCCCTTCCGTCATCTCCGTTGTGGCTCCTCCGCCTGCGCCTGCCCCACCGGCTGCTCGAACCACTCGGGCTCGTACCGCAAAGGCCCCATCGCCTTCTGCAACCGAGTCAGCTGATGCCTCTGGTGCGATCTCGGCCAACGCGGGAAGGGCTAGGCGTGCAGTGACTAAAGGCCAGGCTATTGCAGGTGGTAAATGAGTCTTATATCACTACTCTTTGTTAACACAATCTACAACGTCATTTCAAGCGCTCTAACTAGTTTATTTATTATGTACCTGGTGTATAGAAACGGTCGTGCATTCGGTGAATGCATTACTTCTGTGCTCTTATTCTGTAAGAAATGACTGCATATAATGAAGTACGTTTGATGTTGAGTATACGGCGTAATAGCCTAGTGGAACTATGCTCTGGAAGTCTACGATAAGGTAAGTAAAATTCACTAAGTCCCGAGTTCGACCCACACTGACGCCCAGTTAACAGTAATAAAATACCTTCATAGAAACATAGTAACCATCAGTAGTAGCTTAATAGTAATACCGTAGAAGATCAGGTCATGGTATTCCTGGATCCAAAGGAGACAGGTATATCGCGAGACCTGTCTTTTCCTACATCCAACCCCAATTTGGACTCGTGCGAACGTCTTTCCCTTCCGATTGTTCCGGCCATCGCTCCATTCTCATCCCCCGCGTCGTCGTTTGTCGCGCGTCGTTTGTGACGTAATTTGTTTATGTCTTTGCGTCTGCTTCTACGCCTCCTTTCGAATTGCCCTGGGGTATGCTTCCCTTCTTTATTTCGTCCTCTTCGCGGAAAAGCCTGCACTCCTCCATGTCTGTGTTACCTCTCGTTGTTTCTGATGTCGCTTTGGACGGCGATGGTAGAATCTTGGTTTCAACTGCCTATTTGAGACAGTTTTATGATTTCAGTGCCGTTTTATCGGCTGCTGAGAATGCGCGGTTACAGCCGGATCGATTTTCGGTTGCTGTTTCGTTGACAACGTTGTGTGATCTGTTGGATCATTACCAGTTTATTCCCAAGGATAAACTTAGGTGTATGTGTCATTTGCACGGGGTAAGTTTTGTCGTTGATGATAGGCTACCTTGGCTGCGTGATATGTTGCGCGTTCACGCGTGTGTATCTGCTTGCAGTGGGCTTGTGTATCGATTTTCTCGTACTAAGGTTGATCGGAGTCGCTTCGGACATGCGGTGTTGCCTGCCCCTTTTGTTTCTTTGCAGCAGCGCCAGAGTTTTGCGGAGAAAAAACGCGTCTGTGTTCGGGATGTGCTAGTTGGCGAGACATCTCGCGTTGCTGACGAAAGGCGCCGTCGAGATGCAAATGCTCATGCGGCCAGCAGAAGTATTCAACCATCGGTTCAGTTTCCGCCTCCTATTGATATAAGTTTAGAAGGAGATATTATAAGTGAGTGGCAAAAAGAAATGAATGCTGACGTGTTATTACCGGAGGTATGTGCTGTTTGCGGTCAGGATGTGTCGAAGGTTTGTATTGAAGTGGTACATGCGGATAAAGTCCCGTTGTCCTTGTTGCGGAATCCTCTTCTTCCTGATGACTGCTTGCCTCGTTCGTATGATTTGCTCGCGTACGATCGAGCCATCTTACAGCCAGAAGGTCTTCTTAATTGCTGGTCTCGAGACGGAATGAAAATGTGTAGTTTGTGTCGTTCCGATTTGTTGAGTAAGAAACCTAAGCTTCCGAAGTTCGCTCTTGCTAATTTCCTTTATTATGGGCACGACAGTCTGCCGGCTGATGTACGTTCGGCCTTTCGAGATGCGTCTACCGTAGATTTGACGCTTGTGGCTAGAGCGAGAGCCAGCCGGATCACACATGTGTATAGTGCTCAAAGAGTCATGAGGAGTGATGGTGAAGGAATGCCTCGGTTCATGAAGGGAAACGTGGCTGTCGTACCACAGGATTCTACGCAACTCAGGCGATTTCTTCCACCGGAGGATGACGAACTTCGTAATAGCGTGTGTGTGTTGTTTTCTAATTGGAATTCGCCTATTACCGAGGATGTTATACGTCGATGCAGCCCTGTTTTAGCACGAAAGTCGGTTGTCAAGACTTTGATAGAATTTTTACTCGAGCATAATCAGTATTATCGTGATGCCGGGGTGCAGTTCAGTCAAAATAACCTCGACGCTTTGTTCGACAATACTGCGGAGGAGTATGGGTTTCCTCGAGCTATTGAGGTGTGTCGTAACAGTTGCAGTGGAATGAGGTCAGATACGTTCACTAGCTCGTACTCTGACAGTGAACGTGCTTCTGAGTTTGAGTCAGACTCCTTGTCGGATTTGATGTTGCCAACAATAGGTTATACTACAGGCGATCATTCTATGGGATCCAAGCAAACTATGAAGGCTCACGCGTTAGCCTACGCTCTTAATGGTTCGCGCTTTATTGTAAGTCGAGGTGCAAAGGATCTATTAGCAGATGACGATCCTTGTCTTTTGAGCTGTGTGTTTCCTCACCTAGATCCTTGGGGAATCGGATCTTTCAATCATCCCGGTCGTCTGCGCAAGATTTCAGTGCGTGAACAACTAACTTGTATGATGCGGTTACACAACTCCGTATTTGTGCGCGATCCGGTTCTTCCATATGTAATGTGGAATGTTTTGCAGAAGAAGCGAGTTCAGTCTAATTCGTGCTTTAATGTATCTGTCAACGTACAGCACCAGATTCGATCCGAACTAATTGCCGTTGCTCCTGCTTTGGTAGATTTGTCTAATAAATGGCGTATCAATCCGAGGGCGCCTGCTTCTTCACCTCTCGAAAAGCGGGCGATCGCCGTTTTGAAGCGCGTGCAGCATTCCGCTTCCAGTGTTGTCGGTAGTCCGGGTTATAAACTCTGTCGGCGGAATGAAGTTCGTTCTTTGTTGAAGATTCATGGCACTTCTGCATTGTTCGTGACTCTTAATCCTCACGATTTAACGAGTGTCGCCCTGGCTGCATCGGCAAACGTGTTACCTTCCAATTGGAGGGTTATGACTCCAAAGCAGAGAGCATTGCTGGTTACTCAGCGTCCAGACGCTGCTGCTATCGCGTTCGATCTTCAAGTCAACGCTTTTTTGCGGATCGTAGTTCGATGCGGGCAAAAAAGACCTGGTTTGTTTGGGCGATGTAAATCGTATTATGGGATGGTTGAAGCTCAGGGGAGAGGAACACTGCACATCCATGTTTTGTTGTGGATCGAGGGAAATCCTAATCCGCAGCGGCTTCGCGATATGATGGCGGCGGATCCTGTATTTTCGGAGCAGATGATGCGGTGGCTTGAGCACATTATAAAAAGTGATTTACCTGGTTCAGAACATATTGTATCTAAAGATCAGTTACCGGAAGCTAGAAGGCCTGGCAGAGAAATTGGCGCAGAAGATCCTCGATTAGCTGTGCAGCCAGCAATTGATAGCATGGATAGAGACACGTTCTGGAAGATGTTTTCGAGCTTTGTGTATGACATGGCTGAGTTTAACAACTGGCACGAACACACGGATACTTGTTTTAAAAATCTGCAACCTGGGGAAGTGAAGTGTGACGACACTTGTAGGCTTCGAATGGATGGTTCTACTCGTGAAGAGTCTTCAGTCGATCCTGAAACTGGATCGATATTGTTGAAGCGATGGCATCCTTGGATCAATAGCTACAATCCTGTTTTATCGTTCTTGTACCAATGCAATAACGACGTTAAGTATATTGGATCCGGTGAAGCTGCAAAAGCATTAGTCTACTACGTCACTGATTACATTACAAAGGACGACCTACAGTTGCACGTTGGCTTGACCGCTTTGGATTGTGCTATTAAACGATATTCTGCAAAATTCGATGATCAACCTGAAGCGTCTGATATCGTTAAGTCACGCAGCCTGTTGACTAAGTGTGTCAACTCGATTATGGCTCGTAGGGAGATTTCTGCACAGCAAGTTATGAGTTATTTAGTAGGTGGAGGTGATTGTTATTCGAGTGATACCTTTACTACTCTTCGTTTGTTTGAATTTATTGCTGCATGTCGAAGGGAGTATCCTTCTGCAGATGATTGTGGTAATGTATGTCGCTACGCTGAAACAGATCAGCATCCGGGTGTAGGAAACGATGTCGAAATAGATAACGACTCTCGTGTTGACGATTCTTCTTACATCTATGAGAACGTTGACTGTCCTGAACAAGCGCGTTTGAGTATCACACAGAATGGTAGGAGTATTAATGTAGATAACCAACTTTTGGATTATAAGCTTCGTCCATGTGCCGAAGAATTCGAAACGATGTCTCTGTATTCTTTCGTTTCTCGCTTCGTCAAATGTCAGATGTCGAACAAGGAAAAACATCAGTACGGAGTCATGAAGGATGGCAATAGTGATGATGAGAATGACGAAGATTGCGATGGTTCATTTGAAGATGTTGTTTCAGCTGATTTAGACCAGACAGCGGACATGGGTGATGTTGATTCTGGATCTTTGCCGCGTGAAGTAGCAAACAGGCAGCCTCGCCGTAGTGGAGGACGTATACTTCGGTATCGCTTATTGAATGATTCACATCACCAATACGGTACTCACGTGATGTACATTAGCCGCACGAGTCGTGTACCCGTTTTGTTGATAAATTCCATACCGCGAAGGCAAGGGATTAATTCTAACGAAGAAGAATATTGCAGAATGATGTTAGTTTTGTTTCGGCCTTGGCGATCATTTGCGGACTTAAAAGCAGGTTTCGGATCGTGGTGTGACGCGTTTGACGCTTACCAGTTCAAGGATTTCGAACAAGGGATAATCAATAATATGCATGTCGAGTGCGAATGCGAAGATGCTAAAAGAACCATGTCGTTACAATCAAAGAATAGCGATGTGATGAAAGAAGCTGCCAGTATAGGGATTTCTAGCGATAACTTGGGTGAAAGGCAGTTGTTCGACGCCTGCTTGATGGGAGACTCTTCTCTAGAAGATCCAGAATTTTTTGAACCTCTCCCTGATGGTGACGAAGGTGATGAATGGGAAGACAAAAAGGCTATCGGTTCTACGAAAAATTGGACGAACCATCAGCGGCAAAGCATAGAAGCTGCGGACAGAGCAAGTTTGTTTCAACCGGAACGGAACACCGGTGTGGCAGAGAATGACGATCGGTATAAACATCGTTTATCCAATGAACAGACTCACGCGGCGGTGAAAAAACATAACGAGTATATGCAACGAGAGAAAAAGCGGCGGCGTCCCGGCGATTTTGAAGATAATATCGTTAACTTTAAACGAATCGAAGTTGAACCACACAACCGCTGTAGCCGTCAAGAGCCGCAGTTGTAAGTCGACACCATACATGAGTCGAGTGGAGGCAATGCAACATATTCTTCGTTGTATGACGAGAAAGTTGTTATTGATGACATTATTAACGAATTCGGTATGAGAGGGAATGAAGAACAGATTCGGGCTTTTACATTAATCGCAGAGCAATTTTTGCGAAACAATCCTGACCAGTTGCTAATGTTTTTGACCGGTATGGGTGGAACAGGGAAGAGTCATGTCATAATGGCCGTGGTTGCGCTATTCAAACGATTCAATGCTGAAAAGAGAATCTTGTTGTCTGCACCTACTGGATGTGCAGCTACGCTCATAGGCGGATATACTATACATTCACTCACCTTCCTTCCTCAGTCTAATTGGAAAGCCAAAAAGGCTGACCTTGAAGATGTATGGCGAGATGTTGGTTTCCTAATTCTTGACGAAGTGTCTATGCTAGATTCGTGCTTGTTAGCGCAGATATCAGAACGTTTGAGGGCTGCAAAAGCTGGTCTGGATGGAGCGGACGAGTTACCTTTCGGAGGAGTCAACATAATCTTTGCAGGTGATATGGGCCAATTGCCTCCTCCGTTTCCTCACTCGTTGTATTCACATGCTATGGTACAGCAACTCAGTCCGACGACAACTCATTCGCGGTCTGGACAGAAGGATTTGCAAGGGGTATGTTTGTGGCGACAAGTAAGTGTTGTAGTCGAGCTAAAAGACAATGTAAGGGCGCGTACGGATCCGATGTTTGTCAATATCTTATCTCGCATACGTAATGGTAGGGCTACTTACCGCTCGTCGAGTGATCAAACGTATTCCGATGTTGAAATCTTAGAGAAGAGGATTTTAGATAATCTTATACGGGATTCACCCGAAGACTATCGTCGGTTCGTTGATGCGCCTATAGTGGTTGGTACAAAGGCTATTAGAGATGCTATAAATGAGATGAAGTGCAGAGGTTTTTCGAGAGCCACTGGCCGTTCGCTGAATTGGTACTATTCTCGAGATAAAGAAGGTGGCGCGTTCGTTAGCGTTGATCATCAAAAAAGGTTGTGGAACCTCGATTCGAGCCGAGCTCGCGATCATATGGGTCGATTGCCGCTAGTTATCGGAATGCCAGTCATGGTGACAGAGAACTTGACATTAGGAGGAAGAGTAGTCAATGGAAGCGAAGGTATACTGGAAGACGTACTGTACTCACTTGATAGTGATGGTAGACGGTATATAGATTGCGCTTACGTCCGTATATCTAGTAGCAAGATCGGTGTTCCTGGGTTAGAGGAGCGAGTTGTTCCAATCGTCCCGAACTCTCGAAAGATAGCATACAAACCTAGTGATCAATTCGGCAAGAAGTCTACTTTTAATGTATCACGCACCCAAGTTCCTTTAGTACCATCTTGGTCTATGGTCGATTATAAAGCCCAGGGTCGAACTATGCCTTTAGTGGTAGTAGACCTCGCGAGCGCACATAAGCTACAAAACGCTTACGTTATGTTGTCTCAAGTTGGATCTCTGAATAACCTTGCTATTTTACGCACCTTTACTCCAGATAAGATATGTCGAGGTCTACCACATGATTTGCGTGATGAATTGCAGCGGTTGACGAAACTTGATGTTGAGACTTCATCAAAATTTTACGATAATCACTAAATTCGTTTAAAGTCAGTATACGATAAGTACGGTCTCATACCATTCGGTGACAAGTAGCACATGCCATAGACTTATGGGTTCCGCATTGGAAACCCGCTGTGACAGACAGTAAAGGCATTGATAAAGCTGAAGAGGGACTGGTACTAGATAATGGCGGTGTAGCAAAGACAGTTGATGGCGTGCGACCGCATGTTCAGTTTGTGGTGTTGGGGAAAACTGAAGATTTCTGAGATGACGTAGTCCAAATGATGTGTGCCGTTTGTATCAATGTACGGCTTTGCCTTTGCAGGTCTGCTGAATCGGTTGACCAATCTTCGATCGTATTGAGTTGTAAGATGCGTTTCGAGGGTAAGAAGTCCAGGTATGAAGAAGTGTGTCAAAGAGCAGGCGAGAATTACTAAGCACCAAAGAGCATCGTACAAGTCGGGGCTGTGTTTCTGACCGTGTTCACATCCCCGAATATCAGCCGCGAGCCCAATGTTCAAGTTCATTTGCTCCCAGACAAGCCTTCATCGCTTAAGTGTTAATGGCACAAAACTCAGCTTGATTGACGAAGCGAATGGTACTCGACTAGCTAATACCCGAAATAAAAGATGAACCTCGAACACAGTAGTCGTACAGCGGCAGCTAAACACGTTGAAGTAGTATACGTAGCAATTAGTTCAAATGATACAGTAATTGGAAGACGTATTGTGCAAGCGTATGTTGGATAGAGTATTTTCATAGCGGAAACATGTACTGGTTAAGAGTCCGTACGAAGAACTGCGAACATAACTCAGAATGAACCTGCCAGACTCACTACAATGATTCAGTTTCTTCGTTCTCGATGTATCCATGCTCTGTCACATTCGGCCTAAGACAATGGATACCGCCCAACTTCCACGCGAGCTTCTTTTGCTTCTGTTTCCGTAGTTCGTGTTCCTCCCATTCGATGACGAGGCAACCGTTGTCGGTAATTTGTCTTGGGAACTGGGGGCATTCAAAGTCGGTGAGACAGAGGTGCGGCCAACGTCTTCGGCCCATCTTCAACCACCCACCGTCGTTGAGCGTGATGTCGAAACCCCTCCTCCAGTATTTGATGATGGCATCGTATGTGCGGCACGTCGGAAGACCGTTCCTTCGCCTTGTGTGCGGATTGAACAGCCCTCGAGGGAAATAAGGTCGTAGCATTAGTGACGCGGAGAACAGACACCCGGTTTGGTGACACACCTTGACGTGCAAGAGTCATATGGGGATATGCGGAAAACAACGCAGTCGCGGTGACGTAGTTCATCACAGGCGTGCTGTGAAAATACAGTACCGGTACCCGCGCGTCTTCACCTTTTGCTACCACCACGTCCACGAGCCGTTTCTTGATCGTGTTGATATACGAGTGGACGGTACCGATCGCACCGGAAGGAATGTCGTACGATGTGCCCATGTTCATCCCCACTTCCTTGTAACCGGCATTGCGAAGGAACGCATCAAGAGCATACTCTGCGGACGCGGGCACGTACACGTCTAAGTCCTTCGACGTGAACTGGGTAGCTGTCTGAGGAAAGAGGAGGTTCAGAGCAACAGACCCGGATATGACACCATCTACGTTTTCCATGCGTAAAAGGAATCTTCTGGCGTTTCCGACATAAGGTGATATGGCGGCTAGTACACGGTGACGAAGATATTCGTGTCCGGTGTGGCGAAGGAACTTGCAGGTGCGCCTCACATTGTCGAGATCCACTGCGTTGAGGTGCGAGAATACGCTGAAAGCGCAGTCATAGTCAAGGCGACCCTCCATGATGATACGCAAGAATGCCGTGGAAGATGAGTGGTCAACGGTCACCGTCGTGCGTTTTCTCCAGTCGTTCGACTCCAGTTTTAAGTCTGAATCCTGTTTACCTCATAGGTTACACATATATGGCGTAGAGCCGAGATTTCCAGCGTATTGGGTGCGTTGTCGCGGATGGTGTGCCATTGGCGCCTTAATGCGTATCAAACTTGAAATTCTACGTCAATGGCGTCTGCTGATTGTTCAGATTTCCACGTCGTCTTAAGCAAACCAGCGAGGGGTTCTGAGGCCTACCCCTCTTTGCTTTCTGGCCCTCTACTCCTATTACGCGCTGCTTTTTCGACCGAGTTCAACACGCCGTGCGGTGAAGTAGCCTGGCATGTCATGGTTAAGCGGTTCGTAGTTTGTTTCCTTGCTACAGTGTTAAATGTTGAGTTTGCTGAATCCCAATTGTAGCCTCCCCAGAATCGTTAGTTGTTGATTCCCAGTGAAAACGGGCTCTAAGGAATCCCAAGGGATTCGCAGAACTTCTCTGCGATTCGATCAGCAACTATAGAAATAGAAGGGATGGACCATCGAGTGAGCCAAAAGAGGCATCCGGTTCCCGATAAGTGTATCCGGGGAGGTCTGAACGACCTGAACACAGAGGCGGCATATGCGCTGCATGGGCATAGGCTCGGCGACCTGGCCAGAGCATAGTCAATAGACGTACTAATACACGATTGCTTCAATTTATTAAGGAACCGAGGATAGGGAATGTACTTCACGCGAGTGTGTCCGAATTCGTCTAAGTCCGCGCACGCGGCGCTTGCGTCTCTCGACTGCAACTGCCGCAACGCAACGTTGCTCTACCATATACCATGCCCCGTCAACCTAATCCCACATCGCTGAATGACCCACGTGTGCTCTCTGGAGAGTACAAGGAGTGCACATGCCTGCTATGTCGCAGCAAGAACAACGGGCAGCCGAAGTATGTCACTAAGAAGACGTACTACAAGCACAACCCCACCGAGAGGGAGGACGCGCAACTCCCTCAGGAAGCTCAAGATCTCTTGATAGCCATGCAGACATCCTTTCCTCAAAATCCACAGCCTCCAATTCATGCCCCACAGCCCTCAGGCTCTCGACGACGCCAGTCTAGCAGTCCAGAGGCTAGTATATTGCGTTCTCGCAGTGTGGACTCCAACTTGCGTCACAAAAGGCCTCGCACAGACGAACCAGATGGCCAAACTGACATACAGATACCTGAGGTATGTTCTCATTCCTATCTTTCTACTAATAGCTGTTAATTAATGGCGGTACAGGCACCCTCCCACTCTCCTCGTTACAATGATGACGAGGAGTTCATCAACAGCCCACCAGCTGAAGAGGAACCCGAGCTCGACGAGCAGGAAGCTGAGGTATGTTCTGCCATTGCACCCTTCGTTATCCTTAGCACTGAACTTGTTGCAGAACACTTACATCTTCATCGAACCTGGCCCAGAAGACCTCGGAGACGACCATGACGCCGACGATATGGAGCAACCTGAGTCGGAGGATGAGGTGGATGAGGAGCGTGAGGAGGAGGAGCATGAGGAGGTGGATGAAGGAGGGGGCCCTGGGCAGGAACAAGCACAGCAGAACGTGGAGACGGAGCCACAGGAGGGGTCGGGTAACGAAATAGACGAAGAAGAAATACTACGACGCACCCTCGAGCAGACACAAACCACCGACAATCGTCCCCCTCCCCCTCCCCCTCCCCCTCCTCCGAGAAACAGCCAGCACCACACACTTGGTTACACCGTAGAGGACGTTGACGAGATGCAATCCAACACTCGACTAGATGATGTCCAGGCTGCTGTGCGCTTCATCGAGCTTTTGAAGGCAGCTACGATTGACAATACCGAGCATCACAAACTGTCTGAGAGAGCTCGCCATCGGCTCAGAAACCCGAGCGAGGAACTGATAGATCTTGAAGCTGACCCAGGCCGGAAGGTATCATTCCAGTTTGCTATTACCAACCCGACCGACGAAAACTACAAATCGTACATTAAGGCAATGGAGAGCATTGCGTTACCTGGGATCCAGTTTCAGAGCAAGCACACCGTCGAAAAGGATATGGAGAGACTCACCGGGATCGAGCCCATCATTGAACATATGTGCATCAACAGTTGTATAGGCTTCACCGGTCCTCACGCACATTTGGAGAGCTGTCCGAAGTGCAAGGAGGATCGATACGAGCTGCGCAAGTCGGCGACAAGTCCCAAAAAGCCTAGAAAAACCTTTGTCACCCTCCCTCTTGCCGCAATAATACAAGCGTTTTGGCTTCACCCCGACAGCGCAACACGGATGCAGTGGCGAGATAGCATTACAAAACGGCTTCAGGAGGAGTTTGACAACGCAGATTTTTCGAATCTCAACATGTTCGACGACATCTTGAAGGGTCGGGACTATCTCAGAGAGTGCGAACCTGGTGGCGATATCAAACCGGGTACCACCCTTCTCATGTTCTCAATTGATGGCGCCCAACTCTACGCATCCAAACAGTCAGATTGTTGGATATATATTTGGGTTCTCCTCGACCTGTCACCCGAAAACCGGTACAAAAAACAATTCGTTGTTCCTGGTGCTATTATCCCTGGGCCTAACAAACCCAAAGATCTCGATTCATTTCTATTCCCAGGTTTATACCATATTGCTGCTGTCCAGAACGAGGGCCTGGTCATATTTGACGGTGCTCAGCAGTGTCGCCGGACAACAGATCTATTCATTTTCATTGTCACTGCCGATGGGCCAGGCATGGCATTTCTGACGGGCCTTGTCGGACATCACGGCAAGTTTGCATGTCGTCTCTACTGTGGATTTCCAGGCCGGCGGTATGCACAAAAACCCCACTACTACCCCGTAATGAAAAAGCCACGCAATTACAATGTCTCCGGCTGCCTTGGTCCTGACAAGACGGCTGACACTCTGCCGTCGGCTGGTAGTGGGGATTACGATCAAAACCTCGCCCGAATTCTTGCATGTAGGACATTAGCCGAATATGCAAGAGCACGCCTCGAAACTGGTATTGTCAAGCCCACACTGTTCTCCGGGCTGCGCTGCACGAAGATCCCTCACCTGTTCGGTTCTGATATCATGCACCTTGCTGCCATTAATATCCCCGACCTCCTCATACCTCTTTGGCGTGCTAAGTTTACTACTGAGGGTAGCGACAAGACATCGCTCTGGGATTGGGCCTTTCTCAAGGACAAAGCTACCTGGGAAGAGCTTGGCCGTCTTGTTGAGCTGGTTGCAACCCACTTGCCTGGCTCGTTTGATCGCCCACCTCGGAATGTGGCCAAGAAGATTCATACAGGATACAAGGCATGGGAGTTTTTGCTGTTAATGCACGGTATGATGCCTGCACTGATGATGAGTACGTTTTTTCTCCGTTGCTTTGGTTCCAGATCCCTGATCTATATTCAGATATTTTACCGGAGCCCTATTACACACACTACTGCCGACTTGTTCGCGGGATACGAATCCTCTCACAGCACTCAATCTCCCTTGGGCAGATCGAGATTGCCCGAAATGACCTGAACGATTTTGCCGATGGCTTCGAGGACTTGTATGTCGATGGCCGAAATGATCGTATTCATTTTGTACGGCCCTGGATTCACGCACTCACCCACCTTGCACGCGAGACAGTTCGCAAAGGGCCACCTATTTGCAGCTCTCAGTGGACAATGGAGCGTATGATTGGAGATCTTGGTGGCGACATTCGTTCGCATGTCAACCCGTTTGCCAATCTCGCAAACATTGCACTGCGCCGAGCGCGTGTCAATGCTATGAAGTCAATCTGCCCCACTCTTGACCCGCGCCAGCTGAAACTTCCAAGCGGTGCAGTTGACCTTGAAAATGGCTACTTCCTTCTCCCCCGAAAGGACCGCTACTTGTGTGATCTTACTCCCCCTGACGCCGAAGCTCACGCGGCCTTTCTCCGCACATACGGACTGCTTGTCCGTGGTATTCCTGCAATACAACGCCGAGCACGCCTCCTTCTACCCAATCGACAAGTTGCATGCTCGCTGTGGAAAGAAGGGGCTATGCAGGGCAGTGTAAGGATGTCTCGTCACGTAAAAGTATATTTCTAGCTTATGTTCATGAACTCAAGCTCACGCTTACATTCTACTCTAGCTCATACTTCCTGGACACAGTGATCCTTTGTTTGCCGAGGTTCGGTATTACTATTCCCTCAAACTGAGGGGAGTTGATACCGCGGTTGCAATGGTCTCTATTTTTGACCCCCCTGACCCACATTTCCGACAGCGCTCACTTGACCAAGTGCTCGCATGCAAATACCGTGGAGATGAGACCCTCCAGGTAATTGACATCACTGCAATCAAGTCCGTTGTTGCAATGGTGCCACACAATTTCCCTGGATGTGAGCCCGATGACAAACTGCACTATGTCATTGAGAAACCAGGTTTAGATGTTGCAGTGTTTGGGCAAATTGAGGAGGGTATTAACGAGACAAACATTCTTAATGATACTAATTAGACTTGTATGCATTCACGGAGCAAGTTGTATAGCAACAAAATGTTATCATTTTACTGTACATGCGTGCAATAGTCAGGGCTAAAAGCTACAAGGTCAAACGGCGATAGACAGTGCCACTACGTGTGCGGCTAGGGGCCATGAGGCGGGGATAGTGGCGAGGTCGCTTGGCACGGTTTTGTATGATCTTCTGCCAATCAAAATCCATGGTACTGGGTCCATGTGCGGAGATGCTTCTGTTATTGTTCTGGTTGCCCTGTTGCGTTGATGGCTAACAGAAAAGGATACAGTAAGAATCAGACTGGTGCGATGTCAAAATGTGCGTACCTGGCGCCTTTCCCTTTCTAGATAGGTTAGAACTTGAGAATCTCCTGATTCTGTTGCCGGTGGTGTCATTTGGTTCACAGCGGTGGTTATTCGAGGACTTGGTCGTGTGGTTTGTTGTGTATATGGAGATAACCCGACGCGCACTTGACATGGGCGATCGGGCGTGGGAGCGGAGTTTGAAATGCAAGCCCAATCTGGTAATAGCCCCGATGGCAAGATAAGATGCAAAATGCGTGCAGAGGCAGGTTTTGCTATCATCTTCATTGTCAACAACATCCCCAAGCATCCCATGGCCACCGACGATGACATCCACTCCGTGGAGGTGGATGCCGATGAGGTAAGGAGTTTTGATATCTTCATGCGCGCTAATCTTGGGATCCATTTTAGGCACCGTCATATGAGCTGGCCACGCGCGACCCGGAGAAGCTGCATAGTGTCATCAAGGGACTAAAACGAGACCTCGATGCCATGCGCGGTGAGAATGTGGGGTTGCGAGGACAAATTCAGGCATATGAGTGAGTTGCCCAGTACACGTGTGAGCGCTGACTATATGCGCATCAGGAACATCATTACAAGGCTTGGAACCGGGCGACCGGATGCTGCGCTGACCACATCTCCATTGGGCTCCACACCGCAGGCCCAGGATCCGACAAGCCCGCTCAACCTGGACTTCAACGCGTTTCTTACTCGAGCTCGCACAACATTCCACACCTCCAAGACTGGGCCAGACACGTTATCTGGTGGCCTGCTCTTCGAGGGTCCTCTTGAACTCGAGGAGGCCGAGTTCTCGCTGGTCTCATCCTGGCATTCTTTGGAGTTCCACAACAAGAAGAAGGAGAGGAGGGCCGCTGCTGCTGCTCTTGGCAGACCCGTCAACCCGACTGACGACTCGGAGGGAGCAGCACCAGCACCAGCACCAGCACCGGGCCGTCTTCGAGGGAATCGCCAACTCCGCGAGGGGGTCAACCATACACACGAGGACCTTCAGACGAAGGACGGCACACCTATCGATGGCCGCGCAGTCGAGGCCATACTCAAGATGGCGAAGGAGGCTTTCAGGTTTATTGGTAAGCTACGTCAGCCTGCATACACATGGACAAAACTCCCTATCGAGGACCGGAACTGGTGGATCGAGACCATGGAGCGCCTCTACCCTGTTCTCCGCCTGTGTTACAGCCACTGGAAGGCAAAGGCAATCGCGATGCAGGTCTATCCTTCCCTCAAGTCGGAGTGGATCACCATGGGATGGCTTGCTTCAGAGCCAGAGTCAGGTCGCTCGTCAAAGCGGGCGAAAACGACGTCATTAGTGCCTGCCCATGTATGTGATTGATCTTCATTTGATCAGCATTCTGACATCTTTGACAGGTTTCCGAGCATTCGGACGGACACGAATCAGTACGCACACAGTCTCTTTTGATTTAACTCGCTGACACTTCTCCACGCAGACTCCCATCTGTTCCTCTGACGGAACCAATGACACAACCCCTTCAAATCAGGACGCTCCTCGTCGTGCAAGGCAGTATGACGACCCCTTGTAAGTGCTTTGCTCGTTGTTATTTGGCTGTACTTAGTACTGCCATACAGCGCAAGGCCGGCCAATGGCACGGACATACCACCGGAATCCTCACCCGACTCAGCAACCGCTCACTCTCGCACTACCACCGGCGCCGCCACCGAAATCACAGAGGCGTCGACTGCCTCAGCCTCGAACACAGCCAACGCGACTGAACACGCCGAGGGCGTCTCCCCGACTGCACCCCCATTGTCTACCTCCGGTCCCACGAACACAAGCGAGCTCGCCGTATCTACTTCAGGCAGCGCTCGGGCCACCATGGCCTCGACGAATCCTACAAGGGGGCGCTTGATGCACGAGCCACCTGTGATAGTCAGTGGCAGGTGAGCATCGTCTTCTATCACACAACCTTGGACTGATCTCGGCGGGCAGGAGCCTGTGGGGTGCTAAACGGTGGTGGCGAACACACGGCGGTGAGCCGCATGCAACATGGGGTCATTTCCTTAACTGCTGGGGTGCGCTCACGAAGGACGAAAAGGAGGTTTGTTTTACCACTCTCATACCTCTCAATTGCGTGCGCTGACTTCATTCAGACCTGGAACAAGAGCTGTAGCCTCTTCAAGAAGGGCAAATGGACCGATCCCGAACCCACGCCTCCTCCTAGCGACAGCCCGAACATTTGAGCAAACACGACGACTTGGCGACAATTTGACGATTCTTGGTGATTATCTTGGTGCCTGCTACTTCTGCTCGTTCGCTAGATTTCTATGGTTCTCTTTGGCGACCTCTCTGCTCTGCTCGCTCGACGTGACGCTCAGTGGCTCTATCTCAATGTCTACCAAAATCGGTGGGTCTCGATGAGTTTCTATGGTTTCCTACGATCTCTGGGGCTTCATCGCATCGCATCGTTTCTCTTAGCTTATCTTAGTTAGTCATAGAAAACCATATGTAATGAGGCGATGAATCAAACATGCTGTGTTCTAAAGATTCCTATGGCGCGTCTAAGGATTCCGAAGGAGTAGTAATTTTTTCTATGGAGCTATCAGGTTGCTTCGAAACTCATCAAATTCCTTAGAGCCCGTTTTCACTGGGGTTGATTCGTGGCCTCAGCCCTTGTCAATCGTAGCAAGGACGGTAGCTGCCACTCCTTGTTCTGACGACTCGACATGTGCGACGCAACCAGGTGAACAAGGAGAACCAGTACCTCTCGGGTTTCATGAGCTTGCTCAGTTCATGACTATCCGTAATAAACTTAACGATGAATCGCTTCGAGGTCCGAAAGAAATAGTGTACGCGCGTTCGGGCGGGGACAACCGTCTCTCTGTCAAACCACTCATTGTCAGAATTCACGGCTTTCTTAGATCGTTTAAGCTGGATACTTTCGGGAATTGGGATGGGTAAGCAGATCAAAATGTCATTTATCTTTTGTTGCTGACTAATTGTTAATTTTGTAGTCAAGTAGATTCTGCTTCTAGGGCGGCGCATGTTGTTGTACTGCAATCAGGAGGACACAGAACTGCTTGGGGTGAAACGATGAGCCATCTCAACCGCATCGCGCAGTTCGCTAGTCGCAAACTAGGTGTCCCTTTGTCGACACCGGAAGGACCTTTCAAGCGTTTTTTATCAATTCAACACCGTGTCTTCGTCAAGGTGAGCGGTTTTTGACAACCGTTTCCAGCTCTACCAATTCACGATACATAAAGACTTGTATGAACTTGACCGATCGTCGTCATCCGTCCATGCTCGAAGATCCTGACAACCTATACGAACGCGTCGCTGACAATTGGTGCATCGATATGTGTCCGCCCGTGTATACACTTGCCGACAACGACGCTTCTACCTTGCGCACATCTCCGTTGATTTTGACGCATGGTGACTTCGTTCAAGTGGTTGTTGGCTTCGATCTAGTGGTTTCAGGTGACGTTACCGGGCGTCGGACTTTGAAGGTTTTCTTAACGCTTAAGAACACTACTTATTTGAGTCCGGAACAACACGACTCGGGTCAGTCAGTATGTGTTTTATGTTTTCGGAAGATTGGCTTTCAGTTTATACTAAACTTGTTCCAAAAGCAGAGCAACAAGCGGTCTGCATCTGCAGCGGAGCTGTACGACGGCTTGCCCATGGCTTTCGCTCGCGTTCGAACGGACGACGCGGATGTGAACCTCGTCGGTTAAACCTATCACCTACGCAATATCTGCTTCTTTTGTTTGCCTGAACCGTGTTGTTGCCGCTGTATAACATTAATTTTGTCTCCTTTTTTCCCTCTCTTCTTCTTGGTTGTCTTGTCTACTGTTGACTTATATCTGTTCGCCCGTCTCTCTGCCCATACTCGTTGGTCAGCTTTGGTAGTGACGTAAAAATTTACTCTCAATTCGTTTCGACCGTTCCGGCACTAGTCACGTTTTAGGTTCAGCATATGATACAGTCCAATCCATTTCGTTGTCTTTCTGTCCCCTGTGACGTGTGCGATCGATTTCCTTGACTAATGCTCAACACTGCTGACAACCTGTTTCTGGTATAGTCCCTCTATCTTGCATTGCTCGATGTTCGTCTCCGGTGGTGAGTTCATAAATGAATCGTTTGTGACGTATCCGTAACAATCACGACATAGACTCCTAATCGTGCATAAATCTCAGCTGCACTCGAACGCGGTTGTTGATATCTCTCCAAGTTTGCCTCTTCTCCCTTGCGCTTGATTCGTCTACGAGTATAATGACCAGCTCTGAGACAGAACATTTCTACGACGATAACTATGCCATCCAGAAGCACACTCTTGTTCACATGCTAAGTCTTGTCTGTCTTCTACCTTCATCCCCGCAATATCTCTTACGCATTTTGTTTGGTTTTAGCACTATCGGTCTTTTGTCCGAGGGGTATTCTTAGGTGTAGATGCCAATGACGGCCAGCTAGTCGACGTCCCTTTTGACAAGTATAACCAGCCAGACCCTAATGTTTGGATCAAATACGCTCTTCGTTCTTCGTACACCAAGCCTTACGGATCCGTGTCCCTCGTCGGCATGCATCATCCCGCCAACCAACTTCCGTATCATTATTACATCCACTTCGAACCTCAAGATAGTGGTCGGGTCAACAAGCTGATGAACATCTTCATGCGTGGTGATGTCGCTTCTCCTATTAAAGGCAACATCCTTGTCATCTGTTATCGCTTTGGTAATGGTACGATGGATCTCGACGAGTATCAGATCGGAGAAATAAAGATGTTAGTTGCTTGGTAAGCATCCTGTTGAGTAATGACGTCATATGATCTCATCGTCCTTGCATTCTTTCAGCGCCTATAAAGAAGGGAAACTTAAGACGCGCCCTGCTGGTCGTCGCTTCTCTTAATTCTGTTACTCTCCATCCCTTGCTCGTTGTTGTTGTTGTTCATCGTATTTCCTATGTCTTCCAATCTTGCTCGATTCGTAAATGTTGGTATTGATAACGACGATGCATGGGTCGCGACAGTCAGCGATTGCTTTGTACGTATACTTGTAGCTTCTATTGCATTTTGAGTATTGGCCTGTTAATAGCAATCTACAATTTTCAGTCCGATGATCCAGAAGCAGTATTCGTCGGTGACAACTGTCGACAAGGACATGTTGTTCATGTACCGTGTTCAACTCGTGATCGACTTATGTGTCAACTGTATATGAGAACTTCGCGTTATCGTGAACTACGATTGAGTAGTTTACCTGGTAACGAATCTTTTACGTTGCCAGTACCTCTTTGGATTATTTATCAAGTGGGTCCATTCGGTTACGATGCCAGAGTCAATCGCATCATCTGCGACCGAGACGGATTACCAGCTTTGATTGGCAATGTCATGGTTTTTGCCGAAGTAGGGAACGAACCGTTAAAACTTTCCGACCTAGGTTATGTTATTATTGTCGTCAGATGGTGAGTACTTGTTACCGTGCTCAAATGTTTCCAGCAAATTTAATAACCTTCTTTTGCGTTCATGTTATATGTAGCGCGTTGCAACAAGGATTACTCGCTCAGTAATAAAGGAGACTTCGAATTGATTATCAGTTACGGTTACATAGTTGAAATCAGTAGCTTATTTCGATGTCCAATCGTATGTCAGTGACATATCCAAAGTTTCCGAATCGTCGTTGCGACTATGCACTTATTTTGACTTTGTCTTGGATTTCAACTGGCTGTGGTACTACATGTTGATGTCGCATGCCCGCTGGCTATATTCGCCCTCGGTTCGTGCCGGTCTAGCGCCTAAATAGGAAAGCCCCTGTACCATAAACCTTAGCCTCTTGATCACCAAACTCAAGCGTGAACTCTCTGTCCTTGTAGGCATCCCCTCCTACCCATCGCTGACTCTGCTGCCTCCTTAGGTCTTGTTATTCTGTCCGTCGCCAACGTCCATCCTCGAGCCACCCATTTGCGGGTCTTGAAGTGCGTCCTGAGTCATATTGCACCAATGCCGGCCGCCTACACTGTCGGCTTGTTTGCAGATCTACCGGAGCTGGTATGCGGCGTGTTTGGCCTTCCTATCGTCGAGAGCTTTGTTGAGAGCCTTGCAGGTTTGATCTATATGAGATTCTTGAAACTTCCATCATCAAGGATTGTGGCTGCATCCCTGGGATCGACAGTTACGGCGTGCATCTGCCATGACTCAAAGTACCAGTGGAGGCGCAGTTGAGGGTGGATAAAGTGCAGTGACAAAAGAAGAGACTTACTGGGTCGCAGTTGTATACAAAGATTCAGAGTCAGCCAGACCGTCAATGACATAATCAGTAAGTTAGAAAAAAAAATATGTATAATTGCGTTGAACATAGCGTGCATGTTTGTGGAGGTTGCACGGAGATGTAGAGCGCCGAACACGTGGCCGTAATAAGTTAGGTACACATTCACACATGTTGTTTCAGCCAGCTGAATATTTACGACTTTTAAGCCCTGGTGTATAATTAGTTGAGCTTGTTGTTGAATGCCATTCGAACGATATTTGTGTGCGAATTGGATTTGATGGATTTGTCGATGATACGTTGACGATATGTGAGCTTGTATAATTCTATGTGGCCGTGCAATTTCCACACCTGATGCATGATGCAAGCAATCAGTGTTCATTTGTGACGTCATCAAGCCCTTAAACCGTCGTACGTATACAAGCAACTGCCTTTTTCCTCTATATATCTCTCTGTTTCTTCCACTACGCCTCTACGGTAACCTGACCTGGACTGATTATTAGTCGTATCATGTCCTTCGAACCCGTACAACTTACGGAGGATGACTGGATCTTAGACGACGCTGGTGCTGTCTGGCTCTCAGACACCTTAAAAGAACAGCACGTGCGTGATACATTCGACTTCTATGCACATTTACATCTGTATCAATCGTATACTCCGTACAGGAACATACATTGCCTGTATTATACTTGGGGCAATACTGTCGTTCTAGGCATGTTGTCTCTGTGCCGATACTGAAGCACGGCCCCAATTACGAGGTCTACCTCGAATCAGAAGTCTTTCGATGTTTACGTCTCACACACCACCCCGCTAACAAAAGAATATTGCTGCCGTACGTGGTCAACATATTGTACTCCACGGATCTCCATCGGTTCGAGGCTCCTCCAGCCGTTAACATGCATGTCGCTGGAGACACTCGCCAGGCAACTATTATGGGTAGCGTATTAGTAGACATTGAACGTGTTGGAACGCGAACGGACAACTATGCTAATCACTCTGTGGATGTCCAAGATATGTCCTTATTATTGCATATCGTGCGAAGGCAAGTACAGACACCCGTTTAACACCGTCAAGCTCACGTTCCGTTAAGCGCGTTTATGTTCGGATATATTCGGCAGCCGTTCTGACCCGAAATCACATTACGTAACAAATATTACATAAACACAACGTGCTTCGTTTTATCAACAATAGTCGTCTCTCCCCGTCTCGTCCTGTACCCTCTCGACATCATCCCCTATTGTATAACTTTTTTTTGAGACATCGCCTATGGTTAAGAGGTTGAACTTCATATTGCCGTTATCTAAACGGCTCAGTACTTGTAAGAGCATAGCCGTCAACTGCGGCCAGGAGACAACTAATGTTCCATAGGTACCGATTGTATCAGGGACTTGCTGGACCTCGAGTTTTTGCCGCCTTCAACCAGCCATGATGTAATAGGGTTTCTGAATCAAAGTGTCAACGGTTTGGAAGATTTAACGAACGATGTCTTCGTGGAGTTGTGTTCGCGTCTTCGTGTACGCCGTATGTTCTTTGATTGCATATTATTGCTTGCCCACATGTTTTTATCCGTTCCCAGGCGGCTTGCCAGCCTCACCCTCTTCATTACCTATCGCCGACGGAGCAAGACCCCAACATAACAGACTTTGTTTTAATCTGGCATTCTTTTCCAACTCGCAATAGCGACTATCCAAAAGCATCGCGCGAAGCTTGTTTATACGCTAGAACTTGCTTCGACACCAGGGTCGCTGCGGTTGCTATCCTGCTGAGCTGGTTTGTTCATGCTTACTGCTCTCATTCTACAGATACGTTTGGTATACATCGACTCGGCTATATAGCCACTTCTGTCGACATAGTTTGCCTTTTAGAATGTGACGACACTGTGGATATGTTCAAACCCGTCATTTTCTATGGTTCTCCTCACCGCGCCTTGATCGAATGCGACGGGCGCTTGTTGGCAGTAACGTCGGCGCCAGTCACAACCGAACATTTACAACATCGTGTGTCTTTGATAACGTTCCTCTCCGAGTAAGTAAGCTTTGATCAAATACTCGTGCGTCATATTGATCTTATATCAACAACAGTATTATACGCAACAAGCCGGATCGTCATGACGAACTGCTCGGAGACTTATGTTCTCGGATTGTTGCGAATGGTTATAAAGTTCTTTAACTAATACGATTTCAATCGTAATTGATTCATCGCATAACTCATTGTAAGCGCTTTGTTCATTAACTCGTCCTTGTTTGCTAGTTTTATGTTATCAATAACTATTTATGTTTTGGACAAACCCGCACGTGACTTGCAACTGTTCGGCGTGAGGTATGCAAAACTCAACTTGACAGTGAACCGCATAGAGGGGCGGAGGGGAGCGAAGACAATCAATCCGGCGTTGCTGACGCTGACGCTAAGTGAGTTTCAATGACTATCGACCCTGTGTACATCATCGTTGACTTCATAAGTTGCTTACCCCTATTTTCCCTATGTTGCAACGTGATATCATATATGTTGCAACGCAGAAAATATCTTTCGTCAAATCACGCTATCAGCCGTGTGTTATAAGGGAGCGCTCACCGCAGGCGCGGGGGGGGGGGGGTAATTCAGTGACAAACGAAGCTGCTTTACGCAGCTATGTCCGAATCGCGGAAACGAAGCGCTGAGAACAAAGAAAAAGCCGACAACAAGAAGGCTCGGTACATCTTCTATTCGTGTCTCTAGTTCGACCTTGTATTTGACACTTGTGTTTCATTAGATCAGACGGCAACGTTTCGAGCGACGCGCCCGCTCACCGCGTTGCTGACGCAAGGTATGCGCAGTCCAAACCTAATTTTGTACTGTTCTAACTTATTCAATTTTGATGTCGGCACCGACCTTAGGTACGTCTAATGCGAACTATATTTTATCCACTGGCCTCATTCACATCTGTTCTCAGCACCACGGCGCAGTCACAAGTCAATTTATCTTCTAGTGTAACGCCGGCGTCTACTTCTGTGACCAACCCACGCTCTCTCCAAGCACTGATCAATCCTGCTTCTCCTTCTCATCTAATCTACCAGCAACGCGACACCATTGCCTTGGCTGTACCGGTTCCTCCCACTACGTTTGTTGATGAGTCGGAGATTGAGAGTTATCCTTCCGATATTCAGAGGTATGTCTTGTGTTCCTTGTATGACTCCGTTGCGTAATCAACTTACCTTGCATTGTTCATCAGGCGCATCCGATCACTATCGGAGTACGCCAACGAATCGAAGTCTTCTTACGCATTCTCCATGTTACCACGCAGTGCGTCGTGGGGTCACGCTGCGGGTGAAGATCCCAAGGCGGATAAACTAATCTGTGCCCCTGGAACTGCGACGCCACTGAGTGTGTTATTCGTTGGTCGAATCACTTCGCTCAAATTTGTGGAGGCTGGCGTCCCGGCAAGTCGCGCTCAACTGGCTATCGTCCCGCCATGCGCAACGTTGTCCGTTCAAGCGGCAAACGCCTTGTGTGGATTGTCTAGTCCCAAGCTACGTACGCACTTCTTATTCGCAACAGGTGTTTCGACCCTAACGTCGTTTGTACTCCTCAGCATACTCTGCAGAACCGTGGGCGGTTGTGCATTTCAATCGTTGGCAGACGCGTAAATTAAATGGGATCGCAACAGAGGTGCGTACGATTGTTCTTGCCATCACAGTCCGAACCGAATCTGTTTATCTTTCAGGCTTCCTTGTTCAACCGTGTCTACGACGGACGCGCCGGGATCAAAGGTAAACGCGAGATGCACAAGATCCCGGTTACAGCGTTGAAGAAAAAGGACCTCATACTCGTAGAAAGCAAGATCAGCAAGTGGGGCCGCGTCATCAACAATGAATGTCAATGGCGCGCGCAGTATGTCTTGTGTGCCATAATTGTGCTTTTCCAGAGCGACGGTCCACCTGCCGGTGCAGAGTCCGACAGCGAAGAAGAGGTCGATGTTTGCGATGGTCTCGATGTCTGAGTCGTTTACTTTCTGTTTCCGCCATCCGTGTCCTATCTCACGTACGCACAACCTGTATTATTAACGTCTTCTTGAATTCAAGCACACTCCACTCGCGCTTCCGCTTCTGAAGCACGTCCTTCGATTGCGCAACGCTGCCCGACGTTTATCATTGTTTGAATCCATTCTTGGCCCCGCAAACCTAACTTTCTCGAAAATCAGCGCGCCTATATAACCCCTGTCGGCAACCCCTAACGTTTCTCTGCTCGTCACTCTCATCCTCTCTTGTGCTCTCGTGCTCTATCTCCCTCCTTACCACCCAACACAACGAACTCAATATGAGACGTTACATGTACGTCAGTTTACTACGTACACAATCATTGCTGATGCCCAGTAGGTCCGAGCCAGTTTCTTTAGGCGACTTTAAACGGCAGATACGGTACAGTCCAGTTTGCTACATACCCATTTGAACGTTAACCGTCGCTGCTAGATTTTCCGTTGAGGTAGCCCATTTAACACTCCACTAACGTACAGTGTCAGTGTCCAGGTGCGCTCTCTATGAATCTAAAACTCGCAATATTATTCGAATAATCGTACCTCCGCAAACAGCAGTACTACTAGCTCGACTATGTCTAGTGTTCCTCCCTCTCCTGGATCCGACGCTGCCACTACCAATCAACATCAGTCGACGCATCAAGTTTCTGTTGCAACTGGTCCGGGACCTAATCACACATTTGATCACGTTGTCAATATTATCCCTTCGCCCACGTCGACCGGTCACCATGCAACCAATGTCGATTCAAACACTCCTGAGGCGACTACGCGAATGATGCTGCTTCAACTGCTTTTGCCCAGCGGTTCACCTTCTGGGCCCGCTATTGATTGCACGCACGGTTTCAGGCCCGAAATTTGGCGCGATGTGGTTAACACTTACTCTGGTCTACCTTGTGACGAGCGATACATAGGTAACTTCCCTACCATCGTCGTCGAGTGAGTCGCTTCGTACGGTCTATATTACAGGTACTAACTACATTTATAGTCGCATGAGAGCTAGCACGAGGATAGGAAAAATGATTGAAGGCGTACACTCGATTCATTGGATACCTAGAAACGCTGAATGGGGCCATAAATTCGAAGGAAAACACTACATGTGTAAAATGGGGTCGGACAACCTGCTTACAATCGTTTGCGCTGGTGTTCTTACACACATCCAACCCGATCGCAGCAACCCTTCCGTCTTGCGTAGCATTCGCCTGAAACTGACCTCTTCTAGTATGACCGATTACGCTCTGCAAATCCTTCGTCGGTTTGAAAAGCCCACTCCTCATTTCGTAAGTGCCGCCTTTGTCTTTTGCAGATTATTTGCTCATTCCGTATAGTGTTCAGTAATCGAGAAGTACATTTTTATGTTTGGCAGGGGGACAGACCGGTCAGTAAAAAACACACGTATATGCATCTTGTGCTAACAATTCTCAGTCTCAATTTAAAGGCGTTTGGGACAGCCGGTCGCGCTTAACCGTTCGCGCTGACGGCAGTCCCGCCAATGGACCCACCATGCCCGAACTTGACTTCAGATTATTGAGAGTAGGTGACGCAGTACACGTTGACGCCCGACTTCGTCGTCTCGAGGTGATGGAAAACAACCGTGTTCACACAAAGGCGCGGTTCGAGCTTATCCAGCTCGACCTAATCAGCCACAGTCAGAACATTGCCGACGCTGGACCTTCTACTCAGTCGGCTTCATTCATCAACTTGTGATCTTCACGGTTTCGAACGTAGTTCGCTATACTTTACTACAAACTACGCGTAATTGGTTCACTTACTGTTCGCTTTTTGGTTTGCTCCGCGCATGCTGATTTTTCATTCTCCCTGTGCATTCTATACGGTACATGTTCGTGTTCTCATTAATGTAATTGGCTCGTTCACTTCTCCGTCGTACAAACAGCGTACAAACTCTCGGCTTTGTGTATCATGTGACGTTGTTGATGCTTAATTGACATTGTGTCATCGCACGTCATAGCTTGCTCGTTCTTTTAACACTCTGCCTCGCTGCCACTTTCGCTTGTATCTCCGCAACACGTTGTCGCTATGCCTACCAACTGGACAGAATGTATTCATGTCACACCGGAATCGGACTTCCCAACAAAACTTAAATCTGTATACAACGATGCTGTAAGTTGACTATCGACTCAGAACTTTCCCCTTATCTGAACTGCCCAAGCACCTTAAGGCGTTGGGGGTATACATCGGCGACCACTGCCAATGTCTGCACACCACATATTTTCCGGCTACTCCAGCAGGTCATCCGATAGCTCCCATGTTGTTACCGAGCAGTCGATGCAGGGAGATCCGTTTGATAGCCCACCCCAAAGACGATTCTATAATTTTCCGGTCACCTATCCACATCGTATACGAACTACCTCCTTTCACAACCGAAACCCGCGTGAACCCGTGGCTGCTAGATTATCAGCGTCCAGATATACGGTTGCTGTACCATCCCAATCCGGATACTTCTCATATCAAAGGTAGCATGCTGGCTTATCTCGAGACCGGGAACGAACACCTACAAGAAATAAACGGGGACGACATCGTAACGTTAATCAAAGAGTGAGCTCACCTATTCCCGTTAGTTAATAAAACCAGTACTTAATCTTAACAATACCCCAGCGCAATTGATTGTGGCCTCATAACACAGTAAAAAGAATATCGTTGTTACTGTAGTACACGTTTCTGTTATCTGTATATACTTATAAATTTACTCTACTTCTATTGCAATCGGATCACTAATATCCTTAATGTCTTCTTTCTGAGCAATGCCCAAAGTGACATTTTGATGACATCATACGCTGATAGGGTTCTTCTAACAACCAGCTCCTTTACGGACTTTACTATTACGTCCATGACCGACACTTCAACATATTCCGATAGTGACGATGCCTTCTTGGAACTACTTGCCGACGATCTTATTACCGACGCAGGCATCAACCGTGCATTAGCTATCCGTAAGCATATCTCTATTCTATAACAGCAATCACTTATGCACATCACCTTCGTAGAGCTAACTTTATACAGCCACGCATGGCCGATCACAGGCTCTCTATCTTCTCAACAAGTATCCGGTTTGTGTGATAGCGCAGTCACCGGTGATATCGAATGGTTCGAGTTCCAAAGGGCAATTTACATGCTCAGCGACAACGTTTGTATTCGCATTTGTTTGATATCAACGACTGAAGCAATACTCATTGTCGCAGCCTACCCCGTCACCGTCCCCCGACATCAACTCTGAAGTCTTTGTAACCTTTCTCTGGCACCAAACACCGATTAATTCCCTCTATTCTCACATCGCCCCCTTGTCAATCGATTTCCATGTATGTGTACCTAACAGACCTGATGTCGCAGCCGTAATTGCAGGTCTCGCTTGGGTTCTGAGTCGCACGTATCTTCCAATTCAGTGGCAACTTTCTGGTGCTCTCCCGAGCGTTTGCATACATCATATTCAACTTAATCATCATGATGCCGAGTATTCTACAGGCACCATTTTCTGCAGTTCTGCGTGCACAGATTTATATGCCATAGTCAATAATCATTGTATCGACGACGATTTTGAGCATGCTTTCATTCAGCATGGTGTTCATATTACAACGAATTGCGACACTCTTCAATTTTATCCACTATATGTAACACGTATGATTGAGCTTAGCTTTTTATCGAGTAAATAGACAAAACTGTTTCTCCGTCTCTACCCAAGAAAGGGAAGCTAATACGAGTAAACGGTGAATCCATGTGCGACAACTTATAGCATCTGAAAGTGCTGAGGACAGAGACAATCGGCTTCGACGGAAGACGGGTGTTCGCGTCGACAGAGGCAGAGTCTTAATATCAAGAACGACTGTCTTCTGATATAGGGTCTGCCTAGGGGAGACTAGCAGAGTCTGTGTTGACGTTCAAGACCTGTTATGTCATCATTTATCCGACGTGCATGACACTTTTCTGTTTCTTTTAGCTTAGGGTTAAGGTTTGTATTAAAGCCGTGCAACCACTGCTTGGTCTGCAGCGTCCATAGATTGAATGAATGATAATATATAGAAATTAGAAACTCGAGGTCGCAGCCCAAGACAGGTACAAACATGGAAACCCGCCCAGAACAAGTGGTGTGCCCACGAGCGAAGTTGTCCACGTTGCGCCGCATGTGCGTTGACCACAAGGTAAGAAGTAAAGACGTGAAAAAAGCAACCGTCCCGGCTTCAAGCGCGTCCCGAAATAGTCACACACCCTCCTACAACCCTAACCTATCACACCTTCCGCTCCATTCTCTGGGAACCCAACACGCCCGCCGCCCAAAGCAAATCGTATGTCACTTCAAGTCAAAACAACTTCGCCCTTCACGGCAGGAGCCCCGCCCACGTCCACTTCTTTCACGGCGCGCGCACGCTCGGCATCGACGCGTCCGCGTCCAGCGTTCAATTCGCGTCCTTCCGCACTGCACTCATCGGTCACGAACAACATCGCTTTTACCTCTTTCTCTGGATGTCCCGTTCGCGTTTGCTGCCCCATCTTCCATCTTCGCGACTATCCTGACAGGCGTCGCCTTGATCTGCACCTCATCCACAATACCCGGACAGAATATCATGGCGTCCGCCTCATCGTTCGGACCCGTAATCACAGTGTCCGTTTATTGTTCCCGCTCTTGTACCCTCGTCCAAGAAAGTCCTTTTGTCGAGTCTGTAGCACCCTGACTCGGCGTCGGCGTCGGCTGTGGCCTTGCCGCTGCCCTTCTTCACGCCCAAGCGAAGCACGCGCCTCCTCCTCGCCTTCGTCGAACACCCCATCTCCCCGTCATCCGCCACGGCCTTGCCCCTCCTCCCCAGCCCAGCGCTCGCCGCGCCCAAAACCGCCAAACTCCGCCCAGGCGTCGCCGCAGAGGCGGACGCGGAAGACATGCGTTGCGCGGAGAGGTGGTGGTTTTTGCGTCTGCGACTGCGGTTGCATCGGCGAGCCGGGAATGTCGAGCGAGAGGAGGAGCTCGGCGTCGCGAGCGGCTGCGACTGCGTGACGCCCTATCCTTCGCCGTTGGCACACCCATCCCCGCTCCCACGCACAACATGAGCATACAACGCGCGCTGTACGACAACGACCGCACCGGCGATAAAGAGCACGCCGGATAGCTTGTTCTCCAGCGATGCGGGCGCGGCAGCGCCGTGTGTGCCACACCCACTTGTCTTTGTCACTCAATATTCACGTACGTACTATTTTCCAGTGCAGGCGCGAAGTAAAATTTGCTTTCGCTTCTGTCTTTCACATTTTTTTTAGTGGTGTCTACGGCACCAAGTGCCACTTCGCTAATGGTGAAGGGGAATTGCGGTCTGTGGCTCGTCATCCAAAAGTGAGTTCGCCTCCCTTCATGGCCTTTTTGTTGCTCATACTATTTGACAAACTAGTACAAGACGGAGATCTGCAGGGTAAGATTCATAGCTTCAATGGTATTCTCGATGTTAATACCTTGATAGACGTTCTGGGTATCGGGCGCTTGCCCGTATGGGAAACGTTGCTGTTTCATCCACACAGAGCTCCCCGCGAACGGTGCTGCCCCCGGTGCTGAGGGCGTACCTCCCCCTTCTGCGACGATTGACTCTCGCCAACGTGCTAATAGTTCGGCGAGCGATCCCAGTGACGCCCCGACATCCCTTCTCTCGCGGATCTCTCACAGCAGGCACGACCTTGCTACGCCTATTGACACGAACTCTGCAGCTCATAACATGTATAATACCCGACCGCCCACCGGGTCCCTCCGTGTCGATACTGCGTCCCTCACGAATATTGCGAAGCAGAACAAGTCGGCCTATCCGACCCTCGCTAGCCAGCAGAACGCACTGATGATGAACCCGCGTGAATCCGCGATCCACTCGCCGGTTCCTCTGACCGCCGGCCCCGATCTCGGTCGGTCCACTGCCGCTCGTTTGAATATTGTGGGGCAAAATCAGGTATGGCACATTGCCTCTTACAATCGGTCCAGGCTAACTCAATTCTTCTCAGCGTGTTCGCAGGACGAACACGTCTAACCCTCGCCACTCCTTCAACGGGGCGGACGTCGATTTTGAGTACGCCTCCCCGACTACTCCGTCGGCCGCCAACGTCAGCTCCTCCTTCGGCATGGGCTCCCAGAACGACCGCCTTTCCACTTCCGGAACAGCTCCTCGGTCGCACGTCAGGTCAGGCAGTGCAGGCAACTGGGGCAGCTTGACGCGAAGCAACCTTTCGGTTGCTTTCCCCCAGTCCGAGCTCGCAGTTGGGTCGAACCGAGTAAGCAACAACGCACAATGGATCTGATTAAAAACATATCGGACGTTATCTCAACCGCTGGAACGGACTTTGTGTTTTCTTTTTTCTCTTTCTGCATATGTTGTGAACGTTCATGCACTCACCAATCTTTATTATTGTCGCTGTACTCATGCTTGCATACCTTCAAGTCTTTTGCATGACGTAAAGTACCCATCGCCTACATTTCATTGTGCAATATTCCTAGTCCAAATGCTCTTGAATAAAACGCTTTCGTAAACGCGATCATCAAAGATTCCATGATATAGGGTACTACATACAAATATCTGACAGAGAAAAGAGAACCAACACAAACAATAAATGGCCGGGTATATATAGTAGGTCTGTTCTAAGGAACTAGATTCCGAGCGCCTCTACCTCCCTACGGAAACTCTGCATCCGACATTGTGCGTACCCAATATAGTCGAACTCGGGCTGAGTCTCTCCCCTCGCCAAGTCGTCGCGGGCCTGTACGATACCCCAAATCGCCCACATCCCGTGTGATGCTGCACTCCAGATGCGGACTTGACGCTCGAGCGTTGCGAGATCCTTCTCGCTAGCTGGAGATGGGCTCTCGCCCGCCACGTCCGACAGCGAGCTCGCGGCATGCTGTAGGTAGCCAACATAGAAGTTCCGTCGCTGCTCGAGGGTGGGGTACCGGGACGGGTCCAGGATATGGGGGACGTCGGAGTGGTAGTTGGCTGTCCACTCGTGGAAGTGGTTCGCGATATCAAAGGCAAGCGGGTTGACGGCTGAGTATTCGAAATCGACTACGATGATCTGCGGAAATGGGAAGCGACGATAAGACTAACAAAAACATAGCAATTTATAGCATCTGATGACGCACTTGGGCATCCTATGCTGAGCGTGCACTACGTCGATAAGGCCGCCCTTTGTATTAGTTTGTATGCAAAGCATGTACAAACAACCTGTATGGTACCGGAAACACGTTATCGATGGTTAGCTTTCCCCGCGTACGCGCGTTCATTGTCCCAGATACTAACGCCATTTCCTTCGTGCAATTAAAGGTTTGCATTTCCTACAACTGATACGTTACCAAGTTCACTTTATACAGGACAACATGGAACATACGTCTGAGCGATTGTGTTTGATGCGCGATAATGAAGTAACTGATGTCTCTGGATATCGTCCTTATACTAATCCTTATCAATCATTTTTCGAGGAACCTTACCATTTCGAACTTGATGACGTTATCAGCATGTGCGAAGACGACTCCGACATAATCGCAGAACCTTTCGACCTCATAGCGGGATTAACGGATGTTGACGAAGACTCTGACGTCGCAGATGATAAAAGCGATGCACACTCTGAGGAAACTGTAGTTCACAGAGATACTACGACCAACTGTGAAGACGTATCTTCAAAGGTGTGTGTCATATCTACTACTTGGAGTACAAAGTTACTTAACATACTTAGAAACGTACACGCGATTCCAAGGTAACGAGCCGCAAGCTTAACAAAAAAACTAAGCGGAGAAAAATCAAACACAACAACAACGACTCCACCCGTTACGTTCCTTTTCAACCACGGCCTGGACTCGGTAAACTACACGTTCCTTTAGGCCAACCTATCACAATCTCTGAAGCCATTGTAAACTCCCCTCATGTTCAAAGCACTGGATATGCATCACGTGGATGCAAGTACGATAAAAACAGGTATAGTGATAGAGCTGTTGAACTTGACGAGCTGCAATGCGACGGACTTCGTAAAATTGATTGGGATGGAATGTAGGTATATTTTACGCTCAGCGTTACACGATTACTACTGATAATTATCAGAACACCTACGCCTATCCGCGACATGAATGGCTTAATCGTAGGCATGTGTGCAGGAGCCATAACAGAGAAGACAGCCGACGGTGGCCTTGTCATAGACCACCAACTCGTCAATAAAATTACTGCAGCACTTCAAAATGCAGAACCTGAAGCAGGTTACGAACGTGGGGAGTCCTGTAATAAGACGCGTCCCATCAAAGGTATCAATCCCTACCCTGTGCCCACCAAGTCGGTAACGGCTGGGCTGTCACATGGACAAGGGTCTAAGGTAAAACAGATTACACCTGTTTCTGTTATAACTTTGATACTCACGATTCTTGCAGATGCCGCACCATTTCTTAAAAACCAGGAAGCAAGTTGCCAGAAAACTTCTGAAAAATAAATGTATTGCTCGCGTAATCGGTTTCATCAACAGTAAGTTATTCATCTATTTTGACTTTACGTTGGTGTTTATATCCTGCAGGCGCCTTTTGGCGTTACAACCCAAAGCTGTTCAGGTATCAAGAAAAGCATCTTCGCGCAATTCACGCCCACAATCCAGCCCTCACCCGTATCCTCCCATCCGTATACCCAGCAATCACGTTCAATGTAGGCAACGCCATCATATGCTGCAGGCACCGTGATCCAAGCGACTTAGCGCATGGCTGGTGTGCTATATGGGCTGGGGGTAATTATAATCCCGACATGGGAGGGCACCTCATTCTCTATGAATGGGGACTCGTCATAAGGTTTCCACCGGGTTCTGTCATCTTTATCCCTTCCAGTATTGTTAACCATGGCAACACACTTATTCAAGAAGGTGAAACCCGGGTCTCATTCACACAATATTGTTCAGGAGCGCTCATACGATGGGCCGAGTTTGGATGTTGCGCTGTTGATGCTTCTCGTCGTGAAGAAGTCATGGGTCCTCCAGGGGCAAGGTGGAAGAAAATGATGGGTTTGTTTTCAACTGTAGAAAGTCTCGAGGCCGACAGAATGCAGAATATGGTACCTGATGTTGATCCCAAGTAACTGTATCTTTTTAACAAATTGGTCATGAAACATAATTGTACGACACGCACCTTGATCAATCGATTTCCATGCGTGTGTGCAGAACAGACCCGACATCGCCGCCGCAACTGCAGGCCTTACTTGGTTTCTGAAACATGAATACTATATCACTTCAATGCAAATGTTCCGGCGCTCTCCCGAGCTATTGCCTGCATCACATACACCTAAGTCCCCACGATTCCGACTACTCGCCACAGGAACTGTTTTCTGCAGTTCCGCGTGCACTGTTTTGTATGCCATGGTCAATGATTGTTGTGTCGACGAAGACTTCGACTACGCTTTCATTCAACATGGTGTTCATGCTACAACAAACTGCAACACTCTCAATTGCTTATATCAATCTTATGTAACACATACTATCGACCTTAAATATCCATCATGTAAATGACCGACAACGCAAATGCACTACTTGCACATCCCTTCCTTTGGATCCAGGCTCGCCCAGAGGGATTTGTTTAAGTAAAACGCAAGTAAAATGGTAAGGAAAATGTAAGGGTCTGATGGTCGTCAAGCGGCCAGTTCGTTTTTGGTATACCCCTGTTCGCTACAACATTATCCATCACAATGGATCCTAATGCCCGGCTGACGTCGGCTAACAACTCCATCAGAATGCCATTCCCATGTGCTTGTCTCGCATAGTTACGCATGAGAATGGTTTCAGCCTCTCATAACAATGCTTCAAGATGCCCCTGTCCATGACTATCCATTCTAATGCTTAGTCATGCCCGAGGGAAATTTCCGACAAGCCCCTATCTGTCCCGAGCTACAGTCGAGTCGATGCAGACTGTCATCAGCAAGCACTTTGCGGTTCGGACGGTTCCTCTTGCCCATGCTCAAACTGCTTGGAATGAGGACTATAAGTAAGTCCTTGTGCTCGATGTACAGAAGTCGGTTTTCATCGCATGATCCTCTACGTGCCTTATTGTCCAGGTCATTCCAAGCTCTCTCAGGAGATTTATCCCCCATCCGTACTGCTCACTTCGCAGCTAATGAAACCAGTGCTGGCAAAACATCTACGTACAATGGCCAAGGGGACAATGATGGCCATCCGGTGCGAACGGCGCGCACAGCTCACTCATCGCTACCATCGTTCGCACGATGACGGTGCATAGCACGCGTGTACGTGAGAACATGAAATATAGGTGCCATTACTGTGTCATTCGACAAGGACAAATGTGAACAAAGGGTTTCTATCAGACCGCCCGCGCCTATTGGTCTATAGCACGGGCATGGCATGGAAGGTGGGTAGAACCGGGTGGAATCTAAACTTCGCCGTTCGATCAGGCGGCGAACACACGCTCGGCGAACTGGATCATCTCCTGGTATGCCGTCGGGCCAGAGTACTGCAGGTGCCAGACGTGCCTGTGCATGCCGTGCGCAGATCAGCGAAGTTGTACAGGTAGCTGGACGCGGGAAAGGAACGGTATCCAGGCACTTGGAGCGAGGGAAAGGAAGGGAAGAGAAGGGGGGACGGACGTACCCGGCGTCAGGCACGACGTACGTGCTGAAGCTGCTCGCGGCGGGGTAGAGCGCCTGCACACCCTCGAGGGTGTTGGTGAAGTTCGATCCTGCGGGAACGGCGTAGCAGTTTGCTTGGCAGAAGGGGAAGTCATATGCACCGCTGATCTATAAGCCAGCCCAAGGGAACGATGAGGTTGGCATTTGGCTGAAAGAAACGGGAAGATTACGGACCACGGAAACAGCACCAGTAAACGCGGGTGCCGCTGTGATGTTGTAGCCCAGCGTGAGAAGGACACCTTGCGTTGCGGGTTGCTCGAACGCGCGTGCGTAGTTGTACAGCGCGCTATCGTAGTACGGGAAGTACCAGTACAGCAGCTGGTTGTTCCATGCCTACCATGAGAGATGTTTTAGTTCTACAAGCCTCTCGGAAGATGACAGGCCTATGGATGCTTACCCCGACAGTAACGAGGTACGAGTTGCTGACCTCGGCCGCATTGTATCGATCAGGCATGACGACCGAGGCACTCGCGAAACCGGAGGCAGCAAAGAATAGGGGCACAGCAGTGCTACAGTGCAGGGTATCATGAGCATCAAGCATATTCCGACCACCTCACTCCTTGGGATAGCCCACCTGTTGGCCGAGTACCCCGTCAACAGCGCGCCGTCGACCGCAGAAGGCGAGAGAACCGTGACGCCCTGCGCTGTGAGCGACCCGTAGCTGTGGCCTACCATGACGACCTTGTCGTACCCGCCGGTCGGGGAACCTACGATGGCGCCGCCTTCGCGGAGCATCTCCGCGAGCTTGGCGGCGATCGCGATGTCGGTCGACTTCTGCACGACGTTGTATCCGTCCGTGGGCTTCTCGGAGAGGCCGGTACCGAGGCGGTCGTACCGGAAGGTGGAGTGCCCGGCGGCTGCGGCGGAGTAGACGTAGCTGTAGGTGTTGGTGCCATCGGCGGTGAAGTCCCAGTAGCTAGACAGATGGCGTGGTTACTACTTTGAATGCATGGAAAGCAGAGGTGAAGACGGCGGACCTGGAGTCAAATCCAATTCCGTGCAACAGTATCTGGACGCCGGTCGTGTTTGCTCCTGAAAGAGGCGTGCAGAGGGTACCAGCGATGGCGTACGTGTTGGTCACTTCTTGGTAACCGGTAGTGTAGCCTTCGGTGAAGTTGTCTCCGTACGGGAACGTCGCGAGGAACGTTTGCCATACGGCCGTAAGGTAGGTCTAACCCAAAGAGTTAGTCAATGCTATGTAAATGGATTCGAATGAATCGTATCACCTCGTTCGCATAACTGTTCACGTTTGTGAAAACCGTGTTGTTGCTCGTCACCGTCACATTGTACGTCTGAAGTGTACACGCGGCGTTTGAAGGACCGAGACGGTAGGCATCGGTGGGTGCATAACTCGTATTTGCGCTCGATTGAGCAAACGTCAATGGTACCAAGAGCGCAAGGGAGCCCAGCAAAGAGGAGAACATCGCCGTTCGAGGTCAAGGGTGTACGATGAGAACAACGCTGAAAAAATCGCCTCGTTTATCTGGTGCGGCGTGCAAGAAACCCGTGTCGGAGAATGCATTCAGGCATTTGCGTATCGGACGCATCTGTGAGAGCATTCATAAAGACGGGTTATTTCAGGAGATCGCATGCTGCTGGAAGTCGTCAAAGCTAGTGCTGCTAGAGTAGCCAGGGTGTTGCAAGCAAGTAACAAACCCGAGAAAGACGCATGAACTGAGGCGGATCACGATGATGGTCGTCGTTGCTCGGCGCTAACGCTCGCTATACATATGTGTATCCCAGCAAGTGCATTGTCAACGGGCATTAGAGGTCTAGCAGCTACCAGGGCTCCGCAATTGTCCGCGAGTATCTCCGTAGCAAAGCTTACATTAAGAATAGAAGTCTCCGAAGATTCGACTGCATCTTCGCCTCGGCAAATCTTTGGGACTCAGCACGAGAAGGCCCCCCAGTCATCGAGGAAGTCTAAAAACAGAAGAGGCCGAGTGAGAGGTATTAGACCAGTAGCGAGGCATCTCCAGAACCAATGGCGGCGAAGACAGCAGTAGAGAGAAGTAGAGTCTATGTAGATTTTCATTGGCCCAGGATTAAAGAAAAGCGGTGGTTGTGGATCGAGTGAAAGTTAGGTGGTCAGGTGGAAATTGGGTGGAAAGAACCGGAATATCACACACGTCATGTTCTCCTCCTTTCCCACGCCTCTGCGTGTTCAGTTGAGCTGCATCAGCTGGTTGATGCGCTTTGCTACACTAACCTTGTATGTCCATCTTCAACACTGTGCAGTGCTTGCCGAAGCGTTATCGTTGATGCGATCCCTCATTATCTGGCTTCGTTGACGAGCATGGGAGTGGCCCACCCGTTGCAATGGATGTTCGTTTCTTCAGCGTTTCTCACAGCGAAATCATTTTGTTGCAAGCTGGCAGCGAGGGCTGTCTGTCGTGCACGTGGGCGTCGCGCAACGGTCCCACACAGCAACTTCCGCCATTCACATGTCCGTGTCTTTCATTCTCCTGCATCACCGTGACCGGACTCTTTGACGAACTCGGCCATTTACTGTCGTAAAGTCCGTCCGTTCAGCTCCTTCCTATTTGCCCATACTAGAGCTGATTCTTGTGGCTTTCACACACTTTAGGTGCGGGAAGGTGACAGAAGGCGGTAGCAGGCGGTAGCACCTGGTAGCACCGTCAACGCCTGTGAGGCCAGCAGAAGCCAAGTCAAAATTCGTCCCCGAGTTGCCCTCGACGGTCGAGGACCATCAGACGTCGACGCAGCCCCTGAGTGGGCGCGCTGATCATGCGACTTCGAGATCGGTCGTTGCTTTTTTCAAACGACTCGTTGACGAAAGCTAGCGAGCCCTAGGCGTACCCTTCAACCTGACCTTCACCGCCATCTCCCAATGCGTACTAGCTAGGCAAGGGACAACCGTTGGCTGTTGATCACTTCTGTATCTCGACGCTCGATGCAAAGCCAGAAAGCCAAGGCGTCAATCTCTGATGGAATCCGCTACTCGGGCCCTCTCGGGCCCACTCTCCTCCGAGCCAGATCACAAGCCGACCCACTGCCGACTCCTGGTCGCATTCATTTATGCTTGGTGCGATCCACTGCGGTCCCTTATTCGGAACGCATTCAATAACCCGACGTCGTCTGCATGGTCTGCACGCGGTCGACGTCCCTGTCAAACGGACGGGCGACGTGACGTGCCATTTGCTGCGCCACCACCTCGTGAAATCTTTGGTCGATCTCAGATACCCAGTCTGGATGCATGCAGGACCAATGATGTTTAATACGGTGCCTCTACCGCTCGCGCAGGAGCTGGCTACGCCCGTCATTATCCCGTTCTCCCCCTCTTCTTCCAGGTTTCGATGGCGCTGACGATACCACGGGCAGAGCTGATTGGTGTGTTTTTGGAGAGTGCAGCCTATGGTAAGTAGCGCTCGCGTGTGCTGGATGTGTGGTCAGCTGATAGCAGGATGTTCAGGGATATACTTGACGATATTCTCGCAATGCCTGCTCGTTCTGCGGAAACGGGCAAGAAGACCAAACGATTACCTCCTGGGCACTGCGGTGACGCTCTTTATCCTAATCACCTTGGTACGCGGATAATTCTGCCCAACCTGCGCCAGTGCTCATCCCTTGTACAGCACCTCATAATCGACATCCTCCGCAACGTCGAAGCGTTTACAGACGACATGTCGACACCCGATTATCCGGAGATGTACTATGGCAAGTTCAATACGTGGCAGGATATATTGAAAAGCGGGCTGTATGTTGGAGTGACCCTGGTGTCTGATGCGTTCATCGTGCGTCAAGTCCTTGACTTCGTATCCTTGCTTCGTTGACGCATGCGACAGCTTTACCGCTCCTACATCGTGTGGGGCCGAAGCTACCTTGTCACTCTTTTTCCTCTCCTTCTTTTACTCGCCGATGCCGGTACGTCATCATCATAACCCTGGGTCAGCGAGTTGTGGGTAAACGTTGACCTCCCATGTATAGCCATCGGTGTCCTTTGGGTCTACACTTTAAGCGAAGTCACCGAGCTGCGAGCGGACGTATTTTCGGATACCTTGTCTATCCGCGTGAAGACGTTTTACGCAATCACCCTTGCGATGAACGTCATATGTACTGGTGCGTTCTACTCTCATATAATGAGACCATCAGAGTAATATCATCTCATTGCATAGTCCTCATCGCGTACAAAATCTGGAGCATTCAACATGCCGTCTCTCCCTTTTCTCAAGGCATCGGCAAGGACAACGTCCTCAGCCAAGTCTCTGCCATTGTAATCGAGTCCGGTGAGTAGTTTGACCCGATCTCCGAGCGCATGATCACTCTTCTGACTCCCGTCGGGGACCTTCTAGGCTCGTTCTACTCTGCGATGCTCATCGTTATGATCGGAACGTACTCGACTGGATCCCCGGCAATGTTTATGTTCCTCAACAGCGTGAGTTCCCCGCCTGCATGTGATGGTCCGTCCGCTGATGCATCATGATGCATTTGTACATCTAGATGTCGCCCATCATTGTAAGTATAGCGAGCGTCTGTACGCTTCAACCAACTACTAACCGTGCTTTATCTCACTTTGTTTCGCCATCACATGCAGGGCATCGTCGTAAGTCCTGTCTTTCTCCACCAGCGCCTGAACAAAGTTCTGACGCATGCCACTCCTCTGCTTCTTATCCACCCAGTTCTCCTCCGTCATCGTACGCGTAGGCATGGGCGTCAGCCACGGCGACCGGTCGGCCCGCCCTCGCGGCCACTCGGGATCTTCAGTACGGCACCCGTGGTCGCAGACCGCCGGCGGTGCCAGCCTCGGACGGCGGCCGGCATCGGGCCACGCCGACGAGCTGTACTCGTTCCCGAACGGCGGCGTGCAGGTGACGCTGCAGCAGACGGTGCACACGCACATCGATGTGTCGAGGGAGTCGGACGAGGCGATCGATCCTGATAGTAAGCATATGGTCGTGTAGGATGGGTTCTCGAGTTTGGATGCATAATTTATTGGGACGCTCTTTTAATACTGTATGATAGTGAAATGCCGTCATTTACTTTTCACTACTCTGATGCAAGGGTACCATGGTCACTTGGATCAGAAGATAGGGGCTTACTCGGGTCGGATGATGTCGGTATTCGGAATAGCTGCCGGTTCGATCCGCGAAGCCCAAGGCCCAACTCTTTCTTACCTTCTTCCTCCTGACGCCTTGGTTGGAGGCTGCTCCATCCCTTTCCATGATCTGGATGTCATGAATCGACTCCTCTAAATCGTTGCCTGAGAACATCCATGCGCGGTCAGTGAAGAAAAACTTCACTGGCTATAACCTACACCCGAAGTTCTGAGGCTGGAGTTCTAAGGAAGTTTATGTGGACCAATCCTTGAACAGAAGGCATTCTCGCCACACCGCGCAGCATATTCCAGCACTATATGTAGGTAGTTTGGGCTGACATGTGTCGATAGAACGTCGATGGATATGGCCTAGGGCTTCTGGCGCCGCTGCGGACTTTTGCGACTAGTCATCTACACTCCCTATTATCTCTTTCACTCTCAAGCATGTCCTTGAAGATACTCCTCTTCTTCCCCTCGTCTCTCCGTCCCTCCCAGCGTGACATGGCTCCCTCGCATCGGAAGCTTCAGCTCGACTACTTACCTCCACCGAGGAAGGTGTCTTGGCGGAAAACCTTCAAGAAAGACGTTCATCAAAGGCTGCGGAAGCTTGCGGGAGTTCGGGATGCGATGCCCTCGCGTCGCCCCCGGTCCTTGGCGGTATCCGTGCGCAACAGCAGGCCGATGACACCTTCTCAGAGGATCGACTCCCTCCCTTCTTTTACGAAGGTCCTGCTGGAGAGTGATATTCCTGAGCTTCTAGAGTGCCGTGGCTCAAACAAGGTGCTTCATATCACTGGCGTTTCAGGACGGTTTCATGGCCTAAGCGCTGACTTATAATGCAGAACGGATGTTCCGCTGTCGAGCGGTGGTCTCTCTTAGAAGCTCGCTGAAGGTTTACCTGCTTCTTCTCGCCGCTGGTTTCTCGGATCGGTAATACGTTATTAGCGCCTCTTTTTCGTGGAATATGGAACGTTTGGGTGATGGAATCATGAAGTATGCCGATAATCTAAGCAATCTCACCAGGTTTATTGATGTGCGCTCGGGGCGCCCCGTTCGCCGCCGAAAGAAGATGCATTGTATAGATCACTGTTTGAGTGGAGCTTTGTACACGAAAGAATCAGGATTGCTGTTTACATGAGAAAACACACGTTTATCTTTGTGCTGAAACGAGCCCTGCATGTCATATTTCAATGATCGCGAAGCCACCAATGCCCTCTTCTATCCGAAAGAAGCAACGTTCACAGCCATGTCCTCTTATATAAGTTTCCTCGACAAGCGTTTGATGAGGTTTTGTGTTGCTGTCTCGTCATCCCAGCATGTATGCTTCACTCGCCTTGTCTTATGATGAACTAGTCACAATTGTCAAAACGGATCACATTACAGCGGTGCGTGCATCCTAGACTCCATAGAGCTACCGCTCACTTAATATATAGTACTTTGCAGGTTAGGGCTTTACATAAAAGCGCTCGAGCTATGCGACCTAACGAAGCCTTTGCCTAGTCGCGGGTGCATGCATAGCTGTGAGAACCTGGTTGTTGTTGAAATCTGAGTGCAGACAGGAATAACACCGGCACTAACCCTACGTGATACAGGTATACGATTGGGTCATAGCTCTTGATCTGGAGGCCAAGTTCATATGGCCATCACGTCTGTCGCTGATGAAGCTTTTGTACATCTGGACCAGATACCAGGTTTTTGTGCAAGTGGCGCTAGTTCTCACATTTGGCAGTAAGAATCATTGTCTTCATATTTGGACTTACGGCGCTAACACGTTTTAGCGTCATTTCAAGCTTTCGAAGATGGTCCTTGCAAAGTACGCGCGCAGGCTCCTATCACATGTAAGCATTTCGTCCCCGCACTTGCTCTTTGTTCACTCAATGAATTACTTCAGATGCTTCGAACTTGGTTCCTGTCATGATATCAGAGCGTAAGGCATGTCATAATGTATCGTACTTATCTGTGTCTCACTCCCAAATCCCAAGTCACCGTTGTTATACGCACGTGGGCCGTATGGGATAGGAAGCGTGCAGTTGGAGTGTGCATGTTGGCGCTATGGATGGCGCTGTCTGGAACAGCCTGCTTCTTTACATATACGTCTCTGGCGCCAGTACATGGTCGGTGCCATTCACTTGTAACTCATCTAGCCATAATCTTAACGCCACTTTCTTGCGACTCTGTTTCCAGTACTCTGGGCATCGACAATGACTGTGCGGTCCCGCGCACTGACGCGACTTGGATTCCACTGATATGGTTCGTACTGTTATCTGGAGACTCTGGTAAGTCGACCATCTACTCTTCGAAGTTTTACATCAGCTTCTGTTCTAACGCGCGCGTAGCTGGTATTTTCATGTTATTGCTGAAGTCATTCTTGCTCTGTAAAACCACCATCGCATTGTGGTCTTGACCAATGTCTGACCTCTCTGTAGATAAACTCACGCGCAAGTTCTCGGGGATGCTAGAAGTCATTACAATGGAAGGCAAGTGCAATGTGTGTGCCATTTGCCGCCTGTGTTTCTTACATAGTTATTGTAGGTGTTTACTACTACATAATGATGCTGGGTAAGTACAATCTTTATCAAAAGATGTGTTGCCGTCTCATCCCTCTTCATAGCTTTAGTCGTCACAATCGTTACCGCCGGTCAACTCGTAAGAGCTTCAATTTTATCGCCACACTGCTCTATGATGATTTAATTCTCCTTCAGTACAGGAGCGTCGATGTGACATTGGCTCTTGAGAGGTAGGTTCATTATCCTTTCGTGGCTACTAAGACTCAAATTTCTACTATCGAAGATTGGGGCGTCCATTTCACGCCGTTCTCATAGCTCGTTGGATCATTCACACTAGACACATGGCAGACGCCATAAAAAGTGACGAGATCTCCCTAACGACGTTCAGGAATGTTTAACCTTGTCGGTTTAATGGTTTACCGTATTTCTAGCGGTTTGGCGTCACGCTACTATTTATATTACGGATGAACAGTCTGTTCAGCTCTTTGTACACGATATTTAGCCCTTATTTCGTCGTCATACAGAGTCCTATCATCTGTTATGTTACTGCTTTGTTAATTGGACCCCTCTTGAAGATCTCACACCCGAATGTGGCTCGAAATGATATGAGTTGTCCGATAAACTAGTCCAAATAATGCTAATAAGTAATGCAATAATGTGTTCATGTGGGGACAACGCGAGACCCCGTAGCTGTCCTATGTGTAAGAGGTTCCAATAAGGGTATTACACAAGACAAGAGACAAGATTGAGTTAAAGCTTAAGTTTCTAGGCATTATGGGTATGGCATCTCACAGCTCATTCAGCTTTGCGGATCGTTAGACCTTACCTTCAAGTACGGCCAGGCTAACTTAATCTTCTCTTACAGACAATGCAGTATCTATGGTGATGAACGGGGCTAAGGGAACGGAAGCTTGTGGTACGTCGACGTACGTCGTTGGTGTGGCCTTATTTATTCTCGGAGGGTTCCACGGACGGCGGAGCGCGCTTTTCCATCTCCGCCGCTGTAATCGCGTCAGCCAACGGCATGGCTCCATCCGCAGACCGTGGGTGCGTCAATGGCAGTGAACTTGCTGTACTGCATGGGGACTACTTATGAGCCACGCTGCAACGGGTGAGGGGACTCAACATACTCCCTCACTATGCTGAAGTTGCTACTGACTCTTGTCCTTTCTCCCATCCTCTTCATAGCGACTTTCTTAGTATTTGTGCCCCTACGCAGCACCCTAGTCCGAGTCAGGGCCTACTATGATCCCAAACGCGTCGAGCTCGAATCAGAGAAAGATGCCCTCCCACCGACCCAACGTGTCAACCTCAGCTACTTTGGGATGCTTAAACGCACATATAAGATTGAGGTAAGCATTGAGCTCACGCAAGATTCGGTAGAATATACCTGACCCGTTGCATGTGCAGGGTGTTTCAGGGCTTTACAAGGGTCTCAGTAAGTGAATCTTAGACGTCTTAGACCTTCAAACCCACCCGACGGTTGCTATCACGTTAGTGCCCAGCATAGCCTTCAGTGTGGTTACCGTGATTGTCGGGGGAGCTGCAGGATTTCTCATCTTTGATCGTTGCCGCAACGGCAATGGTTTGGATGATTCCTGCGGTAAAGCAGTCGGCAGACCGCTTATTCGTATGCTCTCCTTATTGATCCAAGTTCCGGAAGTCATCATTGTGCATCGGTGAGTGGCATTTCGACTGTATGAATGTGCATGTCTCATGTATGTCTACCCAGAGCTATGACGACACCTATCAAACTTCCGTACTTCGCCGCTTTTCACTCACTACGCACCCTTCTGGCGCCAACGGAGCGCCAGCGGCCATGGAAACTATTCCTAGTTCCCGGATTGCTCTGTGCTCTGGCTCTTACCACAACATATTCCGCCCTCGTACCCCGCACCCTTCGCACGTCGCTTATCAGCTTCGGCGACAACACAATCCTGCCCAATCAGACATCTGCTCGCATTTTGGCGTACGCTGTAGTTTCGGCTTTGACCACGATGGTCATGACACCTGTTGAAGTCATCATCGTTCGATTGTCTGTCCAGCGCCCTACTGAAGTGTCACGGGAGTACACCGCAGTCGCACAAGAAGCCGGCGACCACGGGGAGGTCGTTGTACCTTACAGAGAGGAGGACGTCATCGAGTGGGCTATCTTTCTTTCTTTTTAAGGATGATGTTTACTGAATGTCGTTCAGGTTGAGGGCAGACAGAAAACCGTACATGGGACTTTTCGACTGTGCAAAGTATATCATTGCTGAAGAGGGATGGTCAACGTTGTATCGCGGGTGGTGGATCACGATGCTGTTTAGTATTCTCTAATGCCTTTGTAGACGATGCATTACGAGTACATCCATGGCTTCCGCACGGTAAGGCTTAATCTGTAGTTATTTGGAGAAATGCGCACTATGGGACGGATTTGAGCTAGTTATTAATTTGTAGAGTAATATTGTCGGCAATGCGAATGCATCCTCCGCTCTCCTGAAAATGTAATTCTGTTGGATTTTACAAATCTTGCTAGAAAGAGATGAAAGTGAGTCATCCAACACTGCTCCTGTGAACCAAGAGGGTACAGGACCATCCTCTAGCACTTATCTTCAAGCACAACCCAAACACTAGATTGACCGTCTCTTGTAGACGGTCCGTCTTGTGATCAGCAGCAAGATCAGCAGCAGCTCAAAAGGGATGTTAGCTTGTATTGCATATTTAGTAAGTACTTGGCCTTCTTTATTCTCACGCCATGGGTCCCACGAGCAACAAAGCATGGTTCTTCCTCCCCGGCGCTGGGCAGCAAGCCAAAACATTGCATCGTTACTAAGCGAGATATTTCCATTTGTGGGTGACAGTGACCTCGAGGCTGTATTACTTGAAGTTGGGTGAGTATATACAAACTGGCGAGATTGAAAGAACTTGACACGCTCCACCACCATGCTCGATGTCTCGCCGACTCTCATTCTCTCCCCCTTGCTCTTAGTAGTGGGCCTCTTACTCTGGGTGCCCTTAAGGGGGGCCCTCGTCCGCTTGCGGGCTCACTACAATCCCAGACGTGTTGAGCTCAAATCAGAGGATGATGCGCTATCACCGGCAAAATGCGTCGGCCACAGCTACTTTGGGTTGATAAGGCGCACGTATAAGATCGAGGTAGGCACCGCACCTCACCACAGTCATGCAGGCATCCCGTGAACAATAACCTGACCGTGTTCCTCGTGCAGGGTGTTTCAGGGCTTTACAAGGGTCTGAGTATGTGATTATCAGACTGTCCAGCTCTCTTAAAAATAAACATCGTGTTAGTGCCCAGCATAGCCTTCTCAATGCTTTCTATGATTATTGGGTCTGCCGCAGGATTTCTCATTGTTGACCGCTGCCACAACAGCAGGGATCTGGATGTCCCGTGTACTGAAAGACTCACTGCAGCGGTCGTTAATATATCACCTTTGGTTATCCGTGTGCCGGAGGTCTTAATTGTGCATCGGTAAGCAGGGTTTCAGCTTGAGAAAAACGATAATTCATGCAGGTTAATACAGAGCTATGATGACACCTATCAGGTTGCCATACTTCGACGCTCTTTATTCTATACGCAATCTATTTACGCCGACAGAACGCCAGCGGCCGTGGAGGCTGTACCTCACCCCCGGATTATTCCCTGCTGTTGCTCTTTCTACTGCTTACTATGCCTATGTACCCCGCATCTCCCGCGCGTGGCTCATGGATATGGGCGCTAATGGGGGAAATTCACCGAATCAGACCTTCTCTCGCTTTTTGGCTCATGCCATCGTTGCGGTGTTAACCACGGCGATCATGACGCCTATTGAAGTCATTATTGTTAGGTTGTCTATGCAGTACCATAATGCAGCGGCACCTGTGTTTACAACTGCAGTCGCGCAAGAATCAGGCGACCATAGGCCAGAAGCCGTTGTTTATGGAGAGGATAATGTTATTCAGTGAGCTCCTTTCTTTTAGCCTTGGTCATTATATTGACTGCTTGGTACCCAGAATGAGGAAATGCAGAGACCCTTACACAGGTCTTTTGGATTGCGCGAAACGCATCGTTGTTGAAGAGGGGTGGTCAACGTTGTATTTGGGATGGTGGATTACGATGCTGTTCAGTATTCTCTAACAACTTCTCCGAGTCGTCTGGAAGACGATGCTGGTTCACTCACATTCATGTCCGCTTTGGGCTCATTCGGATACGTATGAGGTGTATACTGGATGATGTTCGCCAGTTATTAATACTTACTTGGTTGAAGGGCAATCGTCTGCAATGCAAACCTATCCCAAAACATCACCAGGGACTACAATGCTCTCGAAGTGGATAAAATCAGCAAGAGTATACAAGAAAGATGTGTTGTAAAACACTGCTCCTGCAGTCAAGATTCGACACAACCTCAAACGGGATGGCATGATGGTGGAGTTCGGACCAATTTAAGGGGCTTCAAAAAGGTCTCGCGGGAGGTATCCCCCTGAGCGGACTTTGAACCAATGTCTCCTCCGCTTCTGGCTTTTCCTTGGACTCCTCGAAGACTATCTCGAGCTCGTCATGCACTACTATAGCCTCACACGCTTACATTATCCATGAGCTCTTGGTTTCTATGTCAAAGACATGGAAGAATTCGCGAAAACATATGGTAAAACTGCTGTTTGAGATGCCCCCTTGGAATGCTCTCCTGTTTGCATTCCACCACCAAACAGGAGTCAAGGATGCACAACTGCCCAGGCTCCTTGCCGTTAAACTTTCCTCCTTTGTTCGCTCGCGTTATATCAATGGCGCGCACTCTCGCCTGATGAGTTCCCCCACTCCCTCCCTTCGTTTCTATCTCCCTGTGCGCCCTAGCCACCCCAACTATTTATATTCGTTCAGCCTCGTCACAACATATGTCCTTCGAGGCTCTCCAGTGGCACTGTGTGCTCGCTTCTATATGGATCTCAGCTGGTCTTTTCTGCGTCCCCATTCTCGGTGTTTACCATCTTACGGCGACTCTCGTGTCTGCCTACCACCTTATTCTCAACGTGAAGAACGTCGTCAGCGAAAGTCTTCTGCAGGATGTTCTAAAGGATGTGCACAAGACGTCTACGAATCGTGCGTTACTTTAATCGCTGATTCAGCTCTTTCGTTTGACTTTCGACCCTCCAGGTGACGGATTGCGCGAGGAAGCCTCAGCAGGTCATGGACTCGAGCGATCTACTGGGAAGATCCATGCTGGCCATTGTCCGACTCCCTTGATACGCCAATTGTCATCGTCTGCTCACGGCTCGTCTCCGGCTATGACCTACTCTCTCGAAAGCCCCTGCCTTGGCGCACCGCTCCCTACTAAGCTAGTCTACGGAATCGCACCATGGGATTCGTCTCGGAACCCCGAGCCCAACTACCTGTACACTATGGCCGATGTCGTTCGCTTTGGCGATATGGTGATCGCTCTGGAGCCAGGCGAGCAGTCGTATCCGCTGAGAAGGAGGGGTGCCATGAAGTTCAAACGTGAGTGCCGTTTTCTTTTCCTATAGACAGCGTGCTGACAACGGCTGCCCGCGCTGTTCTAGGACTGGTCAGACGGGAATCCGAGGACACTGCGGGCAGTACATCGTCTAACAGCCATGAAGACGCGTCCATTGGGTCGCGCATGCGCGTCACCTTCGCTATTGACTCAGAAGCTCCTTCGTTGCTTGGATCGGACGGGTCGTCCCACACCGCTGTATCTCGCTCTTCTTGGGCCTCCGGCGACACGCTTGTTATGCGATTTTTTCGACGTTCATCCGCGTTAGGAGCAAGACCACCCACTGGCCCAGCGACCCTAAAAAAGAACAGACTGAAGGGGCTGGTGAAGAGACTTCAATCTGCGCGCTGGTATAAACGCAGATCTTCTGCTAGCACAAATGGATCTAGATCACAGTCGTCCGCTGTGGCTGGTGTCTTTCTTTGGCAAAGGCTGGTCCCGAATCGGTTCAAGCGCTCTCCTTGAAGGCTGTGTCTCTCTTATTCTCTATTCGCTCTCTCGCGCTCCTTGGAATGCCCTGTTATCGATGTTGCTCTCTTGAACTTCACACTCTTTTCGCTCGCTGAGACGTTCCTCTCTATTCTCTAAGCTTTCCGTTGATAACTGGCCTTGTGGTTATTCAGCTCCTTCGTTATTAGTTCGCCACCTATTGTTCTACCGCAGCCCAGTTGCATAAACATCTGATACGTATATTTCGAGTAATAGATTTATCTTCCATCGACGTTGTCGCCCATGTACTGTCCAATCTAAATGCAATCTCATCGACATTTCCAAAACTTACCCTGCAAATTCCATTACACCCTTAGCAAGCAAAAATCATGAATTGTTTCTTCATGACAATGTACACACTCGCGAACAGAACGAAGGTAAAGGTAACATGCCTATTCAAGCTCCCTTGTAGCTTTGGATGCACACCAGAAACGAGACAAAGTCGCTACGTACTAGGCGAAAGTGATGCATGAGATCGGGAGTGCAGAGACAACATTGACTAGCAGTACAAAGGGATCTAGGCTACATATCAGTGGTACTTCACCGTACATGCAACAAACTGGTTGGCCCAGTATGAATCCACCACTGTGCATGCAGAAGCGGATGGCGGGTTGGTGTCGCTGGCTCAGCATGTGAAAGCAAAGTCAATATCGGCGTCGACGCCGCGAAGTGGAAGGCGCGTGTTGCAGGACTTCAAACGGAGTTCGCAGGCTTATAAGGTCTTGTAGGGTGAATTCATGGAAATTTGTCAGCTGAAAGCTAATGTTGTGAATGTGTTGATGGGAACGCACCGTGCATACGTCGAGGGTTGTAAAAGATGACCTCACATCGCCCGGAGCCCTGCGCCCGTCTACCTCAGTCTCCTTCCTTTCGCTTCTTCCCCTTCTCATCGCTCACCCCGCCGTCCTGTGAGGACGTGCCGAACGCTCCCCGCCGCTTCCTCCGTTTGTTCTTGCTCGCGACCTCGTTTGCATCCCAGACTGTGCGGTTTCCTTTGGGCCTCAGCCGTCGCTCTTGGTCGGGCGCAGAGGGAGAATCTCCAGTCTCGGAAGTCTCGTCGTTGAAGAGCAGTTCGAGCACCTCCTCCGAGTCGCGGTCATCCGAGTCGGGGTGGGCAACAGAGGGCTCCTCGCTGCCGGTGGAGAAGCCATGTGCCTGAGGGTCGGCGACGATCTTCCTGCGGAACGCGTAGAGCGCGCGGCGGTGTTTGGCGGTGGGGGGCCGGGTTGTCGTTGCGCCGTTCTTCCGTGAGCTGGTGCCGTTGGTGTTGTCCTGGTGATTGAACATTGCTAGAGTTTTGGTCATGAAATCTTCATCTTTCCAGAGGGGGTGGTTGGAGAGTGGGTCGGAGGCAGAGGTGGCGGTGGTAGTAGAAACGGGAACTGGGGAACTCGAGGGCCCGGCTGGAGCGGTGAGGGCGTCAACGATGCATTGCGCGAGGGAGGGGGAGGCTTTCCCGGTTATTGGGCTGATCGGAGGGGGGGTGGGGAGCTCGCCGGCATCTCCGGCACTGCTGCTCGGGGTGGAGGTGCTCTGGAGGGTTTGCTGGTGATGCTTCCTCGCAAGTCTAGGCGGTATTGACACTGGTTGCCCTGCGTGATCTTGCATGCGTGATGGCGTCCGGTCATGCCTCCCCTTGAGCCTCGAAAGCAATTTGTTTTGCGTCCCGGGCGTCAGTCGGGCGTGTTGGAAGAGGCGGTGGAAGGTTTAGTAGGCTGTCCGTATGTGGTGGGCGAAGAAGAGTATTGATGACTTGTGATTGGCCCGCTTAGTGCGCCCGTCGTCGATGTTCTCGCGCCCACCGGCTCAAGAACATCGTTACACTCTTCATACCATCTCATTGGATGGGACATGAACTTACTGTCGAGATATCGCACCCAGATATCAAAGCAATCCACATAAATACTTAGTAAAATCGTACATCCTTCAGCAATCCTTCATGAACAGTTGGCTTTTTTGACATGAATTGTGAACATTTGGACAGCCTGAAATTTTCAAGACTTGACCACAATTCTAGTATGCACATCTGTGATCGGGTCTACGGTATATATCGATCGGAACTTTACTATATGTTTTGAATGTTGCATTTCGTTAGCGTGTCAGTTTTTCCTTCATATGTGTTCAACAAAACGTCTGCATATTCCTTTCCTCGCCCTCTATCGTGTCCATGCATCTCAAAGGCGCCAATCTCCCCTTTCTAAGTTCGCCGTCCCGTACCATACCTGAAGCACCCTGTTGTCTATCTTCACCTGCCTTTTGGATACTTCCTCAATCGCTGAATATAGCTGCGCTCTAAACTCAATGTTCTTGTTCATTAGTCTGACGAATTTGATTTCTAGCAACTTTATCCCCGCCAACTGTTCCAGCTTTCCCAAAATCTCACATTTCATCATCACCCTACATTGAACATAAATAAAATGTGATTACTTCCCTTGCACGGTATTTAAACTCTTGACATTCCGAGTCGGTTTGATATTATCACGAGTTCAGCATCTAGCAGTATTAAGCTAGTTGGTTGAGGACTTGTCCTACCTACTTGCTTGCCGAACGTGGCGCTGCCACTCCATGTGTCACTGTCAGGGTTCTTCCGGACTCGGCGCCATCCCGGCTCACTCTGGAGCCGACATGAGCGCCTGCAATATGGAAACTGGATCGCTCCCTTTGATCTCGAGGATGCGTAGTGCCTCAATTCTTTCGTCGCTACAGTTTCGTCTTGGAAAACAAGATCATGGGTACTACTTCGAAATTTAGCCAGCGACGACGACATACAACTATGATTCGTTCTGTTGGATTTGAGATCCGGCAGCAGTGGCTGCGTGTAAGCTCCGAGAAATATATGAAGGCTCCTGCCGGAACTTCGATGGCAAACCAAGCCCTAATACTGCGGAAACCCTATTATTCATTACAGTAAGGAGAAGTCTCCTAGAAATGTACATAATTCTGTTTAGTATAAAAGTAGTCGAGAATCGACTAGAAGCGCAATCGGCGGCTTCCCCCCCCTCTGAGCGTGATTCCCAAGTCGTTCGATTACTCCCGATTACTCCTGCGCATCTAGCATCATGCTGAGATCATATTCACTGTATCTTGGATGTAGGTACCTTTGCCACCGGCCACTCGTACTGAATATATATACCATGGTCGATGGTGATGCCATCCTTTGTTCCACTTCTCGGCCTATGTAGAGGTTTGCGGTGTGGAACAGTTCCTAGTCTTTGGAATATGCACACCACACCATCCCATATGGTCCCAAAAGTAAGTTGTAATTTCTTCATCGCTATTGCTAGGGTCGGTCTCTTGATACACTGAAGGAGTGATTAATACTTTGAACTCGCAAATGCAGCAGTAGCCGTCGAAGTGTTGCGCCATCCCGATCCCGTCCCGCCTCAACTGGAACGTTTTCACAAATATGTGCATCGGGTAAATGTCATCATGTCCAAACCAATAAATTTCTGGCTCCCTGCTACTCAAGTACTCAAGCCTTTTTCAACTACGAGCTGCGATTATGCCAGCATGCGGTTCGCTTTATCACTGACCACAGCGCCAATTTCATTTCCAGGAGCGTCAGCACACTAAATTATCATGTCCCCGACTCCTGTAGACATCACTGTGTTTAAAATCCACCTTATGATAACGCAAAAAACACTATATAACAATGCACGAAATATTTGAACCGTGAGGTATTCAAGCTATCATGCCTATAACATCTCCCAGTTTAGGTTAAACCCACAACGTCCACTTCATTTTCATCGCGATACGAACATCATTTGTGGATCTCCGTGATGATCGCGCCGCCTATAGGTGGTCCCGGTGTGAACCATGCCTTCATCTATAGTATGGTGTATACTCAGATGTCAACGCCACTTTTGCCGCCTGTCGCAGCTGGTTAGATGGTGGCACTGACGTGGTATTCAGTGGTACTCGGAGGTTCTCATCCGGCTCTCTCTCGCTCTATGTCAGCCGTTATCCCTTTACTGCCACAGTAGATATGGAGTCTCAGAACTTGCGCTATACTTGAATTGTGCACTTAAACACGTGCTACCTATACTTTCATGGCCCACAATCTATCTCGCTATGCCTCAAAAATAAGATGTGGCGCCCCCGCTTTGCCAAGGAGGGACGGATTCCATCACATGGGATCCTCATTATGCAGCCTTTGGACTTGTAATTCCACTTGAACACGGATGGAACTTCGTTCTTATATCGCGATTCAGGTATACAAAAACGTATTCGGCCTTCGCTTGATCCCGCTTCTTTGGACCGGACATGTACTACTTTCATTTTGAGCAAGCGCTCATAGACTGTATAAGAATGCCCTATTTTTTTCTTGCGAGGGCTCTCAAAGTAACCACATGAACCCCAGCTTGTCCTCTCCAGAATCTGGAACATGCCTCCGTTCATTTTCCCCCCTTATTTCGCTCTTGATGACCTTTGTGCAATCACGGGAAAGGCCTGCAAGCTTAAAGTGAATCCGCTTCAGAATGAAGCAAACACATTTGCTTGCCAGTGGTTCGACAGGTATGTTGCCCAAAATCTCATTTTTCTCAACGAAGTGCTCATCAACATCAAAGCATTGGTGTATGCGACGAAGCATGGAAGATCAAGTTTTTGAATTTGGGGAAATTCGACCTGTTCGCTGCACTCAGTTTCCCGGATGCAGACCTAAAGCATCTCGAGACATGCCTCATGTTCTTCTTTTGGGCCTTTTCGGTCGGTTCTTGATACTACCCATCCTTCTCAAGGTTTTATATAACATTTCTGTAGACAGATGATCTATCCGACGAGGGAGCTTTCCAGGACAGTCCGTCTCAAGTTCAAGCTGGCCACGATATTTCCAACGCCGTCATCGATTCCAGTCTTGCCATGGATAGGCCGTCTTTTCCTTATGCTGCGATGCTGTACGAGTACGTCCATAAGTTAGCTTTGGTTTTTATCACGGACTTACAGAATATCTCCTCGGTAGCTTACTTCAACGTTTTCGCGAAACTGCCACAGCTGGAGCCTATGACCGGTGAGCAATAGCAGATAAAATGAAAGGGCGCACGGTCAATAAAGCTTACGCGTAAATAGGTTTATCCGTGCCTTTCAGGATTGGAGCTCATCTCAGGTTCTGCAATCTCAAAATAGATCACAGGGTAGGTTACCGTCTGTTGAAGAGTTCATCTTGATGCGTCGCGCCACAATCGGAGGCGCCATGGTTGAAGGTAAATTGGGTGTCTCCTCTTGAGAGAAAAAGCTAGCTTCTGACACGTAAATCCTTGAAGCTATGGTTGAGTACTCGTTAGACATCGACCTTCCGGACTACGTCTTTGAGCATTCAACAATCAGAGCTATGTCAGACGCTACGAATGACATGATGACTTGGCCCAATGTAAGCTGCTCCTGCTATTATTATTGGAATTATTTGCTAAGCTAATTGTCACACTTCAACCTACAGGATCTGTGTTCATTCAACGTGAGTAACTCGACCTCTGTATTGGCACACCCAACACTTCTTTATTTATATCTTAATCTCAGAAAGAGCAAGCTAACGGCGACTACCAAAACCTCGTGTTTGTCATCATGAACGAGCGCAGAGTCGACCTCCAAGAGGCAATCGACATTTTAACAGACATGTTATCGCAGCGGGTGGACGATTACCTCGCTCTCAAGGCCTCCTTGCCGTCTTTTGGTTCGAAGGTTGATCACGAGCTCTCCCGCTACATCGAAGCGCTGGAATACTTCACGCAAGGCACCGTCCTGTGGTACTACTTGAGTCCCAGTACGTCCTATGCAGCTCTGAGGCTGATGCTTTTGCGGGGATCCAGCTGACCATACCTTTTGCCTTTCAGGGTACTTCCGTACTGTCGATGTCTCGGATAGGCGCTGCCTCGTTATCCCCCTCTTTTCTGCCGGTTTTCAGTAGCTCACCGAAAGAGACACAACGATATCTGGGTATTTGACTCAGATAATGCACAGGCAGTGGTACCGTGATGGTTCGATAATTTCTGCGGCGCTGACGTGCAATGCCGAGTTCAGGGGGGCAAAAGATGAAAGAAATGAATGGATGTGTCATGCTTACAGAGAAGAGTCAGGCTTTTAAATTTAGTAGACCGCTTAGTCCATGTTCGTTTACTCGCGCTTTTATCAGGTTTTGCATATGATACATGAATTTGCCCTAGGTAACCTAAGGTGAACCTAAGCTAGAACATGGGAATGATTAAGTGAGGAGTGCCAAGGTCGGGGAGGTGGGTTTCGGTGCTGTAGAATACCTCCCATATGTTCCAACATAGATCCAGGTATCTAGCCGAGGCAGCGCGGCGGCGCTGAGCGTCAGAGTTTGATTCAGGCTGGGTGGCGGTGGCTGAAGGCGCTTCCGTTTGGGGTGTTGCTTGGACCTGGTGATCTTGCTGGCCCGAGCCCTTACTTTCGCCTTCGGAAGGTTCTGTTCCCAGCGTAGACAGGAGAGCCGACAGCGCGAGTGGACAACGCATGGGGACGGACCGGCCTTCGTACTTGTCTTCTTCCGACTGCGAGTCCCAGGTGGTCTACATCATGTCTCCCAGCTCGCCCGCGATACTGTACCATTACGACCTTAAGTTCTCACCCCTCAATCTCCCATTGCTGCAGAATACTCACTGTTCAATTTGGATGGCTATTCCGCGTTTGTTCCAACTTTTTGAGTTATTTTGTTTAAAGAATGGTGCTAGAGACGGGTACATCTACATCAGGGCATTGGCTATGGAGCAAAAAGGTGGACAGGGGACGCACTCAAGGTCGAAATGGTACAGTATTTGCGACCCTGTATCGCTCGTAGGGCAAGCCTGGTTGGGGCTTGTTGTGGATGAAGAACCAGGAGCATTGCGTCAATGGGGTTGGGATTATTGCAGCGGAGGGGCTGTTTGATGAAGGTGTGCCTGAAGTCAGTGGAGCTTGAAGGAAGCGAAGATGCTAGTAGAGTTTGCGGGAGCTAGTAACGGAAGATGGCACCGCTAAATGGTGGAACAGTTCCCCTGTCTAGAGAGGTCATTCAACTTCAAATTACCACAAAGGAGTAGGAGCGTTTAATCTTGGCATGAAATCAAGTCAGACGCCTTTACCGCTGAGCGTGAGAGGGGTTCTTCGTTTACATCATGGTAGCCGATGAAGCACAACGATGAGCCGAGCTTAGCCAATATGGACGAACACTCAAGTCACATCGCGTGAAACGGTGGCAGCGAGTGCATGGTCGACTGTCACTGCTGCGGTACATACTGCACTTGGCTCGGTCAGAGTACCGCATCAGTAAGTACACGATTAGCGCGTGCTTACATCCGATAGTCTTCAGCACTGGCGAGATTGGGTGGGCTCAGCCAGCTGCTTACAATCGTGGGAGATATTGGAGAGAATGCAGGCATGTCATTGGTACATTATATGATACACGAGGATGCGGTGTGTACGCGTAAGCCGTGCGCTTACCGGCCATACCTGGAGAAGTGCTAGTTAGACAAGAAGGCAGAGAGACGGGAGCGATGACGGACTTCTGGAGCTCCCACTCGCGGTTGTCAAGCGGGCAGACGTTGCGGGTCTTGAGCCAGCGGGAGATGCAGTGGAAGTGGAAGGCATGCTATATGGCACATTGGAACCAAGTGAGCAAACAAATGAGAGGGAGGGATGAGTGACGGACGTTGCAGATACCCCAGGCTGCGTTGCACTCTTCTGTCGATGCCGAAACCTGGTTTGCCTGGCAATCAATGCCTGATTGACGGATGTGTGAGCTTGATCCACTATGTTAGTAAGCAGGACGGCTTACAGAGATCCATGATGTGGTTCCTGCAGATGGCACAGTTCTCGACGACGATGTCTGGGAACAAAAAGGTAAGGATCGAACGAGCAGCGAGAGTGGATGGTACCGACCCCATGCCCACAGGCTTACAGCATTCCACTTGGGGCATGTCAGTGCAAGTGGGAGAGATAAGGAGAGAGGAGGACCGACCTTCTTTACTTCGAATCGCTGCTTGTCGCCCTTTGTCTTGATGGCGGATTCGGCGGGGGGATGGTCAACGTCCATATCGGCCATGGTGGATGAGTCGTGTGTCGAGAACAAGGGCGTCAAACTCTCAAAAGGACACAGTGGCGCGTGGTGGGTAGTGGGGTTAGGGCGTGGTGGGGTCATGTGATGCGACGCGTGCGCGCTCTGGCCTGCCCTGAAGTGATGTTCGTTTGCGAGATGGGCGCGTCCTCGTGTTTGTGTTGTCCGCCATCTCGACTTGCCTCAGCCAGAACGATGCGCATATACTGACCGTTTCTTTTCTTTCAGATAAATGTCTTATTACTCCTCAAGTACAGACCCAAGGAGGTCGCCGTCCTCGTATGGCTCACAGACTTTCTCCACCTTTTCAAGATCTCAAACACCTGGGTCCCCTTCCGGACACTCTTACTCATCTTATGCCGGTCAGCCATCTTCTGTCTCACATCTATAATCTCCCAGTGTCTCACCTGCCTTGTCATATGCGCAGATTCACGTCCCCATTCTGCCGACATGCGACGCCCAATCTCGCGCGGCTCGCACTCTTACGCCGACTCTTACTATGACGAAAACTCCATCGACGACGCTGCAGAGGTCGAGCGCGCGCTTTCCAATGTCGACGATGACTACGAGAATGATCACTCCGACGTGCGCTCAGAATGGTCCCGTGGCCCGTCGGCAACGTCCTATAGCTCTTCCAATTCCTTCACCAACTCCTACACCGGTTCTTACACCAACTCTTACACTGATTCAAACCCATCCTACTCCACGAGCTACGGCGCTGGAACCAACCTCTCCGCCTACGAGCGCGAGCGCATCCGTCTCAGCACCATCACCGAGCGGACGGAGCAGCCCACAAGACCAAATTCATACTCACAGTCCCAAGGCCAACGCAACTCTGGTGTTCCTTCAGAGGGCAACCGCCTCTCCGCAGCCATCCGTAATAGCGCCCAACCTTCCGGTTCTCGCCACCTTCGCTCGCCTTCGGAACCCGAGAAGCCCACCGCCAAGCGGATGGGCGACCTCATCGCGTTCTTCGAGGACAAGGCCACCGACATGCCTCCTCCCCCAGGCCACGGCCACTCACGCTATGCGACGGCTCCCGGGGGAACAGAGGCATATCGCGCCACCAGCCCATTCTACTCCCAAGCCCCGTCCTCACCACGCATGACTTCTACAATCGGCTACACCTCAGCTTACGGCGGCTCGCGCCCCTCGTCGCCCACAAAGTCCAGGTCCCCGCTCTCGTATGCGTCGTCATCGTCCGCATCCGGCGTCTCTGAGGGCATATCTTCGCTTTTTTCTCCCGCTCGCGGCAACACCACCACTGCCACGCCGGCAGCCACGCGCACAGGCACGGACGGCAAGGGCGCGCGGCTCAGCCCGAGCGACTTCGCGAGCACGTTTTCGCACACGTGGTCTGCTAGCCGCTCGGCGACCGGATCGGTGTCGCCGCCGACAGTGAGCGCACCGCTGCGCAGGCCGGCGCAGCAGCAGGGCGGGACAAGTCCGCGCTCGCCGCTCACGAGCGTGCGCAATATCGTATCGGCGTGGAAGGGGCGCTCGTCGAACGGTAAAAACCCAGCGTCGCCTACTTTTGGTCACGGTCAAGACCCAGTCGTCGTGATGCCGCTTGCGACCAATGTTACTGGCAATAGCAACGCCGAAGGCTTGTTTAGCGTCAAGAGACGGGCGGAGAGGGATGAGAGGAGGCTCCGCCAGTCGGCTATGATGACGAGCAAGGCGCTGCCTGCGACGCCGCCTCGCGACTACGACGAAGGTGGGCACGGTAGTGACTTGATGAGCCCGCGCAGTGTGTCGGAAAGCACGGTCCCGCCGTCGTTTGATATCGCTGAGTTGGCTGCTCACGCGCGTGCCAGCAGAGAGGTATGTGTGCATTTTATTTCCCATGGGTACTGTCCTTACTGAAATCACCCGACTTTCTATAGCCGATGCGCATCGGTGACCTCTGGTACCTCAACGTGCACTCGGGCCCGCCCTACCGGTGGCTGCGGTGCCAGGCGCTGCTCTACCCGAACATGTTACTGCTCTCGTGGATCGCACCCGGTGGCGGGCGCGGCGTTGTCACGCTCGACTTGCTCAACTGCACCGAGGTGCGCTCTGTCCCGTCGCCGACGCATGCGAGCGCGCAGGACGATGTGGGGACGATCGCGGCGCATGAGCAAGATAATGAGGGTGGCAATATGCCGCTTACGGAGCTGCTGTGCCCTTTCCAGTTGCTGTACACTGATGGAGTGGAGAGGATGGCGGCGGAGAGCGCGAGGGAGAGGGTGAGATGGGTTAGTGCGGTTTGGTGAGGCTTCTTTTTTCTGTTGATATTTTCGAGTGCTTGACGTTGGTTCGTTATGTTATGCAGGGAAGCGCTCGACCGCTCTGTTACGCTGCCGAACCGCTCCGAGTCGGGCTCGCCGACAGGCTCGGTTCTCACAATCCACACTGTCTCTGGTACCGCCTCGAACGTGTCCTCTGCCACCTCTGGATCCAAGTCGACGGTCTACGTCCCACCCATGAACGATCTCACCGACATCCAATCCATGTCCGATCTTTCGTCGACTGTCTCGCTCTCCCGCGGGCCCTCGTTCTCGGGTCATCATAACCACACCACCGACGACACGGTCATCTCGAACTCGACGTTGCACTACCCCGGCGACCCGCGCGTCATCGCACCGAGCCGCAGCAGCTCGCTGCGCCGGACGAGCTCCATGACGGACCTCGACGAGGCGTTTGAGCGTGCGGTCGATCGCGCGCGGACCGCGAAGCCCGGGCTCGGGTTCGGGATGTCGCTCGTGGGCGCGTCGATCCTCGGGGACGGCTCGCCGGTGACAGTGTCGAGCGGGTCGCGGTTGAGCGGGGAGACGCGACTGACGCCGCCGCCGAGCTCGAAGACGCGGGCAAGGGCGCTGAGCGATGTGTCGGACGAGGCGTTCTTTAGCTCTGGGAGCAGGACGAGTGTGGGTGGGCCGCCGGCGTCGTTTTTCTCGGCGGGGGATACGTATGGGACGACGACGGGGTATGATACGACGACTGTTACGGGGGTGGGGAGGAGGGGTGTTGGGAGTGGGAGCGGGAGCGGGACGGTTTCGGGCTCGGATACGTTTAGAGGGGTCAGCAATAGCTCCGATACTGGCACGGCTATTGTTGCGTCGACGCTGTCGCTCCGCCGGACGGAGTCGAACTCGTATCTCGGGGATTCGCACGACGGGTCGTACAGCTATACGGCGAGCACGTCGCCTGGCCGCTCGACGCTGTCTAGGAGCTCGGCGGTCAGCAGGAGGAGGAATAGCCGGTACACGGGCGAAGAGAACAGCGATAAGGAGAACTCGGCGTATACGCAGAGCTGTGCGAGGTCGACGATGAGCTCGTTTGCGAGGAGCATGTCGACGACGCCGACGCAGAGCTATGCGAGGCCGGGGTCGTCTGTCGGGTCTGCGTCTGGGTTGGACGTGGAGGAGGGGTATATCAGCCGCTATGCGTCGCGGTATGGCGAGTATGAGCTGGACCTGGAGCAGGATCAAGATCAGGAGCAGGAGCAGCACCATAGCTCGGGCAGCGAGGGGTATCATACTGCGTCGACGCCGTCCACCGCGTCGTTCAAGTCGCTCCCTTCTATCCCGTCCGAGAGCGAGTTCGAGACCATCGGCGGGAGGACGTCGATCTCGGAGTATACCACTGTGCCCAGGTGCGACACGGACGACGTCGAGTCGACGGAATACGACACCGTCGGGTGCAAGTGCGAAGACCGGTCTACGTCGGAGTATATCACCGCGGAGCTGTGCAAGAGCGAGCCGCCGACCGAGTTCGAGACGGCGAGTCTGTGCAGGACGATTCCGAGCGAGGAGAACACGCCCAAGTCGGCTCATGTTGAGCTCCCTGTTGAACAGCTGCCGCATGTGGGGCTCGCGCCTGGAGGACCGAGGGTGCCTGTTATGCCGCCGCGCGCTGCGGGGCCTGGGAGGGTGCCTGTGATGATGCCGCTTCCTGTCGCAACGCCGCCTGCGCGCGTGCCCAGCCCTGCACCCGCTGGACCGCGCCCGTTCCCGCAGCTGGTGACTGCGCTGCCGCCGCCGAGGGTGCCTGTGGAGATCACGCCGACACCGACGACGGTGACACCTGTTACTGCGCCGAGTGCGCCGATGCCGCCGACGCCCATACCTAGACCGCGCAGCGAACTTTCGGCGGCGCGTGTTCCGCTTCCGGCATCTGTGGCGAGCGCTTCGCCGAGGCCTTCGCCACGCCCGACGCCCCGGATACGCGCGCACAGTCCGCTGTCGTCGCTTGATCTCGGGAGCAGCGTGAGCCTGTCGAGTCCGTCGTCGCTCACGCGCACGCGGGACGTTTCGCTTGCTGCGTCGTCGCCGCGTGTGCCTGGGCCGAGTACCGTGCAGCAGCGTATTCCGCGCAGCCCTATGGGTAGCATCGTCTCGGACGAGCGCAGCGAGGCGCCCGAGATGTCGCCTCCACGCGCGCCGTCGCGCCGCTGGGCGGCGGAGACGGACTTGTCGTACGATTCATCGCTGTTGCAGCCGACGCCGAGTGTGATTACTGCGCAGCTCCGCGAGGAGTCAGAGCGGGAGGTGGACGAGGATGAGTCGTTTGAGACGTCGTTTATGCGCCCGACGAGTGGGTCGCCGATGACGTCGGTGGATAGACTCACGCCGATGACGCAGTCGCTTGTGTCGTCGAGCGAGCCTGCGCGGGAGCCTGCGTACTCGGAGATGGGGATGGAGATGGGGCCGGAGATGCCGCAGGTGACGGTTTCGATGAGTGCATCGAGTGCATCGCCGATGCCGGATTTGGGGGAGAGCACTGTTAGTAGCAGTTTGTCGAGGACGGCGAGCAGTGTGAGTGATGTGGAGAGTTTGGAGAGGATGTCGACGAGGAGGACGAGGATGGGGTGGGAGGATGATATGGGGAGTGAGATTTCGACGGAGCCGAGTTTGTTGAGTAGTTTGCATGGGAGTGAGTTTAGGGGAATGGTAAGTCGTTTATGCTTTTGCTGTGAGGATGTTGACTGATGTGGTTGGTTTAGCTTGCAGTCTCTCCCGCCAATGTTCCTCTTCCGGTCACGCCTGCGCCCACTACGCCCTCTATGAGCGGCAGCATGAGCACGCCGCGCAATGAACAGCCCTCAATCCACTCTGAGCTCGAGACGCAGCCGTCGGTCGTGCACGAGGAAGTCAATATCCAGCAAGACATCAGCGAGCTCCTCGCGCACATTGACGATCTCGACCGCGTGCGTGGCACTGAATCGCAGGAGATGTCGGAGAACATCCGGGCTATCCGCACCGAGCTGTTTTCGCTATCGGACTATGTCCGCTCTCAGCAGTTCGGCACGACGACGACGATTGTTCAGCCCGCGCCTCCCACGCCAGTGACACCAGCGACACAGGTCCTCACGGAGCACCATCACACGCACACGCTCGAAAGGGTTATCGAGAGGCCGGCTGGGAGCACGCTCACGTATAGGGAGCAAGCGTCCGAGGTTGGTGGACCGGCGATGCGCGACGAGGGTGTTGAGGTGGAAGGTCCACAGAGGGTTGATGAAGGCACGGAGGCGAAGTCAGAGGCAGGTGTCGAGCGTGTCGATGCCGAGGTCGCAACCGAGGAGGAACGTCGGTCGGAGTACGTCGAGGAGGGCGTCGAGGCTCGCATAGAGGAGCGTGTCATGCAGCGGGTGCCTTCGCGCCCCGCGTCCGTCGTTGCCCCCGCGCGGACGCCCAGGCCGCAGCCGGCGGAGGTGCCGCAGATCAGGCCCATCTCGATCTTGCTCACTCCGCCGCCGCCGCGCCCGTTATCGCCCAGCTCGGTGTTCTCGGGCGAGTCGTATCTGTCGTCGCACCACTCGGACGATGGGAGTCTGCTAGAGAGCCCGAGGTCGGATATGATACCGATTTCGGAGACCTGGGAATCGGAGTCGGAGTCGTTGGAGAGGGAGGAGCAGTGGGAGGAGGAGCAGACAATCACGCCGGTCCCGGAGAGCTGGGAAGAGGAAGCGTCGACTCCTAGCAGGCTTACTTTGAGTGCTACGTCGAGCAGCTCGCCCTCGCCTGGACCGTCGTTATCTGCGACGAGCTCTTCGGTGACGCCTACACCCCCGCCTACTTCTCCCAGCCCCAGTCCAACCTCTGTTTCGGTCAGTACGGAAGCAACTGCAAGACCGGCAAGGCCTGCTACGGATGTCACTACCTTTGCGTCCATCCGCGAACTATTGGACCACCTCCGTGAGCAGACGACGGCGCTCTGGGATGGACAGCTGTCCACGAACCATATGCTCGACGAGCTGCGTCAGCAACGTCCGGCTCCTCAAGACAATCAAGAGATCTATGAACGTCTTCGCAACATTGAAAACTTGCTTGAGTATCTCCTCTCCCGGCCCCAGCCCGAGCCTGCCCCTGCACCCGCACCGGCGCCCCAGCCAGCTCGCACGCCGACGCAGCACGTGCCATTCCCCGAGGCAGCGATGTCTGACGTCCCCTCGGACGAGTCAGCCGAGCGCGACAGCGTTCTATCGCGCCTGGACGCGATCCTCCGCGCGCGCCGCGAGCAGGGGCCCATCGAGATGCCCGCACCTGTGCGCGCCGGTCCGTCGCTTGACGGGCAGCTGCTGGATATTCTCAGTGCCCCCACTGCAGCGCCCGCGGGAGGGATACAAGGGCCACCGCCTTTGATCCCGTTCACGTACCATCCCGCGCCCCGACCTCCGCGCTCGCGCAGCACGAGCCCTGTGCCAATTCTGAGGCGCTATCCAAGTGCGCCTCCCATCGTTGTTGAACAAGAAGAGCGCCGATATGTCCCCGAACGCCCTGTTGACCGTCCGCGGCCCGAGATCAGACGTCCCCTGCGGCAGCAACCAGTGCAGCCCAGCGAGACGGAGTATACACCTGCGGAACCGTCATCGGGGTTGCCGTCCGAGGGCATGGGTGTCTTCCCGCCGCCTGGGCAGTATGATGATATTCGGCCGGCGCAGGAGCCACAGCAGAGGCCGCCAACGAATATTCCGCCTCCTGGACCCGTATTCGTAAGTTGCATATCTTGCCGAAGGGATGTATGTGCTGAGTCGATCGATCCATGTAGCCTCATCAGATGCAAGACCGACCGCCGTCTGCGCCTTCGCATCTCGGCGGTGAGGAGGACCCGCGCCAGTACGAGAGCTGGTACACACGCCGGCGTCCACAGCAAGCACCAGGAGCGCCAGGAGTCGTAAGTATCTTTTGGATGAACGCTTGTTCTGTCACTAAGGGATTTTTTTCGGAAGGGTGTTCCTCCTCCCGGTGTTTTCCCGATGCCTGGTCAAGCGGGCGGTACCACCTACGTGCCTATGCCACCTGGTCCGGTGTGTTACCTTTTCCTTTGTGTCTTGAAAGTTCGCTGTGCTTATTTCATTGTAGACTGTTGTTCAGGTGCCCCCAGTTTTCGACACGCTCATGCATGTCTTGCGGGTACGTTATTTCGCCCGAAAGTTATTATCTGGATGCTGACGGCTCTGTAGGAACACCGCCTGGCTCAGCTCGCTACGGTCGAGCAGCAGCGTGAACTCATGCGATACATGCGCGGTTTGAACGAGTGGCTCGAGCGCGATGTCGCAGACCGCCACAATGAACTTGGCAGCGTTGTCGCGCGCGTAGACCAGCTACGCCAAGAACTCTCGCAGCTCGGTATGAATATGCAGGGCATGCAGCAGAGGATGCCTCCTGGTATGTGTTGACGCACCAATACTGTCCGATCGTTGCTCATCAAAACTCCATAGCCGGTGACCAGCGGCCTAGTACTGGGTTCATCCCTCCTCCTATGAATATGCCCATGCCGGACATTGGGATGCAGCCAGGTATGCAGCCAGGTATGCAGCCAGGTGTGCAGCCAGGTGTGCAGCCAGGTGTGCAGCCAGGTATGCACCTTGGAGATATGGGTGCAACGCCCGGGTATCCTCCGGGATTCATACCTCAGCGCCCCGGAATGGAAGGTCCCGTCGTTCCATCGCCTCCAGCAGGCTACACGGGCGGCTTTGTTCCACCCAACGTCTGGGGCCAGCCAGGCCAAGAAGGACCTGTTATCCCTCCTGGTGACCAATACGAAGGGCCCCCGATGCAGATGCCTGAGGCGCACGTCCCCCGACCTGGCCCTGAGCCTCAGTTTGGCGGCTTCGCCCCCTCGCGCCCATCTCCTTCGGAGTCCGAGGGCTCATTTGTTTCTTCTTCTCCAGAGCCGCAGCACGTCCCCCCGCCTCAGCCTCCCTACGTTACGGTCATACAACCCAGCAGTCCCAGCCAGAGCGAGTCATCCGGTACCCAGCAGTCGTACGAGCCGCCGCCGCCTACTACTGCACCCGTCTCGGTTGAGCCAAGCGTTATGGGATATGAGGATATGCCAACGGCGGTCGTCCCAGTCCAGCGCTCCGATATGGGTACATCGCCTGGCCCACCGGCTGTGGTTCCTCTTTCGGATCGTCCATCAAGCGACGTAGGGCATCCATCGCAGACTGTCATCATCACCCAGCCGGGTGCGCAACCTACAGCGCCCGCACCTACCGCGCCTCCTCTTGGATCCCAGCCCATGATCACCATCCAGCCGCCGCCTATGGGTGTTCATGACGAAGCAGTCGGTGAACATGCCGGCCCCGTCATCATTGCGCCGTCTGGTTCCTCGGCAATGGAAAGTGTTCCGCCTTCGCCGTATGCTGGCTCGGAGCTAGGCATTCCGCCCCCTGGTCATATCATACCTGGTTCGCCTGCGCCGAGTCAGGCTGGGGGCCCGCCTATGATGCAACCCATCCCAGGGCAACCCATTCCAGGCTACCCGGGCTGGGTCATGCAACCGGCGCCTCAACCCGGGCAACAGGTGTATTACCCTCAGCCTGGCCCGTACCAGCAGCTACCGCCTATCATCATCCAGCCTCCGCCACCCCAGGTTCAGCAACCCTTCGCGGAAGTGCCTCCTCAGATGGACGTTATGCGCCCGCTGTCGGCTGGTTCTATGAGACCGCACGAAACCGCAGAACGGCCCATTATAGTTGTGCATTCCGATGATGACCGCAGCGAGGCCAGCACCCCCCAAACCCCCAGAACTCATAGATCTCGTCCATCCATCGAGTATGCCGATCCCGGACGCGATCAGACCCAACCCACTACCCCCATCATTGTACAAGTGCCGCAGACTCCCTCACGCACTCCCTCCCATCACCCTGGTGAAACATCTTACGAGTACTCGCCGGAGTACAGCAGGTCTCCAAGCAGGACTCCAGCAACGACGCACGTATCTCGTTCACCTACCCGCTCGCCGATCTACATCGAAACAGGGACGCCGCACCCTCCTGGTGTTCTCATGGGGCCATCTAGAGCTCCGTCGGAATATGCAGAGGGCGACAGACCGCATCGCCGCTCTCCTTCGCCTACCTCTCCGAGGCACGGGCGCGGGCGTAGAGGCTCTCGCTCGCCAACTCAACGGGTCAGCAGGTCTCCTGATGACGAGGGTGACCGCCATGTTTCACGCAGGCCTGGTCGTCGCCGCGAATATCGAGAAGGTGATGAAGGGCCTTCCAGATCGCCGTCGCCGCCATTCGACCGCGGAGGGGGCAGATATGTCCGGCATCATTACCTGGAGTCCCCGGGTGGCAGTCGGTATTACCGTCGCCCTCGTGACCGCTCGCTTTCTCCAAGGTATGATCCTGGTTACGACGACCCTAGAGACCCTGGACATCACGGTCGTGGCGGCCGTCCTTATTATCCGGAGGAGGATCCTGGTAGGATGCACCCTCATCCTGGTCCACCTCCCAGTGGCGTTTTATCTCCTGGCGCACCGCCTACTATCATTCGAATTGGCGGTGATCCGGAACACCATGGTATCCCCGTGCAGCGATCCGACCCAGGTAAGTACAATGTAGCTGCAGCTGCAGGCCTGCTGATAGAACTGTCTGTAGGCATGGGCATGAGTCCCAGACAACTACATGATCAGCTTATGCATGTCCCCGACGGCGGCACCCATGTTCCTTTCGTTCCCTCCCACGCAGGTGACAGTGGCGCTCATATTCCCGTTGCTCCCTCTCGTGCAGGCGAGGCACCGACTCGTCTCCCACCTGTCATTGAAGGCGGGTCGATCGAGCCTCCATACTCACCACACGATGCACCGAGTGCTCACCACTACCCTGACTCGGGTCGATCCGGACCTCCCTCTGAGTACGCAGGATCTGTCGCACGGTCGGAGCCTGCCTCGGAGGCCCCAGAATCCGTCCCTCGCTCTGAGGAACCAGAGACGACTGCCTCGCGCCGTCCCTCAACCGCGCGCTCTACGACGCAGCCTCCGCCTACGGTTACCGAAGAGGACGAACCCATGATTCCAGGATCGCCCACTAGTGTCTTTCATATCCCGACTTCTGATCGCGACCGTTCCCCCGATCACGACCGTTCCCCTGATCACGACCCCGATCATGGCCGTTCCGCCGAGCTCGAAGAAGCTCTCCGCGAACGACAACAACGCCTCGATGAAGTCGAGCGGGACTATATGCAGGCTGTCGAAGGTGCCCATGCCCGGGAAGAGGATCGCGAGCGTGCTTATCGTTCAAATGAAGAGGAACGTGAGCGTCTCTTCATGGAGGCGGAACAGCGTCGCGAGGAGGAAGTCCGTTTACGCACTGAGGAGCTCATGCGGGAGTTCGAGGAACGCATGGCGGCTCTTGCAAGGCCACCGACTCCGTATGAGCCGCCGATGCCTGAGGAGGACGAACCTGCTTTTGAGGAAGCCATGGAAGATCCGGAAGCTACCCCACGCCCTCCCTCTATGGAGCTGCCACAGCAGCAAGCCATCGAGGATGTCCCTCCCGTTCCAGTACCACCACCTAGCGCTCTCGAAGAAGGACCCGCTCCAAGCATCATCGAGAGTATCCACACAGCTGCAACAGAGGCTGGGAGGCGACACAGCGAGGAGCTCAACGAGATTGTGCGTCTTGAGCGCGAAGAGCTTGCAGCGGAGCGAGAGCAAGCGGCGCGGGAACGCGAGGAAGCAAAACAGGAACTCGCCGCGGAGAGAGTGAAGATGGACGAGCAGTACAACGACCGCATTGCAGACCTCGAAGCGGAACTTGCCCGCGTGCGCGGCGAGCTCGAGGGCGAGAAGCAGATGCGCATGAATGAGGAGGCGGAGACACGCGAGCGGGAGAGACAGGAGGCGATTGAGCGAGACGAAGCGATGCGCTCACAGCTTGGCGATATCACGAACCTCGTTCAAGATGGACGGGAGGAGATGGCACGCAAGCGTGAGCTTATGGATCAGCGATGGGAGGAGAAGCAGGCGCGGTGCGAGCAGAAGGATGCAAGGATGGCGGAGCTGTTTGGTATGGTCCAGAAGCTCGTGGAAGACCGCGACATGGACAGAATGAGAGAAGAAGAGGAACGCCAGGCAAACGCCGAGAAGCCAGGTGCGCAAACTCTTACGCTCTTCTCATGGTCTCCACCACTGACACTTGTCGAACAGGCATCCAAGACATAATGAACGAGCTTGGCAGGCAAAATGCGGAGCTTCGCGAGTTGTTGAACACTCTCTCGGATAGTACGTACTCTATATTCTCAGTTTCGAATCAGTTCTGAGACGCCAATTCTAGGTTGGCGCGCAGATAGCAATCGTCAGCATATGGAGACTATCGAGGCTGTTCGCGCCACTGCAAACGAGCAAGTCAAGTACAATGTGCAAGGAGTACGTCGACTATAACCACCTTCTTTCCATCCACTGACTCTTGTCGTCTAGTATCTTGATGAGTTCAGCAAGGCGCTCGCGTCCGAGGTCCGCATGCTCCTTGGCGAGGTGGGCAAGCTCCGCGAGGAACGCCGTAACATCCAACAGTACGTCTACTCTGCATTATACCCTATACGTGAGATCTGACTCGATTCTAGCGAACTTGGTTGGTTGATGATGACCAAGTCAAAATACGAGCCCGGCGGCGAGTTCAACGCAGACTGGCGCCCGACCGTTCCGGGCTCTGGCTTCACGGGAGGAGGCCCCGGTGGCCCTGATGATCCGCATGACGCTCCTCCTCCTCCCCAGGAGCACATGCAGCCCCGTCCTGCTTGGCGCTCCGTGCCGCCGCAGGGGGGTCGACGCAAGGTCAAGAAGCAGCGACCTGCTCAGCCTCCGCAGGACATCCCTGGGCCCATGGATCCGAGACAGCAGGTGACGAGCTGGGCAACCTGGCAACGTTAGTCCTAAATATCTCGATTGAGCTCTAAACCCTGACAAGGTTATGTTCAGCGAACCCCGAGCTTGAGCCCAGTCCGTCCACTAGTATCCAACCCAACTTAGTGGTCCCTGGTCACTCTTCTCCTGGCTTATTCGGTCCTCGGTCACCCAGGGCATCAATGGCGTCGTACGAATCATAGAAATTTTCCGCTTACGCTTTGATACGCTTTGAACTTGGTATACCATGACACTTTACGATATCCCTCACGATGTTACCCTTGATACGCATTATCTTTCTTCATCTTACCTCTCATCTACTCTTGCTCACCCAAAGTCGCTCTTTCTCCATCTTTCTTATGCATCTCTTGGACTTTTTTTGCTTTTTATGCTTCTCACCCTCGACTCTTGTAAACTTAGTCTATGCTTGCTCTTGTGTTTTCACGCTCTTGCTCCATCTTGTTATTACTCATTAAGCCCTGTGGGCCTCGCATTGGCAATTGGTATACATACATTGGAATTCATCGTGCTTTCTTGTTCCTCTACCATATCTCAACATCTTGAAGAAGGTCTTAAAGCTTATGGCAAGGCGATAACCCAACCCTTACAGATATATCATAGTCTCGATGTCGACACGGTTCCACCCACTGAAGAACGAACTATATGAGCACAAGTTTGCCTTCATGCTTGTGCTTCGCTGGGATCTTCATCAGGAGTCATGCCTTCGTGCCGGTTCGCGGTTATTGGGACGAGCCTATCGTATCCCTCGAAACGCCGTCCTTAGCGCCCGCCAGATTGGTCGAGCTGTCCTACCACACTGTGATTAATTTTGTCGCATTTTGAACACCGACAGACGCCAAACAGATGCCCGACGAAGGATACGGACAGCTTCGTGACACTGGAGGCTCCAGTAACCCAGATTTTCCACATGGCGCTCCTGATCCTCTCCCGGAGCCTATGCAGCCGCGTCCTGCCTGGCGCGTTGTGCCTCCCCAGGGTAGTCGACGAAAGGTCAAGACACAACCACTTGTCCAGCCTCCGCAGAACGTCCCTGAGATCGAGACAAGGTCCGAAGACCCGACGAGACAGGTGATGAGTTGGGCAGAATGGCAACCTAAGTCCCGCTTCATTATCTCAGTTGTGAGATAGAGATATGGAGAACTGCTCGCAGCGGACCCTCAGTTCGTACCAAGCCCGCCCGCTAGCCCTGGACCGAACCTCGCTGTCTCCAGTCAGGACATCGTCCCTGTGTCCATGGATCCGAGATAGCAAGGATCGAGCTGGGCGATCTGGGGACGTAAGTCCATGTAATTTTGATTGCAGTATGCAACACTGACAAGGTTGTTAGCACCGAGCCCACCCAGTAGCCCTCGACGCCACCCTTCCCCTGGCCTGTTTGGTCCTCGTTCGCCCAGGTCATCAGCGTCAAGCTTGGACCAATTGCAAAGCACTTACCTCCGAACCATCTCGATCGCGGCATGTGGTACTGACAAGGTTGTTTGCAGCGAGCCCCGGCATTGAACCGAGCCCGCTCAGTGTCCACGAACACCCTTCTTCCCCCGGCCTATTTGGCCCTCGCTCGCCCGCGCTATCAATGTCGAACTTGGACATACAGCAAGGTACCTCTCGACTGTCTCGATCGTGACATATAGTACAGGCGACTTGTAGTGAACCCCGGGATCGAACCGAGCTCATTCGGTGGCCCAGTTGAACGCCACCCTTCCCCTGGCTTGTTTGGTCCTCGTTCTCCCAGGTCATCGCCGTTGAGCTGGGAAACATGGCAAAGTGATACCTGCCAACTATCTTGATCGCGGTATAGATCACTGACAAGGTCGTTTGCAGCGGACCCCGGGATGCAACCGAGCCCTCCCAATAGCCCCGGACGTCACCCTTCCCCTGGGCTGTTCGGTCCTCGCTCACCCAGGTCATCCGTGGGGTCGTTCGAGTAGAGAAATCCCCATTTACGCTTCGATGCGCCTTTATCTTGGTACGGTGTACTACAGCGCTTTATGGCAGCTCAGAGAGGAGTCCGGCTACGAGGGTGATGCTATACCAACTATTAATCCAGGTGACTTGAGTATGTACAGCAACGCGATTCGTATTAGGGAAGATGGATCCGTTAAATTTTGTTCATATACAATGAAAGGTCGTTTTAGGGTTGCAGCGGAGCGCTACGCACAAGTTGCCGCCGATGCTGTAGGCCGCATGTGCACCTCAAGGCTCGGAGCTTGGGCGCCTACGACTCTTATATATACCTGCAGTGCACGAACCGTCTTTGCTGGTCATGCCCCTCGAACCACTATCGTGCATCTGATCGTCTCACAACAGTACCGCCGTTGCCCGCGCAAGTACTTTGATACTCATACAAGACGGGTTGATACTGATCGCTGTATTAGACATCTAGCATGGCTAAAAACAGATCTAAGAGACGCTTTCTCTGCCCCAAAGAAGGCTGTCACTTCGGTGCTGACCAGTTGGGCGCACTGATAATACACTGCAACGCTATCCAGCAAGTAGCAGCTCAGAGGCCCAGCAAAGCAACACTCAGTATTTGGCATCTTTGAAGTGATGGAATAAACCCCTACGTCTGCGACCAATGTGGTCATTCGGCTTCGGATCCATCCGCGTTCACAAAGCATAAGAGGCGGATGCACGGGTACATGCCTATACGTCGGGGGCGGCCCCAGAGCGACGATGCAGCCCAGTCCAGTGAGACTCGTTGCGATCTCTGTAAGCAGAATTTCCGGCCTGCTGAAGGGAGCGACAACATGTGCGAGAACTGCTATATCGCCGTGTGGAAGGGTACGGACACTCAGGCTTGCTACAGGCAGAGAGATTGCTAATGATGGATAGATGTTGACGCCACGGCAAAGGTGTGAGCAACAGGCATACATGAACACGGTGCCTTGATCACGGCTTACGGATGAACCTAATTGGGACTGTTGTCTTGCGACAAGGACTGGGTTCATAATGCATGATATTGCAAGACTTGTTCAGATATGACATATGCGATGTAGGTTAACACGTGCGTTGGTCTAGAGAAATTGATATGCATCGAACGGGGTGGACTGTTCTATCGTGTATCGCTCAGCAGTGGCTCTCATCCAAGGGTGGAGAAAGACTAACGAGTTATGATATGGGTGGGAGAGTCGATGTTATCGGTGACAAAGCCACGTCATGCCCTTCCGTCTGCCTCTACTTCGTCTCCTGGCTGACGATCTGTTCCAGCAGGGTCTTGAGTTTCTGTGCCAGGCCCTCGGTGAGCTGCGTAGGTCCGTCGGCGGTGCAGATGCGATACGAGGGCATGGCTTGGTACGTGTCCGGCAGGATCTAAGGAGCCATATTGTCAGGCGGGCGAGATAGAGAGTGAATTTGACGCGTACCTTGCTGTCTTCGACTAGGACGGACGCGATGATGTCATCCGGGTCGCCAATGCGTCCTAGGGCCGGTATGTTGCGGCTGTCTGTGTGGGTGTTGTGTTAGGTATACTTTCGAAAAGCAGCAAACCGGTGCATGGATTCGAAGGGAGGGAAAGGATATCTCCTAAAAGGACTCACCATGAATGTGCATCCATCCATACTGCAGCTGCAAGGCGCCGTTCTTGAGGACGTCATCTGCCTCTTCTCGTATGGCCTCTTGAATGGCACGATGCATCACGACACGGAACTTAGCTACACAAAGATAGGTTCGGAATAAGGTTAACATAACGCGGGAAGAGCAAGGTGCGAGAACACATACAGTTTTCCCGAAAATCATTGAGACCAGCATCCTGCTCCTGAGCACCCTCCGTCTCAGCGGGCAGCCACCCTATAACGCTAGCGGAGTCCGGTGTTGGTGGGGAAGAAGAGAGGAAGGACACAGCATAGACCTGGGTGGGTGGTGCTGAGGAGGAAGAGGAAGGGAGAGAGACGAGGTGGTAGAAGAGGTCGGGACGCGTCGGGTCCGCGAGTGTTTGCGGCGGCTCGGAGGAGTATAGTCTATGCAACGACGGTAATAGGTGCGTTTTGGTGCCCCAGTTGGAGGATGATGGTTGTAGGCGAGCAAGATTTGGTGGTTCCGCTTTCTGTGAGCGTATAGAAGGCCGAGCAAGTTGCGAGATGGCGAGGACTTGCGTCCGTGCGGAACTCGGTCCGCGTTTGAGGAGAGCACGTAGAGGTGTTGTGCGGGCTGCTGCTCTCGTACTGTTCAACATTTCTAGATGCGACAAGTGGGGGAGGTAGAGATGGTCTTGAAGGGACGGTGAACAGGGCTGAGAGCGTTGTTGCCAATGCCGTCGACGTCACACACGGCCTCGGCTCACGTGGCTTACATGTCTTGCGCCGACCCGTGCAAATGGCTTTTCCGACCATTGACTACCATGGGCCAACCCAAGACCAACCATCGTACAACCGACAAAGTATGAGTTGCACATGAACTGAGCTTGGCTCATGCCGTGAAGCCCTTTCACTCCTCATCGACATATGCCCACTCTCAACTCGTCTTTGGGCTGCTGGGCCCGATCTTCATTCACATACCGCAGCAGTGGCAGGCTGACCATATCGTGAGTGCTGCTCTGCAATAATGCATAGGGTACCCTGAACATGAGAGACTCAGAAAAGCAAACGATGCATGATGAAGGCTCGAGGAAAGGATTTAGCACACTGAGAGGTCGAGCATCGGCATTATCCGGCGATTCCTTCTCTCTCCCATCTCGTCGGGCACCACGGTACCGGAGCGTGCACACCTGATCATGGAGTCATTTCCCTTTGCTCTGCGACCTCGTCGCGATCTGACGTTTCTTGTGGAACTCCGCTTGCATAGTAGCATCCAGGATCCACCACCCTAAGTATGCTAATCACCCAGTTCTTTCTGCCCTTGCTCGTCTCTGGAGCTCTCAGCTCGCTCGCTTTCGCTGCTCAGCCCACGCAGAATCCGTTCGTAGCTGAATCAGAAGCCTATGGCGTCAAGGACCAAGCAGATCTTGATTACCTTTTGCTTGACAACGACGGCTTTAAGCGAGCCATGCAAGAGGTGGATCCCGCGTATGCTGCTGTGCTCGACGAACCGCGTCTGGTCGAGGTGTTCGGGTCGGAGAGGCGGTGGATGACCGAAGGAGACAAGCTCAGGCTGAAGCAGCAGGGTTTCTCGTTCTTTGATTTGACGAACTTTGAGGAGTACGAGGTCAAGCAGTCGGTCGCGAGTGGGGATATACGTACGTCCACCCGTTTGATATATGTCGAACCGCGCTGTTAACTGATAACTCAAATGGTAGCCTGGCCCGAAGTACACATGCAGTCCGCGGTGCACGACGTCATTCAGAGCCTCAGCCTCGCGTCGATGAAGGCCAGCCTTGAGGTGTTCACCTCGTTCTACAACCGCTTCTACCGCTCCGACTACGGCGTGCGCAGCTCACGCTGGCTGTTCAACCGACTTCTCGAGGTGCGTACCCACCCCCTCCACAGCCTTCACATCCCTTTCCCTCATACTCACCCAGTCTCCCAAACGCCACCCTGCAGATCATCGCCTCCGCCCCACCCTCCGCCCGCCTCTCCCTCGAAACATTCACACACTCCTTCCCCCAACCCACGCTCATCGCGCGCTTCGAGCCCGCCGGCGGACGCACCGCCTCCCCGCACCCGCCCGCGGACGCCCTGCCGATCGTGATCCTCGGCGCGCACCAGGACTCGGCGAACTACGCGTTCCCGCACCTGCGCGCGCCCGGCGCGGACGACGACGGCTCGGGCGCGGTCGTCCTGCTCGAAGCGTTTGCGGCGCTTGTGGGGGCGGGGTTCACGCCGGCGGGCGCGGTTGAGTTTCATTGGTATGCGGCGGAGGAGGGCGGGTTGTTGGGCAGTCAGGAGGTTGTGAGGGAGTATGTGGGGGCGGGGAGGAGGGTGGGCGCGATGGTTCAGTTTGTGAGTGGTTCACGTGCTATGTGCGTTCGGGTTCGTGGGTGATGGAGATGTAGGACGGCGTTGCGTGGGTGCTCCCCGGCTCGACGCCGACGGTGACGCTGATCAACACGGAAGTCGACGCGTCGCTGACGAACTGGACGATCGGTCTCGCGAGCACGTATTGCGCGCGTCCGGCAAAGGAGGGAAAACTCAAGTCAGTGATTTACACGCGCATATACTCGCATTTCTGCTACTCAACTATGCCATTTCTTTGATCTTGCACCAGGCCTCGTCAGGGATCCGACCACATGGCGTGGCACCGCGCGGGCTTCCCGGCCGTGTACGCAGCGGAGGGCGATCCTCGTGTCGGAGAGCAGAACCCGTGGGACCACACGGTGGACGACAGGTGGGACGTGCCCGAGTTTTCATTTGACGTGCGTGTATTTTGTCCTTCCCAATGGCTGAGTGGATACACCGTGCTAACAGGCGAGCCCGTGCAGCACGCGATGGAATTTGCGAAGCTGGCCGTCGCGTTTGCGGTTGAGCTCGGTGGGTGGGTGGTATGAGATGCGCAAGATACATACAGCAATGTCTTGTAGTGTACATGTCAGTTCACACAGCAGTGGCGACATTGGGGTGATTGCAGAGTTTTCATAATATAGGCTGAAAACGCGGGAATCATTATTTCCATGTTATAATGTTACGTAGCACAACTGCGCCGTGATAATATAGAGGAGCGAAGCGCGAACTACAGAAGACCCCGTTCCCAACATCCGTCTGCCAGCTATCGGGCACCATGCATTCATGGTCCGCGAAAGCCCAGCAAAGAGATGATAGGAAGGGCAAGATGTACGAAAGAATGGAAGAAGGTCTTGCCCCTCGAGCTCTGTGCTTCTCGAGATGCACAGAGCCCGAGAGGCAAGGACGTAGGCTACCGTAGCTACTAAAAGCGAGGCCAGCTCGGAGGGGAGAGGGAAAGTGAAGACAGATATGTGACGAGAGACAAAGACAGATGACGAAGGCGTGTACACCGAGGTAAAGACAAAACGAGGTAAAATGGAGAGAGACAGTATCGACAGGGGACAGATAGAGATAGAGAAACATGGAGCGAGAAACGGACTGAGAGACAGAGACAAGGAGAGAGAAAAGAAAACCAAGACGATAAGGAAGGCGGTCACGTACCTTGCTGATCACGTACCTTGCTTTTGGGAAGATCTAGCGGGATTAAAGGAGAGCATCTGGCGAGGTAGAAATCAGCGTCGGTCACAAGTCGAGATGGCGTTGCCACGGTCATCGTAGCAGTAATCGTCGCGGTTGTCGCAATCGTCGCGGCTGTCGCAATCGCAGCGAAGTCAAAGTGTCGGGCGTTCGCGGTGATTATCGTAGTCGTTGCCGTCGTGGTCGTCGTGACCGTAGTTGTAATCGTCGCGGTCGCGGTCGCAGTCGCAATGGTCGTGGTCGTCGCGGGGCATGGGCGCGGTCATCGTCGAGTGGAGTTCGACTAGAGATCGTCAGTGGTTTCCAGCTTGCAAGATGCTCTCCCTCCACTCTTCGTTTCATTGTTACGCCTCTTATAAAGGTTAGTAATACTCAGGCAGCTTCAGCAGCTGGCATGGGTCGACTCTCGCAAGCTCTCGAAGGCGAATCTCGACTTGCGGCGCGGTCGTGTGGAGATAGAAAGACGTTTCCTCGTCAGGAGCGATCAGGACGATTTGCGGAGGGAAGGCGCGGTCGATGGCGGCAACGACCCAGGAGTAGCGCGGTGTGCCTGCCGTAGATATCAGATCGTGAAGAGTGGTAGAGGACGTACCATGCTTGGCCCCGAGCTTGCCATTGCCGGCGTTGTTAGCACCCGCCGCATCTTGTCCCCTCCTCGTTACTCGACCGGGAAGACACCTAGCCTTCAGGGTGGCGACTGATCTTTCGTCGGACGTCAAGGCAACGATTGTCTGGAGCTCGGCTTTCGGTGGAAGGCGGGGACGAAGAACCGGTATCGGGTCGTTGGACTTCTTGGCGGTCGTAACAGAAGCGGATGCGGGCGAGAGTGGTGCTCTGAGCGAGAGCTGAGGGCGAAGAAGAGGCGCGCATGGCTGGCGAGAAGATTTCAGTGGCGCTTTACGCTCCTTCGGCCCTTCAAAAGACGACGTCAGCGCTGGTAAAGAGGAAGGAGCAGACGAAGCGGGAGGAGGGAGGTGAACGGAAGTAGGGATAATAGGGGAAGTGCGACTCTTGGCAAGGCCTTTGACGTGCATCCAGATACGAGCGGGTCGGCGGGAGCTGCCAGCAGGCTCAGCGTCGGACTTGCTCGTGTCCAGGGCGGCGTCGTCGGCATTGTTCAAGTAGATCGACTTCGTGGTTTTGGCTCGGAGCTTAACCCAAATGGACTTGCTGCCGCTGTTCGCCGGGTCGGAGGGTTTGGAAGAGGTAGGAGAGGTAGGGCGGGCGAATCTGGGAATTTTGGACGGTTTGGGAGGAAGAGGGGGAGGAGTGGGGCGGGTGAAGCGCGGGATCTTGGAGGGAATTCCGGAACTAGTGAAAGTGCGGAATGAGAGGAATGTCATTGTGGCGTGTGGGTGTGCTGTGGCGCGGGAAAGTATGAGGAGGTACACGGGCGTGTGAGGCAAGTGTGAGGAAGCAAGCAAGCGGATGTGTCGACAATTTAAACCGTAGTGACACAAATAACAAATAAACAATAATAAGTAATGTTTGTCAACTAGACTCCGCGTTGGAATACAGTGACGTTTTTACTGTGGCTGAGGCCATTATACGATTATAAGGATTGAAGTATATTCACGATAGTACTGTCAACTGAATGCTCGAGCCTAGCCGACGTTGCGAGAAGGAGTGGGTATGTCAAATTTCGCAGCATCTCCCTCACCGGACAGATCACTCCTTTCCCTAGTACCACATCAATGTGCGTGCGTTCAGTTCAGTATTCTCCGCGGGACGCCGTGGGGTATGAGCCATGTCCACAGGCTCGGCACTGAGGATAATGCCAAAAAAGAATTCCGAACATATTAGAGTTGCGTCTGTGTCAATTTCACCATATTGCAGTCGCGGTCCGGTCGTCTTCACCGTGTTGGAGTCTCACTGTAGATAAGAGCAGGAGTCGCCCCTGCGGAGAATCTACTGAATTGAACTCACCTGGGGCCTGAAATCATGATGGACGTTGCGACCAAGTCCCGCTTTCCACAATTGGACAGGGGCTGGCCTGTTCTCAACGTCGCTCAGCTAATTTCCGCATTGCGGATGCGCCTTTAGCCGAGTGACGTTGAGGGCCATATCGTCAATGTCACCACTTCTCACAAGAAAGGAGCGACTTTGAAACCAAATCATGCGTATAGAGCCTTTAATATGACCTATGGCAAAGTGGCAGTCTAGATAATATTATTAGATGTATATCGGAGTCGCAGCGCTATATAATCATAATACACTGCGACTCCAGTTCGATTTGCCCGACATGGTGAATCCAAAGAGAGGCGGATCTGCATTACAGCCATTGTCATTCACAATATTCGCTGCGGAACGCTTTCGGGTGTCAGAACCACGGACTTTGCAACCTTGCAAGTGTCCGACACGTTCCATTAGGCCACATTGTATATAGAAGAAGAAATTTACATATATGGTACAGATTCACAAACAGTTGAAGGAAATCCCATGGGGCGCGTTCTTAGTGGACTTCAGGTTTTGAGACTCCAAGCTGCCGGAAATGGCCCATTTGACAATCCGTATTTGACATTCCTATCTTCGTTTATTTTGTTTCTATAGCATTTCGTAAGGGCTCAGGGAATTTTTACTAGGGGATATGATGACAGACGCTAGAAACTTATTCCAGTGCTACGCCTTTGGCAAATCTTCATGCAGCATCCGTCCCCGGCCCGATCCTTCTATACATCGACCAAAATATACCATGGGTAGGTCGAATCCTTTCCGATCACTCCGTTCTGGACTCTGAAAAGTTAAGTGTGTTTCTCTGTTTAGCGATAGAGGTGCAAAGGGGTCGATGTAAAGCTCACTAAACAAAAGACCTCCGTATTTGCGTCCAACCTCACCAGATCCGATTCCTTGGAAGAACGGGGTCATGTCAAACGAGTAAGCCCTACGCCGTATGGGCCTTCCTCAGAAAGAGCAATTAGCTGGTTCATTTTTTGAGGTTACGGTCCGCATAACAAGTTCTTCGCTGCCTCGAACGATTGAGGTATTTAAGGAGGAGCCAATAGACAGTTTGAACATCATACCGATTCATCCCGTCCAATACCCCACATCAATGTCTTTCCATATCCCAGAAACACTCGTCGGATGGCCGTGGTCACGCCAACTTAACCCCTACTACATGGAAGTTGGAACCGCGTCCAGCTTATGGCTCAGAAGCTTCAACGTGCTTGATGTCAAAGCTCAGCGCGCATTTGATCTGTGTGACGTCGGTGCGCCTGCATGATGCCTGTCCTCTTAGTATCCTACCGTGTCTAACGATATACCTGTGGGCGACAGCCAGGTTTACATCTCTTGTATACCCGTCTGCTAATAAAGGTGAGGTTTCACATATTCCATGCGTCATAGTTCAGGGCGAGAAGTTTGACCAAGATTGCTGGTTTTTTTTGTCGCAGATGTGTTGAGAGCGTGCTGTGATTTGATGATGCTGCTTTTTATATACGACGAGCTCTCGGACTGCGAGAAAGGTTCTGTAGTGCAGGAGCAAGCAATCAGCATCATGGGCGCTCTGAGAAACCCTGGTACCCAGCGGCCTGGGGGCGAAAGTATCTTGGGAGAGATTAGTCGCCAGTAAGTGATCAACGTTAATCATTGTGATGTATGCCGATTAATTTAAATCTATGCAGGTTTTGGAGCAGGACAGTCGAGTGCGCCAAAGCAAGCATTCTTACACAGGAACGGTTTATCAAGGCGTTTGACGCTTATACGAGTAGTGTGACCATCGAGGCCATGGATCGTGACGCAAACACCATCCGCGACATCGAAAGCTACCTTGTGGTGAGGCGCAACACAATCGCAGCATATCCATGCTTCGTTTTTCTCGAGCTAGGGATGAGCCTTCCCGAAGATGTTCTTGAAGATCCCGTAATACGCGAGCTCAAGAGTTACATCGCCGACATCATTATTATTAGCAACGTGAGTTTCCTACAGCATCTGAACCATTTATATCCATCACCCAATAAACGGGTATCATTCTGATTTACGTACCGCACGTAGGACATCTGCTCATACAATGTCGAACAAGCGCGGGGTGATACTCACAATATCCTGACGGTTGCAATGCACGAGCTTGGAACAGACCTCGACGGCGCTCTCACGTGGGCGAGCGAATACTCCAACACTTTGGAAAAGCAGTTCATCATGGCCATGAAACAAGTACGCAGCTGGGGGGACAGCATCGACAAAGACGTCATGTGCTACGTCTCGGGACTTGGGAACTGTGCCCGTGCAAACGATGCATGGAACTTTGAGTCACAAAGGTATTTTGGTAAAGAGGGCCTTGCCGTTCAAAGGCACAGAAAGGTGGTTCTTCTTCCCAGGAAGGCGTGAAGTATGCTGTCTGGATAAGATACAAAATGTACACTCCATCTTCTCATGTTTGCTCTCCGTTATGTGATAAAACTGTGACATGTCGTTTATTTTGTTGCTACGATTTCATGTTTCTACGTTTTTGAGCAGAGAGACCACGGGCGGAAAGATAAGTCACACAGGCGGCACTTCAGCGCCTGCTAGTGGACCAGAGGTGGCATGCGTGCAGGATTAAGTTAACCGGCTGGAGAAGCTTTGGTATGACCGTTTGGTGTACGGTAGTGGCGTAGACGGAAGCGTATAGGTAGAGCGCCTGTTGTAGTGTTCCGCTCGTTATCGTACCCAAACTGCTAGCACAACGTTGACGGCATTTAGTGACCAGACCAGGCGACGGTCTGGAGACTGGAGATAGTAGTCCTCAAATTATGAGATGAAGACACGTATTTTTGCGTGTACAATCTAAAGATATGGCGTTATGGTCGCCGATACCAGCTAACCCTCGACCCGCCTGCGATGTTGAAACGGTTTTTGAAAATGGTAAATAAATTCTTAGCTCTCAAGAGATTAGAAATAGAAGAGGCTCTGATTCGCATTCCAGCCTGATCATGAGAAGTATCGACTGATCATCGATCATCTACGGTGAGATGATGCAATACCACGAAGTACACCAACACATCGGAGTCAGTAAAATACAAGGAGCAGGTGTCGAAGTTTCGTGCCAAAAAAAACACTAGCTTTCCTCAGGTAGTCTTTAGACACCAAGTTCTAGGCAGACCGCGTATTACACATATCAACGGATGAATGGAGAAAGATGAAAAACATGTCATCCTTGGATTTAGGATATGAGCAGCTTTTAAACTCAATTTCTGGAGCTGTAGCCGCTGAAGTCACTTCGTGCATATACTGAAGCACCAGACTTAGGACCACGAGTCCGACTAACTGCTGCCACTTACTACAGAATCCACAGGTGTGCGTCATACCGTGAGGTCTAACCAGGACCGCAACCTGAACAAGACAGCCGCAGCACGGTGGCGTACGCATGGCAGAGACATGACAGTGGCGAGCCTTAATGAAGCTACAATTGAACACCGGCAGCTGGGATATCTCTCATCCTGACGCTCGAGCATCATGTCGTTGAAGACGACTAGAAAAATGAAGTAACTACGACTCCACTGCGGTGATCACGCTGTAAGTGCCTACTACTAGCATTTCCGGGTTGCCACCCGATGTAAACGAACGAGGAAAGCCTGGATATCCAATGTTCAAACAAAAGAACGAGCGGTGGCGGCATTAGTGGCTGGCGTCGTATGACCAAAGTGATACGCACGGAAACTCCCTTGATTTCGTAGTATAAACTGAGAATTGACGCGACCCAAACTTGCGACCCTCATGTTAGTTAGGGCTTGATGATTGTTACCTTAACATGCCTTTAGCCACGTCCCAATCAAAACCTCGCATTTTTCTTGAAAGATCCTTGACAGAAAGCGTCAAAGCAGGGTTTAGCCGCCTGTCAATGCTCATAAACTTCAATAGTAAACCGAATCTGCGAGGTCGAGGTCTTCGACGAAAACCTCTAATCAATTCAGAAATGCGCCTGCTACAATCTTGACATTCGTGGTTGTCGGATGTCTTTACAGTTGTACGATGTACGTTTTTGGGCTGTCAACAGGCCTCGTATTACCCTTGGTTTTCCTCATTATATGCATTGCTCTTGTGCTTGGGCGTGAAAGACCACGACGCGGGCGGAGGACCGAGGAACATCTCAGAGATCTTGACCCAGTCTCGGCTGTCCGTGCTCGCGAGCAGCGTCTCTGCGAAAACATCGGCGTCAAATACTTCTAGTGAGGAATGAACCGCGTTAAAACGAGCACATACCTAGTTCATCGCGTCCTCTGAAGGCGGGCGGACGATCGTTGATTTTGCCTGGCAGTCGCTCGAGGAGGCCGATGGGAATGTAACGATGCTGGAACGAGAGCGCTTCGCAAAGGTAACGCCGAGTTGTGTTAACCCCTGCGGTGTCCGTGCCGAAGTGGCTGTAGACAGGAGTCAGTGAGGTGTCTTCCGAAGTAAACCAAGGTGCGTACCTGAGGCCGTACTCGGCGTACTACAGCGCGACAGAGCGAGGTTGATCAGCCATGCCAGTGGAAAGCTCTGGTTTGAGTCAGCCCACCTTGCCAATAAGCTCCAATCTCTCCCTCGAGCTAATATCCCACTCTCGCCGCTCTTTGATCTCGGTGAAGATCCACGGCTTGATGAGTGCCCCGCGGGCGACCATGATTCCGTCTACACCACTGTGCTCGACATTCGTCCAGTAGTCCTCTGACGAGAAGCAGTCGCCACCGCCGAAGATAGGGATAGGTGAGACTGTCCGAATGATCTTCAGTATGAAACAAGTAAATTTGACCATAAGCATGACTTACGGCCTTCCTCTGCTTCCTTCTCCCGCACGGCCTCGACGCATTGTTTGATGTAGTCCCAGTCAGCCAGCTTAGTGTAACGTTGCTGCCTTGTGCGACCATGAAGCTACGAGGATCAGATTAGTAAGTGCTGGGAAGACAAGTGAAACGCATGTACGGTGAGGGCTCCGACTCCACACTCGGCCACGAGCCGCGGCATCAGCTTATGCGCGTTATTCTTTCCGTCTTTTACGCCCGTCCTCAGCTTAGCCGTGACAGGCACGGGTCCGAGCGCCCGAGACATCCCAGTCAGGATTCTGGTGAGTTTTGCCTGTGTATCAAGCACTACAACGTAGATGGGAAGCAATGCTCGTCAATCATGAGATCCAAGAAGCATATGTCGAATAACACCTACGTGCAGACCCGCTGCCAGTCTTGAACACCAAATCGATCGGACAGCCGCAGTTTACATCGACGAAGTCCAGCCCCCACCCGGCCTCGCCCGAGCAAAATTCGTTTCCGAGGACCTCAGCAACAGCACCCATGGTCTGAGGCTTGTTTCCGGCGACTTGGACCCCAAACGTCTTTTCTGAGGGATGTCGTCGAACGAGTGACCACTCTTCACGAGAAGCTGTGAGGAAGGATGTCGCAAGACCCACTGAGAAACGACAGGCAATGAGTGGAAAGGGCTATATGAGAGCACGAAGTTACGTACTTTCTCCACATGTGATGTCAGCGCCAAGATCGACGCAGAGCCGACGGAAGGGCTATCGTGCATGTCAGCAGCATCTCACGAGATATGATGTAGGATGACATACCAAATTGCCGACAGTCGTTAGTGGTGCAAGGTCTAGATACAATTCAGCCAGCGTATCGGCGAGTAGGCAGCGAATGGCTTGCATGTCTTTCCCTTCCAGTGTAAGCGCTGTTTCTCGGCGAAACGACATCTTGCGTCAGGAGAATCAACAAGAGAAGCAGGATTTGTAGCGGCGACAGGATCCGACGATCGTTGTTCTATGATGCGTTCGGCGTTCGTAGCAGTAGCAGCGCTGGTGTCCTGCCCATCGCCGTTTTGCGATGTTTCGACGGGTGTCTCCGGCTCCTCTTTTTCGTCCTCATTCTTGGCCTCTGACAACTCCTTCATATATGCGTCCGTTATGGGGCGTTTGTACTGAGGAAGAGCAGGGGAGACCAAGCTGAGCTCGAGATAGTGATGGGGATGTAGCATATACACACCTTATGAGAGCGTAACAGCTTCAACGTCTCGGCATTGACGTAGTTGAGCTCAGTCGTAGCGACAGCAGCTTGAGCCTTCTTTTCGTCGTCCTCCACTAGCGCAATCGGGCATACGACTGCCGGTTCGCCGTTCACCTCTGTAGGACCCGTGATAACAGCGTGGTCTCCTAAGAATCTGCACTTGAGTCCGAGACGACACCACCCTGCCTCTTCGTAGACCGGGCATTTCGTTTTGGGGTCGAGGGAGGCGGCGACGGACGTGTTGGGCGTGTCTTCGTCCATTGTATTATCGTCTGCGCGGGCGTCGATGAATGGTGGCGAGGCGGTGATGTTCGACAAGGGCGGCATGCGGATGTCCCGAGGTTTAGCAAGTAGGTAGGCAGAGACGTCGTGTGTGAATCGACATCTTCACGTCGGAGCCTTGGAAGTAAGCAAGGCAGCATGGTGGAGCAGTAGGACATGCCACGTACGACGTTCCAAGCTCGCACACTGTCCCGTTCGCCACACGCCAGCAGAGCTCTAGGTCATCTCTGACCTTTCCGAACCGCCTCCCCTTGTTAGCGCCTCGCTGTGCCTTCTTCTGGTCCCGGGAATGTTTTTTGTTCCTTCGTGGACCCGATCCGTCTTCTTGAGCTACTTCAGCGTCCCCAAAATGGTGTTGTCCAACGTGAGAGGTTGATCCTTCCGCTGCATCATCGTCTGGGATGGACACTGGGGCTGAGCAAAGAATATATCTGTTATGAGATGAGATATCGTCTTCGGTTGTTTTGCACATTGCTTACTCGGATTTGATTGGAGCAGTTCCAGGCCGGACGTCTGGCATGTTGATGTTCTAGCCGGGGATGGCTACTAAGATCGAGAATGGCGATGCTAGAGAGGTTGGCAAAGCAAGCGGCAGAGCTCTGAAGACAAGTTTGGAGACGCGGCCGAGGACAGGGCTCGGATCAATAGCCGAAAATCTCGGCCACGTGGAAATAGCCCCTAACTAGCTGACATATATGCGGGCACAAATACAATTACTAATGTAATTATAAGGTATAACTACGGTGAAGCCAAAGAGCTTATTTTAAGACCTAATGTCCTACCCTTCGTGCCTAATGGCGATAATGCCCTTCAATGAGAGCATACCTATAACGAGGTCAGTGCTTGCTCTCATGGGTTCTGGAAGAAGTGCCGGTTTACCATGAACGTGGAGACGGAATCATCTACTATTAAGGTCCAGCGACAGATATAGATCACTCATCTCCAAAGTCCTCGAGGGCCGGGACACGCCGCCGTAAAGTGGGCCTCGTCGAGCATTCAATCTGAAGTTACCGTTAGATTGGAATGGTATCTTCAAACACAGGTCGGGATTCACTTACAGAGCAAATGCGGAATTCGTGTACGCTACGATGAGATCGTCAGCGCGGATGAGCATTTATATGATAGACCATCCCGCACACTCGATCAAAATTGCAAGGGGTATCATCGAGAAAAACTGAAGAGACTCGATCGCCACCTTCGTCCGTTATTCAGGCGTCTTGTCCCTCAAAAACCAAGGACACACTCACTGTTAGCAACACCAAAATCGAACACACACTATCATCGAAATCAATACAAGCCGACGAGATCCACGAGACCGCGACATACCTCGTGATTAATCCAGACTGCACGGACATTCTCGAGATCCTCTCTATCCGCGACTCAACCCCCCTTATTGGAGTCAATGGCACCAAAATAGCCCGCAAGAGATAATGCGCACCTCCGCACACCAGTTCTCCCTGGCCTGAGATACCAGTAGACCGAGCCGCATATCACCACATCGCATACTGCCCATAGGGCCGACATAGTGGATGCGAACTGAGCAATACTACATCGGCGATGGTTACCTTCTCCGATAGTATGTAGTGCTCACCACTTGCGGAGGAGCTATAGAGCCTTTTTGTAATCTGAAAGGCGTATTCAGTCTCTGTTTGTTGATTTCCAACTATGTGTATGTGGCTCACTGGGTCACCACGCCGGCTGAAGAACGATGGCGCGGAACGGATCAATAACTCAGTTGATACAAGTCCCGAGCGCGAGTTGAGAACGCACTTGTCGCAGCGGCTGCAATGTGAGGATACTGATGAGCTTTTTCACGAGAAGATGAACTGGTGTTGGTACTAACCAAATCCAGCAGCCGTCAATAGAACCTAAAGCATGTTCAATAATAATTCAGCACATTTGTTACGCTAAGGCACAAGTCAAACCGTGAAAGTATGGGAACGTACGATGATTCCCGTGAGCCACTTGTTGCGTCCGCTCACTGTGTGCAAGTAAGCCTTTACGCATGCTTGCATGCATTTGATACATACTCGCGTAGATCCGCCTGGCATAGAAGCTATAGACGTGGTTAGGACCTTCACAGCGCGCGATGCATGTCGATAACTCACAGTTGGACTACAGTCGGGATCAAGATCTGGGAAGCATGATGAGACGAGATTGAGAGATTCTGGATTTAAGGCTTACCAAAGCTACCAAGGAAGCCTAGTATGCGCGTCTGACGGTAAGCGAAAGAATGTACCAAAGGGCACAAAGATTAACCTTCGACGTCCTATGATGACAATTAGGACTTCATAAAAGATTTGAAGATATACTACCAACCACTGAAGCGTGATCAATGTGTAGCACCGCTCCCAATCCTCCTCGCTCATCCTATGACACCTGATCAAGCTTTTCCCTGTTAGATCCGCAATTGTGTAGGCATGGAAGGTGTCGAGGGTTCTACATGGTGAGCAGGCGATACAATGAGCGAGAATGAAGAGGATCGCTGGGTACATGTAGACGCACAAAAGAGTGAGAACCTGTAGAACGTTCAGGTTGTTGAGCTCGCACACTGAGGACGATCGCATATACTCACAAACAACCTCTGGTCCAGCCTGTCTTGAGGAAAAGTGCGCCAGTAATATATGGCTTGCGCCAAAGCCGGACCGTACATGCTACGAAGGTCAGCACAGGCCTCCATGCTACCGTCAAGGCGACTTTGCTTGCCTCAATGAAATAGTAACTCCTGAAAGGCGAGGTCAGCCCAAGGTCAATCCGCCGCTCATCCCTGGCACAGACAGACTCGAACGCTGGAACGACGCACCGATCAAGTCTGCTGCAAGCAGCGTCCTCAGACCTGAGCCCATAGCATGAACGCGAGGTGACGGTGAGATGAGATGAGCGAGTCAAGCGCGAGAAACCAACGCGGGGAGAGGCACCCAGTGAAATGCGAGGCGCGTCTGGGCGTGGAATCTAGTCCCAGTGGGAATACCGGTCGTGTATGCGCCCAACTCGGTCCGACTTCTTCACTTCGCTTCGAATGAATTAGTGGCTCGGCGGTTCCTGGCTATTCAGCTGTGCTATCTGGCCAACGGGAGTGCAGCGGGGCGAAGAATGCAACAGTCACTGTGGGCAGATGTGCTGATTGTATGCGCTCGGCTTGGGCCCAAATTTTCTTCTTACAAGTTCTTCTCTCTCACCACGGGGTCTGGGAATCGCTCGAGATCTGGCGGCCTCGCGACTTCAATGCGGAGATCGTGATGGCCCGATGAGGCGACCAGTGGGAGGTCGGGCAGAATTGCGGGGTGGTCGTGAATGGTAACGTCATCGGTAGTCCTGATCTTCGGTGTACTAACTAATTGTGGCAAGCAAAATGTATGCTTTCGTACGCCACCGGGTGCGCGCGCGTTGTGATAGGTCGTGATGCACTGCAACGTACTCACCCTCATATAGCGAGTGGTGTCATTCTGGAGTAAGGCCGGGGAGGGTCGTCTGCACTCCCCGCGGTGCTGATTAGCGCTTGACGGGACGTGAGAAGACCATCCAATATTGAACGAACGTTTCTGGGGCAGAATCATGGTCTCAATTGAACAAAAGCAGAGCGTGGTCAGTGATTTGCTACTCACATTCAAACGAGCGAACGAATCGGGGCCAGAAGGTTTGGCAGAAGTGATGCTGTGGATCACTTACTCCGTTGCTTTGTTCGGGACGATTGGCTTCTGAAAGTCTTTAACCTTAAAAGTTTTTGACGAGTGAGACTGAACATGCAACCACTGTAACCGGTCGCGACGAAGAGCACTCGTTTATGTTGTGTGTTGTTTGCTAAGAATGTGAAAGGCAGAGTAGCCCCTATTTTACGGCAAGTAGGTTCAATACGTTACATCATCAGTACAGTTGTGCGTGCGCGCATCAGACTCCCTCTAGGCGCTTCTTGAACATGGAACCTTAACTGTATACTAAGTTTCATTACCAACCACATAGAATAGAATAGGCAAAGTCGGAATGCACGGTCCGAGTAAACATCAATGATAGCGTCAATCCCCGATGGTATCTAGCAAAACGATACGAACATTGTCTTTGTAGGTCATAGCCTCGAGAAGGTCAGAGACGGCACGTCTGAAAGTGCTATCGAGGAGTTCTGAGAGAGATCGTAGCCAGCTGGCTTGCGCGCATTTAGCCTAGGTAGTCAGTTGGTGTCAGCAAGTCCCTTGAATGAGCCTTTCATCCAGCAAAGGCTTGGGAGCTTACACTGCGATTGTAGAGTTGATATATGCTATACGAAGGGGTATCAGACGAGGCTAGTAATGAAATTTCGGTCGAAACTTACACTTCGTTACAGCAGTGACGACGACAGAGGAGTACGGTGAGATGGAGGGGAATGCAGACTTTCGAAGTCAATGACTAAGTTACAAGGGGCACCAAACGAGACCTACGAAGACGGCTAGCAGACAAGCAAGAATACTATTCAATGAGCGGTTAGTGTGCCACGGAGAACTATAGTTGTCGAATTCGCGTTGCCAACCTCGTTATGATCCCGGCCTGTACTGAGACTCGAGTGATACTCGCGATCCGGGGTTCCGTTCTTGACGATATGTATTACGTAAGAATTAGATCAAAGGTATTTTGTGGTTGTGCTCACCGTCTTGCACCCGAGCGTCCAGGTCTGAGGTACCAGCAAACGGCACTGGCGATCATTATATCGCACACTGCGGCCAAAATTCCCGCAGGGATGGTGGTCTACTGCACGTTAGACCTACGCTGGGGTGAGTCGAATAGAAGGGAAGCCACTCACATCAACCGCTGGTGTATTGATTGCCGCTACCTCGCTAGATGCTCAGTCAGTTGAAGTGGTCGATTCAGTGGCCCCGATGGCTTGCCTGAAGATCGTTCCAACTGAGGTCAAAGTCATGCTTAGCCTTGTGTACGCCGAGAACTTGAAACTTGAGTGGGACTTGCCTAGTGCGATAACTGAAGAGGCATAATCTATGGAGACTCTATTCTTGGTATCAAGGGTAAAGGTCTTACCGAACGCTGACACTGCTAGGATCCCCTATAAGACTGTTAGACGGGGCAAGCGAAACTATAGCTTTCTCGCACTTACCACGGTACCGGTGAGCACTTTGTTCCGACCACTAACTATTGGACAAGGTGTGAGGAAGGTATTGAAAGTGGGGCCAATTTCAGCGTACTCGTCCATATTCGATAGCTGTAGAAGCTGAAAACACCGTTCATTCAAACCCCATCACTTCAATATAAGCGATCTTACAAGCTCGCTTACCATTGAACCATAGGTTGAACTAATATCTGGATGCGGCAACTCGGTTTGTCGTTCTCGAAGCCTTTGAGCAATCACGTACCGAAATGCCCAGAAGCATCTAAATTGCAATCCCAAAGTGAGCGCCTTGCTCGGCGAGAAATAGCCGACATACCTTATATTGCCTGATTGCTCGGGGCCCGCGATCAGCGAAGAGCGGGTCATCCACGGTGCAATTGCTCACCATGTCGTGCTACATGTCGCTGAACACGAGGTGCCCTGCGGCTGACGGTGGCAGTGCACCAAACGTCTCCATTGCTGATAGGCGATTGCGTACGTGTGGAGAACATCAAGTATGCTGTCTGACGATCAGGAACGAGCGAAGCGTCAAGGACAGAGTGAATGGACGTACAACAGGAACGAAATCTTGAGCAAGTCGACTAGTTAGCCAAAAGCGACGCGTATATGTGGGTGTGTCGCGTACAAACAGCTTCTGAGAAAGCTTGTCGTAAGGGAACGAACGGAAGTAGTACAACAGCTGGCCGAAAGCTGTCCCAGTCAATCTGTCGAGGAGTTTCTTCTAGTTGGAAAGAAGAGATGGATATGAAAGCCGACGTTAACGTACGGGAATCCTATTGCAACGGCTGAAGAGCGCGTGAAGAGTCTCAAAGTCAACGACGTGTTGTCCGAAGACAGGCGCGCCCAAGAAACCACGCACCAAGCATCCCAGATCGTGCCCAGGGGTCCACCTCATCGCTCATTGTCTGCTAGGGGTAAGAATTACCGTGACCGAGGCGATCGAGTGTTCTCGGTATGAAGAGAGGTCAATATGGCATGAAGATAAGGTAGGCGGTGGTGGGCAGAGGGAACGCAACGCCGAGGACGGTGTCGTTCTAAACTTGCTACAGTGGGGCGCTTTTTCATCTTCACACCTATACAATTAGACCGTCCTTGGCTGGTTAAGGCGCGTGTGCACGGCGGAAAGGTGGAAGCGTCTATTCGTTGCGCTTGTGGACGACAGGATCCAGTTGGGGAAATCTGGGTTTGAATTCGTGACGTGCCCTCGCCAAGAAAGGATATATATGCGCATCTGATTGGCTACTTCAGTCGTTGTCTCTCACTCGTCTTTTATACGCTACTTCGAGTTCTGATCTTGCTTGAGATGACCTGCGGTGCTCATATGTAAATTATAGGCTCAATCCCGTTGGCGTATCAGAGGTGCTGGAGAAACCGATAGGCTTTTGGAATGACTCGGGAAACGTTACAAACACGGTCGCGTGACGTTATATTTCGACTCAATAGAATTGCAATAGAACAGACGCTGAAACACCGGAAAACTTTAAGGTTTTTGAGCACACGTATGAGAAAGTCTGGTGGATCCTGGTAGACCCAGCGATCGGCCATGTACCATCTCCCTGGAGTCCGTACCACCGCAAAGTAGGTTCGTCTTCTAATAAGACAATACATGTAGGGATCCACAAGGACCCACAAAGGTACGCAGGGCACACTTTGAGCATTCTACACCCCAGCGGTAGCTCTGCAGACGGATGAATCGCCTGACGAGGGGCTTGCTGAGCTTTCTTTGGGCTTGATGACCCACGTGCTGATCGTCCAGACAACTCAAACAAGCTCAGACTACTGCGCAGGCCATTAGTAGTATATGCTCGCGTGCGTTCCACTATGGAGGTATAGTCCCCGGCACGTTCCGAAGGTAGGTCGTGTTGCTCGCGCGCGCGTTGAAGCGCGGGAAAGTTCAATTCAAAGGAAAAGGGCGACCAGCTTGAATTAATTAGCCGGCCATCAGGAATGTCCCTGCCACGATCCTTTGATAACGTCCTAACACACCCAAAAGTTACCAATTGTAAGCAGGAGCTCCACGAGATACCGTACTGGTAGGGTACTCAGTATTCAGTAATCAAAGATGATTGGGTTTGCCACAAGATTAGCGGCTAGGCTTCTGGCTCGATGTAAGTTATACCTGAATCGCCTTTTCTGAATCCGATGAAGTCTGGTGATTTCGAAGCAAGAAAGTGATCCGTAGAGTTTTTCTTCTCCTTTTGACTGTACTAATTATGGCTCTGTTCAAGATACCTTTCGAGTTATCATTGACGGTATCAGTTCAGCAGTGAAACAATCGAACACAGTGACGAACAGCTCGATTTTTCTTGTCGCACAATTTTGGTACTTGATCCTATCACAGTTAACGCTTTCGGCTCTGATGGGTGCTTGGACACCTCTGACAGCTGTATCTGCAAGCGTTAGAAAACGTTGGAGGCTCGGTCCCGTCGTGCGCGACGGTATAAGCCATTCGCAGTAGCACAGCAACGTCAGGATACTGCTTCCATGACTATATCTCCGACAGCCACATTAACGGGCAGCATAGTAGCGCCGCCATTGTGATTCCGTATTCTAATCCACCGCTAGCGTGTACGTATCAGGAATCAAACGACACTAAGTGAAGCAGAGTTCGGGCGAGTGAAAAAGAGGTAGAAATAGTGTGGTGAATATTGGGCAAACACGAACCAGTCCGACTGTCTTAATGCGTGAGCTCAGCAGGGGAGGACGGTTTGTATCGGCGGAGCAGAAAACGGGCCAAGAGAATAGATGAAAATAAAAACAAGGAGAGTTTAGAAACACTGAAATCCGACGTCTGGTGGATATTTAAATCTAAACACTAATCAAATATATTTGTAGTGTCGGCAAATGTTACTACCTAGGCCCGAGGCGCTGCGATCAGCATGGTTGACGAAAGCGAAAGGAAGGGTGGGGGAGACCCGCGCGTAGAAGTGGGTGTTTGTGGAAAAAGAAAAGGAGGGGCGCCTTCAACATGTTTTATTAGAAATTTTCATACAAGGCGTACCACGCATTTCTAAAACGATTCCCATACCCCACTCCTCTGACTCTCCCGGTTTTCGTTCGTGGCTCGTTGAAGGGGTGTATCGCAGGATGTCGTTAGTATGTGTTCAAGAAGTCGTGTCTGCAAGTCAGTCAGAGAGAGTTCGCCAAAGGATGATGGTGGTGAAAGAAATGCCGTGGCCGACGTACTGCCACCCGCCTACTTCGAGTAACTGTCGCACCCATGGTTAAATCTGGGAGAAAGATGAAGGCCAGAAGTTTCGCAAGTTCCCGGGTCGTCTACGGGAGGCATACTGTGTGCATCGCATGGTCCATATTTACTAATATCTCGTTGCCACGGCGGACAAAGACTCGGGAAACATATGGAGCATCCCACACGTAGACCCACATCATAGAGCGAGCGCAAAAGAAATGCATGAACGGGTGTCAAATTAACTAGCATGCAGAGGTGTGCGGCTGGCAGCATACTGCACAGTATAACCTCAGTTTACAGATGCCATCAAGGCAAACTATCAGCTGAAAAGACACGCTCGAAACGTGATTGACAGCCGAGGTGCTTCACGCTTAACTGTACTGTTAATAGCACCGACACCGAACGCCTGCGAACTTGATGCGCCTCTCGCGGGTGCATCGCGGACCTGAGTAGCGCTTTACGCGGTGGCCAACAAGTACGTCCGATCAGCCGTTCAAGAATTCACGAGCTAACGTCAAGCAGGCACCACTATTCAGAGCGTATCCTGCAGCCACTTACGTTTTCCCTCGATATGGCAAGTTCTGTCCAAGGACTGACGTCGGACGCTTGCCTAACGCCCGTGCTCGTCGCCATGAACATTTCTTCAGCGCCCGATGCAGCCAAGCCCTGTTGAGATTTTTCTAAGCCTTTTTTTGTCGAATTTATTCTTTCCGGAAAAGATTTGTGGCGAGCTAGTTGAAAGTGGGCGAAGACGACATACACCATCCTCGCCTCAAACTCGAGGGAGGCACATTACCGGCGCGTCGCGCCAAAGTACTCACACGAGCTGTCGCAAAATTCCACGATCCCATTTCAATTGTACGACAGCGATGCTGTGCGTAAGACTCGGTGCCAAGCTGAACTGTCTCAAGACTTCAAACTGTACTGGGGTTTCGAGCGGTAGATAGCATGGCGTGTCACTCAACGGTTGAAGGGGAGCGCATGGAAAATGAATGGTCATCCAAGGCAACGTCTGAATTTGACAGCCCGGTAGTATTGATACACGTGTACACATCGCCCATAATTTCTTTTTCTTCCTTATTGTCCTACAGCGAGCCTCATGCAGAAGACTCAGCAGCGACTTCGTACAGGTATGCGCCGAGCATCTTTGTCTGGAAACAGAACCGAGGGCATTGGCCAACAGAGCGATGATACAGCTAAACGTCAGACGTACCCCTTCGATGTAATTCGACCTATCCAACTTCTCGTTCGTCGAACTTGATACAACATATCAGCCTCCACCCTCCCTCGCGGCCAAATCTATAGCGAAACCACTCACTGAGCACCATCATCCGCCCTCCCCATCGGCAACAACAGCACATTGACGCCCAAGCTCTCCGCGAACGTGAGCGTGACGGGAATGCTCCCGCCCTCGCGCGTGTAGTCCGGGTCGATGCCCCACACGGCCTTGACGGCCTTGTGCGCCGCGCGGAAGTTCCAGTGGTTGATGTCCGCGACCCAGGGTGAGCCTGAGTGCAGCGAGCCGAATGTCATCTTGTTGCGCGAGTTGAGCGCGGCGAACTGCTGTTCGACGTAGGCGCGCACGAGCGGCTCGACCTGGGCGGGGGTTTGTGGTGGGACAAGGCTGGTGACACGGATGTTAGCGTGGAGCGGGTGTGAGGGGGGAAGGAGTGGAGACGAACCGGATGGAGAATTTGCCGGTGACCTTGGCGGGGATGACGGTCTTAGCGCCCGGGTCGGAGAACGCGCCTTCGATGCCGTGCAGCGAGAGCGAGGGGTAGCGCATACGGCCCATAAGGACGTCGATCTTGTTCTGTGAGAGCGCGACCTACATGTCGTATCCAATCCCATTGTCAGTATCAGTCAATACGGATGCGAGGAACGCGACCCACAGGCCCACCAGCAGCAGCCTCGATATCGGCCGTCTCGTAGTCCATCTTGTGATAGAGTTGTCTATTTGATATGTCACTCGTTAGTCGAACGCATATAATCAGGCTCATAAAAAGTTAACGTACAGTTCCTCTTCGGTCGGCGGAGGGACGAGCTCCTCGACGCCAGGGACCTTGATGCCACCATTCACATCCACAAGTGAGCCCATGAGCTTGATGAGGTCCGTCATCGGCTCATGCACGGTGCGTCCAAAGAGACCCGAGTGGAGATCCTGGCCAGGGCCAGTGATCGTGATACCGTAGTAGTCGATCCCGCGGAGACCATAGGTCAGTGCGGGTGTGCGAGTGTTAAGCCAGTAATTGTCTGACTGTCAACAGAGCAATTCAACACCTAAGCCCAGCTCACCGAGAGGACGAGAAGAATAAGGACACGTACGATGCACACACAATCGACGCCGTGAATCCAGCCTCCTGGCTGGGCCTCGCGGATGACGAGCTCGTCGAGGCCCTCCGAGCCGTACTCCTCCATGCCCTCGAAGACGAACTTGAGGTTGACGGGCAGCGGCTTGCCGAGCTTTTGATGGGCCTCGAGGACATTGATCCAGCCCATGATAGGGCCCTTATCGTCGGTAGAGCCGCGGCCGAGCAGGAGACCATCCTTCTCGACGAACTCGAAGGGCTCCTGGTTCCAGCCGTCCGAGAGCTTGGCCTGCACGGAAGCAGCTCAGTCTCGGTGAGTCGTGATATGGGGCGGGAGACGTACGGGCTGAACATCGTAGTGCCCGTATATGAGCACCGTCTTCTTGGACTTGTCCTCGCCGATCTTGCCCAGGATCGCAGGCGGGAGCTGCAGCGTGTGGCCGGACATCTCGTGTTTGCCGAGATCGACCTGCTTGGTGGTGACGCCGAGCGCTTGGAGCTGCTTCTCGAGCCACTCGCCCATCTTGATCACGTCGGGGCGGCGCGAGACATCGCTGCTAACACTGTATGCGTGTATGAACACACGATCAGAAACGTGAGTACTAGAGGAAGAACGACGAGCATTGAAGCTGACCTCTTAATCTCGACGGCCTCTTTGAGGCGGTTGATGAAGCCGCTGGCGTTTCGGTCGACGTACTCCAAGAACTCGGTAGGGGCAGGCATCGCTGGTGGTGGATATAGGTGGGAGGAAGATGAAATGGGCAGTCAGCAGATGTAGCAAGGTCCGCGACGATTACAAGATAGGCTCTTTCCTTCCACGTGCTGCAGCTACGTTTCGGCCCGACAGACGCGCGCTCGTTGACGCCCGACATGATTGTCTTTGGCCAAGTCCTCAGCGCACCGATCCTCGAGATTGTGTCCAGTCAGGTCCTCCTCCTCGCCTTTCCCTGCCATCCGAAGATTCAGTCCCTCCTTCTTAATTGACAGTCTCGAGTACTGGCTCAGCGTGAGGCCTGAGGCGAAACAAGAGGATGGTTGTAAGACACAGCGCTGCAGTTCGGAGAGATCATGGGAGGATACGTGAGTCATTGGCATCACTCCTCTGAGCACCTAGTCAATCTTACGAAGCTATGCGGCAGTAAGAAACGGATTTTTCTGATCCACTTCATCCTGCTTCAACAGTCAACTCTATCGCTCCTTGAAGGAGCGCCAGTTGGGTGCTCGGGTGAACCCCGACTGTGCGCGAAAACGGGATTACTTAGTGCTACCGGGCACCTGTACGCGCCGGCTTTGACCGGGACCGCTCGACCACCCTTACTGTGGGATGGCGAAGGCACGCTACATCGTTCGCAACTTGACTCCAGAGGATCGGATCCTCTCTCTCTTTTCTGGAGCCACCACCCGGCACCGTGCCTTTGCATCTAAAATGTATATTTTAGGACGAGCCTATCAGAATCCCCGAGATATCTTGACGCTCAAAAAATAACAGCTGACCCAGTACGATGTGATAGCCTTGACTTGGCCTTGACCACGTTTCGAACAGGCGCCCGGCAATGTATATAACACCATGGTGTGGGAAGGCGCCTCTATTCCTTCTCTCTCCCGCACACTCACCACCAGAATTTTCTCGAGCTCAACTATATTTCTCTTTCTCATACGAACGATGTTGCCTGCAATATACACCCCGACACGACAGAAAACAAAAACAAACCCCTCAGACTCCTTTCAATAGGTGCGTGACTTTGATCTACTGCCATCACTAGGCCGGCACTCATCAGCTGTATCATGTTCATAGACGGCGGTAGCATCCGCGGGCAATCCGCCTTGCTAATTTTCTGCTAGATGATGTAGTGTATACAGCACAAGGAAAATCTCTCTAAGACTCCGGGTCTTCACCACTACTTCGACGTGATCGGCGGCACGGGCACTGGTGGGTGAGTACTCAGTGATGTTCCCCGCTGTCGGCGCTGCCGGCTTCGGTCAGTTTCGATCACGCATCGCTGATGCGGGTCCTTTTCTAGGCTCATCACGCTCATGCTCAACCGTCTTCATATGCTGATCGACGACACAATCGCCGCATGTAACGCATGTGTCAAGCGTGTCCATGTCAACAACTATAGGCCTTGGGGTATCAATACATCCAAGCCCAGCAGCGTCGACGATGTTGTCCGCGATAACACTTTTGGCCCATTGGCTTAACAACTCTTACTGCGGCTTGCTGAATGGTATGTACCGCTTGTTTTTCCAAATTCCGCATCCCCACGCTTCTCGAGTTTCTTGCTGGTCTCCTGCTCTGCCTCCGTAGCTGCAGTAGATGAGCTCTTTAGGGGAGCTCCGTCGAGGGCTGTGGTGCTTCTTTCTTCTTCTCTTCACTGCTCCTTGGTCTTTCTCCCAGCCCCATTCCATGAGTATCGCATGTCGGAGCTGGCAGATAGGTACATTGAATGGTGCTGTCTTCGATTGATATGTCTGCTATTCTGTTATATTCTGTCGTCAACGCCCATCCAAGGGCAGGTTTATGTCTCTGCCCTTTTTTGCGGATGAAAGCTTGCGCATGTATGCAATCGATTGTAAGGTCGGGGCTGGAGATGGTGATGCTGGAAGTGCTAAAGCACAAGAGTATGTCCGATCCTCCGCGATTCTCTGTTCCTTGTTCTCGTTCAAATCACCTCTGATATCTGACTTATGACCCAGATCAGCGCTACGCTCGGGGTCCTCCTCAGCCTTTCATCTAATCATATTGTTCAAGCATGCTACAGCGAGCGGCTGTCGAAGAACGGAATGAAACATGTAAGGTGAAGCCCACTGTCTTGTGATGGTGGTCACTACCAACCTCATAGAAGTTGTGTCGGTGGAGGATTATAGGTGCTCAGTGTTGCTAAAGGTCGATATTGCGATCATCGGGCATCTGAATGTTGTATCGTACTGCGTTGCATCTCTTTAGCTAGGGGTGTCTTAACATGACATGATACATCGTTCGATGGTACAGAGCTAACGGCTGACTGACGACGAGTCAAAGGAGACTGGTTATCATCGCATGAGATGATTGAAGGTAGGGGAGGCCAAAGCAATGTAGAAAAGCGTTACAAGGGCCAGCGTCAGATTCATGCAACGAGGCATCAGATGCGACGGAGAGGGTGAGAGCGTCAGCAAGCGCGTCAGGGCTACTCCACAGCGCATTAAACGTGGCAGCGCTTGATGGCTGTGAGAGCTTCGAGGGCGCATACCGTAGGAGATCTAAGGCTGCTTGTGAGACCTCAGATTATCGTCAGGGAGGAAGAGCGAGCTGCGGCACGACTGCGAGGTACTGCGAGGACTGCGGGGGGTGATGGTGGCTGTTGACGAGAGACGGCGTCGACGTTGTCTATGCTACACAGCCATCGCGCTTCGAGGTCCGAGCGCCGAGAGGGGGGAACGTGGGAAAGGAAAGCGACGGGGATGTGGTCATGATGCTTAGTCATTGTGTTATAATTGAGTTGACGGTTGCCTGCTTCTCCTCGTTTCTCAGTGTCTGCTCGTTTTCCGTTCTCCCGCCAGGCCCTCCCATCCTCCTCTTCCTCCTCCTCCCACCACCCACCACATAGACGCAGGCGGGCAAGAACACCAGACAACCACCCCATGCCGTCGCCGTCGCCCATGGCGCTCAGGCCCTCCTCGCCTGCCTCGTCACTCTTCAGCAAGAAAAAGCAGCCCCTCACAACTGCCGCTTCTTACCTCTCTGCCGTCCACGAGGCAGATCAACACGCCCGTGCACGTTCTATCGACCGTTCATCATCCCCCACTCCCAACTCCACCCCCGCGCTCTCCCTTTCGTCCTCCGTGACAGCCTCTAGTGAAGACACAGTCCTCCACGAGGATGATGAAAGTGGCCTCAACTACCCCTGGACCCCGCCGACCTCCGAGCAGGTCTTCAGCACCGTACACACCGAGTTTGGGCATTGCGCCAACGAGAGCTACCGTTGTGTCTCCCAGCATGACTACGCGAACCCTGTCAAGGAGAAGGAGATCGAGGAACCGCCGTACTACATCCTCATCACCACCTACCTCAGCTATCTCATCCTCATCTGTTTCGGACACGTGAGGGACTTCTTTGGCAAGCGTTTCGCGAAGAAGTACTTCACTCATGTCATGTCCCACAAGGTAAGCTTTGACTTTGCCCTTGATTTCGTATTTCTAGCGCTGACACTGTTTTCTGGCAGGGTTACGCGGCTCTGAACTCGGACTTTGACTCCTTCTACACCCGCCGTCTCAAGGCTCGCATGGACGACTGCTTCTCGCAGCCCATCACTGGCGTCGCCGGTCGCACCGTCGTCACGCTCGACCGCTACTCGACGGACAACAACTGGACCCAGATTTACACCGGCACCAAAACCCGCGTGCTCAACATTTCGTCGTACAATTACCTTGGCTTCGCTCAGGCCCGCGGCGGCTGCGCTGACGCCGTCGAGGAGTCGATCAAGCGATTCGGCATTTCCACCTGCGGTTCGCGTCTCCAGGGCGGCACCGGTGAGCTGCACGGTGTCGCGGAGGCGCTCGTGGCCAAGTTCGTCGGCATGGAGGACGCCCTCATCAGCTCGATGGGTTTTGCCACCAACTCCACCTTTATTCCCGCTCTCGTGGGCAAGGGCTGCCTTGTCATTTCGGACGAGCTCAACCATGCGTCGATTCGTACGGGTGTACGTCAGAGCGGCGCTCAGGTCCGGATGTTCAAACATAACGACATGGAGAACCTCGAGAACCTGCTTCGGGATGTCATCAGCCAGGGCCAGCCGCGTACGCACCGCCCGTGGAGGAAGATTTTGATCATCGTCGAGGGTCTTTATTCGATGGAGGGAACGCTGGTCAACTTGCCGCGGATCATCGAGCTGAAGAGGAAGTACAAGGTATGTCTTGGAATATTCCGTAAAAATACGGCGTTTTCCTAACTGTTCTCCCTCAGTTCTACCTCTTCATTGACGAAGCCCACTCCATCGGCGCTCTCGGACCTCACGGTCGCGGCGTCTGCGACTACTTCGGCATCAACCCCCGCGATGTCGACGTCCTCATGGGCACCTTTACCAAGTCCTTCGGCGCAGCTGGTGGTTACATCGCCGGCCCCAAGACCCTCATCGACGCTCTCCGCCTCCGCGGTCAGAGCGGCGCGTACGCCGAGTCGATGCCACCACCTGTTCTTACCCAGGTCATGGCGAGCATGGCCAGCATCATGGGTGTCGCCCCTCCTACGTCGCAGTCGTCGAAGTCTGGTGTTATGTCCACACCGTCGTCAACGTCTACCCTCCGTCTTGGCTATATCGAGTCCGAGGAGCATCCCTGTCCCGCACCAGCGTCTGCCATTCCCTCTTGGCTCTCACTCCCTCCTCACCTGCAAGATGGCTCTGAGGGTCGGACACGTCTTCGTCGCCTGGCGTTCAACTCGCGTTACCTCCACGCCGGCCTGTCGAAGCTCGGTTTCATCACCTACGGCCACCCGTTCTCGCCTATCGTCCCTCTCCTGATCTTCAACCCCGGCAAGATGTCGATGTTCGCACGCATGATGCGCGCCCGGTCGACGCCCATTGTTGTCGTGGTAGTCGCGTATCCAGCGACGCCACTCGTCACCTCGCGTGTGCGGTTCTGCGTCAGTGCAGCCCATACGAAGGAGGATATCGATGTTGTGCTCAGGGCGTGCGACGAGATTGGGGATGTTCTCGATCTCAAGCATTCGCATGGCGAGCGGTGGGCTGTCGACGAGATCTGCAAGAGGAGTGTCGAGCTCGTAGAGGGTGTTGCGGCTGTGCAGGCTGCGTGAGGGGTGCTCGTCGGCGGCGGCTTCGTCGATGGATCTGCTTCTGACCTGATAGACTACTTTGTGACCTGTTTCCTGCCGACGTCGCTTGAGTAGGTTGCGGAATTTACAAGAAGTGGTATAATTCATAGATACCTGCGTGCTGATGCGTGCGTTGAGAGATTGTGTATAACGGCATTGGTCAGGAAGTGGATAGAGTTGAATACACCACTTGTACATGCTCACGAACACCTACACTTATGTTTGACGGTTAATGTGGATGTGCTTTAATCACAGATTGGTTTCTGTCGTGACTTGTGAGTGAGCTTGTCAAGTATAAATCTCCTTCAATCCTCTGTCAAGGAGTCATCGAGTCTGGATGACTTGTCTTGGCTTTCAAGCCCAGATATTGAGCTGGATCTCACTGATAATAGTACATGTATAGACACAAAGGACTACAATACCAGTATGAAAGCCTCTGGTCACAAGTTCATTGCATTACTATTAGTACATGACAAAACAACAATGAGTATCTACTCCTCCCTTTTCTCATCTGCTTTCCAGTGATTCAACCACTTCATGCTCCGTGAAGTGTAAGGATGATTGTCACCCAGAACCTTTTGACGCATTACAACAGTCTCAGTCATCAGTTGGATAGCTGCTTTCTTGTTTCCCATGCCATGCAGAGTAGTTGCAAGATTATACATGCTGGTCAAGGTGTCTGGGTGCTCAGGGCCCAGCACCCTTTTCCTTGCCTCCAGCACCTGTGTCTCCAGCTCCTCTGCATCATCCAGCTTTCCCTGCTGCCACAATGTGCTTGCCAGATTATTCATGCTGGTCAAGGTGTCTGGGTGCTCAGGGCCCAGCACCCTTTTCCTTGCCTCCAGCACTTGTGTATTCAGCTTCTCAGCTTCACCCAGCTTTCCCTGCTGCATCAATGTGCCTGCCAGATTATTCATGCTGGTCAAGGTGTCTGGGTGCTCAGGGCCCAGCACCCTTTTCCTTGCCTCCAGCACCTGTGTATCCAGCTTCTCAGCTTCACCCAGCTTTCCCTGCTGCTTCAATGTAAGAGCCATATTGTTCATGCTAGTCATGGTCTTTTCATCCTCCAAACCAAGCTGCTGTAGATTATTCTCATAAATCAGCTTTTTCAGCATTAGCTCATCAGCCCAGCTGCCCATGGCCTTATAAACTACAACCCACGATTTTGCAACATGGATGGCAATGTCACCCTGATGAGCATGCTTAATGTGCACGAACAGTTGCTTTTTGATAGCATAGCTTTGCTCAACCATGTTTGCAGGAACTGCCATAGCAAGCAAAGATTTGGTTTCTAGCAGGGTGCTTTGATCATGTATTCCCTGAGCAGCCCATTGATGGATGAGAGGATGCATATTGTATGTCGCATTTGAGACATGGATAAGGGAGTATTGCAGCAGCTCTCCTACCACCTCTTGAAATTTGAAAGTGTCCCATAGGTCATCTCCACCTCCAAACATGTTAAGCATCTGGGGTCTGTATTCTTCCCATTGCTTGTTGTTGAAGGCTCTTTCAAACAACCCCTCTGTGATGTCACTGTGATACATGCATGCACAATGCTGCAAGAACAGTTGTGCATCAGAACTAAGCTTTTCAAAGCTGATGTCCCATGTAGTAAAGGCTGCATATTGGTAGTCATCTAATCCCTGCTTAGGCCTTTTGCTCAGAATTTTTGCCTTGTGCTCTCTCAACAGCTGCAAATATTTTTCTCCTGTAGTCTGAGTAGACAGGATATATGCTGCTGCTTGTGCAACTGCCAAGGCAAGGCATCCCAATTCCTATACAAAATACATCATCATTAATAATGGCAGAGTTAGCTTGAAGTCAATTATCTCACCTCTGCAAGTTTCATGCCCACTTGACCCTTCACAACTCCTCTAGTGACATGAGTCAACAGATTTTGTGCATCCTCTTTTGCCATCTCATACACATGGCTGGTGGACTGTGGTCCAATCCCCAACAGGATACACTCCTGATTTCTGGTAGTGACTATCACGTTTCCATGAATGCACTTTGGAATGTAGTCACTCAAGCTGAAGCTTGGATCATCTGCATTGTCTAGCAGCAACAGCCAGGAGGATATCTGTCCTCTGAACCAGCTCAATGCATCCTGATATGTTTTCCCAGCACTCTTTTCAGAGGCTATGGTGGCCAGGCCAGTCTCTATGGACTGGGCAGATGAAGCATCAATCATGAAAACCTCAGAGAATCTAGTTCTGAATCATAATTAGCATGTTGCTGATACTTGTCACATCAATTACTTACTCAGTATCACTCTGATGCTGCCAATCATAGATGAACTTCAGTGCCAACTGAGTTTTGCCTGCCCCACCAGGCCCATGAAGCACAAATATGTGCTGCTGCACTATGCTCTTAAAATACTCATGCATCTGAGCAAGAATATCATTCCTGCCAGTGAAGTTGGCAGAAGGCAGTGGAACAGCTTTCAACATCCCCATTATCCCCTGTGCAACTGGTGCAGGGAGGCGATCCACATCAGCCACCTGAACCTGGCCCTCTCTGCGAAGCAGCACCTGGACACACATATCCAATCTTGAGTCCACATCTGACATCTCCAAATAGTGGGTGGTATGGGCAGCCACTGCATTCTGCCTATCCCATGCGTCCCATGAAACATCCTGCATCCCATGCAGAACATTGAACCGGAAGTACAGCTCCGGATAGTTCACAAAATGAGCCTGCAGCTCCTCTGCGACCTTCTCGCAATCAACAGCAATGCCGCGCAAAACACCGAGCAGGTCCGAAGACAAGCTGGACCGTGACACACTAGGTGCAGGCAAGCCAATGGTCGGAAGGTGACCAGTGCCAATGCTAATCACAACCGCGAGACTATGCCCCGGGTACACAGATGCTGCTTCACGCAGCAGGACATGGCAGGGGTTGTTTACCCCTAAGCCTGCATCAATAAGTTCATGGCGCACAGCACCATCAGCAACAGTAATGGGCTTGAAATGCCCGGGGTGAGCCGTCGTTGCACGAGCAGCCTCCCATATCATACAATTAGGACTCGCGTTCCTCGCAACCGGGTAGGTGCGAAGAAGCATGGGCTTGCCTGCGTTCATATTCTCTGCCAGGCTAGTACATACGAACCTGATGTCGACGTGAGTACGGGACCGCGGGGAGGTGCAAGCAATGATGGACAGGGTACGCACACTTTACACGCCTCATTGTCAATCATGCGCACGTTCGTGCCACCTCCAGGCGACATGCCGACGATGTCCTTGACAGCCGCGGCGAGGGCGTCCGCCTTGAACATCTCACGAGCAAAGGGCTTGAGCAGCCCACGCTGCATGGTGTCGGCTCCAAGCAGCTTGCGACCGTCGACGTATACGCGCTTGGCGAAATTGTCGTAGGCGGCGATGGCGTCGTCGATCGGCATGCGGAGGCGGCCGAGCATCAGCGCGATGAGACTGGATGGCGATGGGGCACGATTGGTTAGCAATCAGGGACAGCGGAGACAGCGACGACACGAAAGACTCACCCGCCTGTGCCTGAGCCGCCGATCATGTCGAAGTAGAGGTGAGGAGCCGGCGTCGACGCCAGCTTCTCCTTGTCTTGAATGCGTCGCATCATCTCGCGGATGATGAGCAGGGCCGACATCCCGCGGATGCCGCCGCCGTCTACAATGAGGCGATCGATACGATCAGCGTCGACGGCAAGGGGACTAGTCTGGGTTCACGTACCGATTGAAAGCAGCCGGAGGGGTTTGTTTTCGTTTTCAGTCATATCGAGTTTGAGTCAAGTCAGATACGTTTGGGTAAGAGTGATTTCTGGGTTCGAGGAAATGCTGGTGGTGGGTGAACGAGAAAGAGAGGGAAAAGAGACGCCTTCCCACAGCACGGTCTTATAAGCATGTCTGGGCGTCTGTTGCAACGTGACGCCAAGTATGGCAGCGTGCCGGGTCAGCTGTTGATCGTTGAGCGTCTGTACCATTCAGTAGCCTTGCTAAAGATATCGTACAGGCACGATGTCAACATGCGGCCGAAAGAAGAGTGCTCTTTGAGGAAGGACGACTTGTCTGGTATTGGTTCGTGAGCTTTCAGCACGCTGTCATCAGCACGGTGCGTTCTTACCGTGGACACAAGGGGTCAGTGCGGACGCGAGCAGGTGTTAGACGGTATTCACCTTGTGGGTATGCATCGCACCACTGGATAACTTGAGTTTATGCGTCTGTCGGAAACGGTGGCCCAAGGACAATAGTTACACGTACAATGCTTCTGTACCCCCTTTTCAATTTGGTTGTTCCGGGTCGACTTCTCGAGCGTACATACCGAGAGACCGAAGAGTACCTGCCCTCGTAGCAGTATGAGCAATGGAAAAGCCACAAAGTATCTCGCTAAACAGGACATCGAATCCGACAATATCATCCCCAACGACCCAAAGAATGCCCGAAAACCGAGACTTCCCGACAAGAACGTACCAAGGTAGCGACGACAGCAACCGGAAGCAGGCTAAAGTATTAGGAAGCGTCCGCAATGGTGGTTCATGATTTCTATCCAGGGTGAACCGAGACATCAGGGGGAGCTGGCGTAGATAGAAATGGCGAAGGATGGGATGCTCACTCGCGTTCTATTTTTTTTCCTTCGTCCGAGAAAGTATGCTAAAGCCAGTGTTTTCAGCATGGACGCGTGAAATCCTGGTGTGGAATACGAACGGTGGAGCAGGCTCATGCTTGCTGCTTCCGAGGCGGGCTTTTGACCGTCAACGGCCCAGCTCCTGTACTTTCCGTAGGATAATAGTCAGACTGAATAGATAGGAGACAAAGAGGAGGAATTGGGCGGGCGTAGATTCGAGCATCAGCGAGAGAACGAGGATACGTTGACGCGATCGTTTCATAGACAAGATAAGCAAGGATAACTGGTAGAGAGAGGCGATGAGATTGGAACGACAAAGAAAAGCAGCTTAGCAGAAGTACCTTGACAGAACGACAAGTGCTTCAGGAACGGAGGATTCAAAACGGCCAGCGTGGAAGGTGGAAGCTACGTTGTTGATACTTGGCCGTGTCCTGATGAAAGAGAGGGCGATGAAACCGAGCCAGCTTCTTTTGCTGAGATCATTGTGGTGAGCTGAGGGTTCTGGTCGTTTGGTTTATAAGAATGGCAATTACTGCTCAATCAGTGGGCATAGAACACGGTGTCGGTGACCGTAAGAGAGAGCTGTCGACAGAGCCCGACTGAGAGGCACGACGCTCGGGGGCGGTAGTGCGTTCGTCAGACCGCCGCGCCTTCGACTACAAGTCAAATCGCTTCCTCAAAGGCCATGACCATATCACACAGGCTCCTCTTCCCCTCGACGCTCTCGTTCTCTCAGCTATTTACAACCCGCACTTCGCATTCAGCCGTATCCGGGATACCTTCGTCGGTACTTGAGCCTCTGTGGCCTGCGCCTTCTCAACGCTTGCTCACCCAGCCTCCCCGCCATCCACGAGACCATCCAGAAGGCTCGCAGCGCTCATCATTGCCCAGTTTGACGTCCATTACCGCTCTCTTCCTCTCCTTGTCTGTAACAATACGACGAGAAGACGTCGCCCTTCATGAGGAAGGCAGCGACGCGAACGGTCTCAACGACACATCGGATTTGCCCTCTTCCAACGCGGCTCTGCCAGTCCTGCCAATATGAAGATGGTCGAAGAAGCTGCCCATTGGATCCACGTCGCCTTTGGCTCAAGCTCTCCCGCCTTCGTCTAATTCGGGTACGCGAGAGGGGGTTTGATTGTCGGTGTGCGAAGGGGCACAGGGTTTATTTACGTCGTACTCTTCAACGTGAGCAGCGGATTCCTCGTCGTCTTTCCATCGTATCTCACTAACAAATGCTGCAGTTGGAATTATCAGCATTTCACTCAGCATTCAACATCCGTCGCTTCAAAGCGCTGATAGACGAGGAGCTTTCCATCCATCATGCGCACCTCAGACTGCACCAGCATCATGCCCAGCGGTTTCTCGCTGAAGCTGCACCATTCCAGATCTCGCAGTGTCAACACGTCGCCATGAGACCACTTCGCCCTCGCTCCAGACTCCAGACTGCGTGACTGCGCTATCCTCATCCACGACGCGGTCAAGAAATGGGGCTCTTCGATAGCCACGCTCTCGAGGACAGCATCCGTGGGTTGCAATCAAATGATGGCATGGGAGTCAGCCAAACGAGCTCGAAATGAGCTACCGGGTTCGTTACCTTCGAGCGTTACCTTCAAATGCGGCATACTGACCTATCGACATTCACCAGGTTTATACCTTCGTTAGCGAAACCCGCTCGCACCGTGAATTACAACAACCATGGATTATACGTCTGCTTCGGTGTCAACGTTCACATCTTGACATCCTCATGTGCACTTTCGTCCAACCCTTCGTCTACTAGTCGCAAGCCATCTATCAGCTCTCTCCAGCTTTGCGGTCCGAGCGGCCCCTATGATTACCTTCGTGAACCTGCTCCAGCACGGAGAGAACATGGGCGTTGCACCGCCATCTTCCTCGTCATCCGAGTTTGGTTTCGTATGCATTTCTGCCTCTGCCTCTACCCCTCGCCGTCACTACGCCGAACGCGGACGCCATGCCAACTCTGCACACGTCGACCATATTGTCGTAGCTCAAGATTTTGCCGAACCTACAAGACGGTTTTGTCCCCGTCACCCATTCCCTTCCTCCTTCGCTCGTTCTCCTTCCATGCAACCTCTGTCACCCAAGCTGGGTCTGCGGGCACGCCCGGGACTCTCCTTAGTCTTCCGAGCATTCGGGCTCACCAGCCACAAATCCATCTTCTGGTTTAGCCTACCTGCATAGTCGATCTGGCTCGGCGTCCAGACGACGACGCTGTCGACGTGCCGCTGGCGCTCCGTCATCTTCCGCAGGTGGCTGCCCCCTTCGCACCGCGCTCGGTGGCGTCTTCGCCGTCTCTGTGTCCGCACTTGTCTTTTTGCTCTGCGCCATTTTATGAAGCAGATGTCGAGGTCGACTGCTCGCGGTGTAAATTGATGAAATTTGGATTATGGAAATTGAGTTTATGCGAGGCGTGATGGCGGCGAGTTTAATGTGCATTGGGGTTTCTGCGTTATGATAACGGGCAGTCAAGAGAAGAGCACGCGTTGGGAGAATTGATGGTGGGCTGTATGTCTAGCTATGAGACTTTATAGCATAACAACGTCAATACAGACTCTCCGATGTCTTTCTGACCTGCGACACATATTTGGAGTAATTTAAGGCGGAATTTTCAGGACCTCGTAGTGCACTTCTTATGCTTAGCCTCGAAAGCTCGACGAGTTATTTCAAGTGCCGAAAGTGCGCGGGGTGATGTTCTGGATCGTATCGCAAATATACTGGGCTATAGAGTGAGGTATGAACCGGTGGAGTTGTTCATGGGAGGAAAGGGACCGTGTGTGCATTACCTATGTTACACAGTCAGTGATTCATTTCGTTAAGTAAATACTCAAGTGAGCTAGGGGACTGTTTCGAAATGTGGAGGTAGGAAATAGTAAATGAATAAGGCGTACGAATGTTTCGACTGTGGTATGTCTCCACACAACACTTTCGGTGCTGTCGTGTTGACCCTAACCCCAGTTTGAGGTTGACTGGAATTGTTGGCGTGGTCTGTCGTTTGTCCGTCTTCTGCATTCCTTCTCAGTACTGTACTCAATTGCTCACGCCCACCTCGCCCACCTCGACGCTCGTAAGCAAGAAAGAAGCAACCCATCCTACCTCTCCTCTGTCTGCGAGGCAGATCAACACGCTTGCGCTCGGTCCGCCAATCATCCGTCGTCTCCCATGCCCACCTCCACTTCCGCTCTCTCTCTCGCCCTTCGCAACGGTCCCTAGTGAAGACGCTATCCTCCACGAGGATGGCGAGAGTTGCCTCAACTACCCCCGGATTCCACCCACCTCCGAACACTCAGCACCGCGCACACCAAATTCGGTCACTGCGTCGACGAGAACTACCGCTGCGTCTCTCGACATGACTACGCGAACCCCATCAAGGAGAAGCACATCGAAGAGATGCCGTACATGGGGCACAAGCTCATATGGCCTCCGTTTGACCTTCAAGAATGAGCAGCTCACCAAGACCTTGATCGCCATGTGTGGAGGCGCTGAGAAGATACGCACCCTTGATCGACCGCTCGTCCGACGTCCACCTCGGCTCGCTCGCTTGCTCTCCTCTCCCTCTCCTCGCTCGTAACTGGAGGAAGCGAAGATGTCGCTCTTCATCAGGAAGGCTATGGCACGACTGGACGCAACTGTACGCTGGCTCAGTCCGTTTCCGGGATTGTCTTCCGCCGACGGCGTCTAAACACAACACCGCCAACGCTGTCGACATGAAGATGGTTGAAAAATTGCCTGCTACGTCCACCTCACACTCTACCCAAGTCGTCCCGCCCATAGCTATCCGTGAAGGAGTCTGTTGGTCGCCAGGTGGAGAAAAGTACGAGGGTTATTTCGTAATATCCAACGTGAGTAATGGACTCTGCGTCATTTCTTCCGTTGCACCTAACTAACTGACAGTTACCGAAGGGTTGGATTACGGGCATTCCCACTCGGCCTTAGGACTCGTTCACCACCCTTCGTATCAAACCTCGAATGGACGCCTTTTCCTCTCCCTTCATCACCCGCATCGCACGCCGTACCACCGCCATGCTTGACCTCTCCTCACTGGAGCTACACCGTCACAAAAACTCGCGATGTGAACCTGCCGCTTCACGACTACCTCACCTTTTCCCCGGACCACTGCGACTACGCCAACGCCATTGAAGAGGCAACCAAGAAAAGTGGCCTTTGTACAGCTATGTTCACAAGCACCACTCGCGCGAGCTTCACGGTTTCTATTCAACGGAGAGCACGGATATGATGGTCAGCCGATCGGAGAGGGTCGAGTGCACGTCCCGGGGCAAGGTTCGTTTGCTGGGATTCATTACCATAATGTGCATTACGCCGACCTATCGTCTACCGTTCGCCAGCGAAAACCATTCACTCGTATCGTCGACCGCAGTGTATGCATCTACTTCGGTCCCAGCCTCTTCTAATTGGCCTCGTCGCGGGCTTTTCCACCAAACATTTCCTCATCAAGGTTCTACGTCTTTGCGTCCTGAGCAATTTCTACGCGAAGCTCGTGAAGGAGCTTGCATTATGGGCGTCGGCCCGCCGGCGTCCTCGACACTGGAGATTGGTCTCATTTTCATCCTTTCCTTCACTACCCCTCACCTCGGCGACGTCAAAGCCGAAGCACAGGCCGGGCCTACACATGTGTCGTACCTCCTACTTCCGTCCAGCTGGCGAGGCGACTCTCGGTCTCTGCTATTTTCGTTCGCTCGTCCCCCCTCCAAATAGTAACCGTCACCCGCACCACCCTATCGACTTGAGCATGTCTTCACGACTGACCTAATTCGGAGATCGGATGATTTTGTCGACGTGACGCTGGCGCTCTGCTATCTTCTCCAGGCGCACTAGTGCTGCCTGCTTCTTTCGGGCGGCGTTTGGCGGCGTCTCCACACCCGGGTACTCGCTTCTTGCTTCTCGCTGTCTCGCCGAATTAGAACGCGGTGGCTGCGGACACGACCGGGTCGGGGTCGGGGAGCGGGCGGGTTGGAGGTTGATTATTACGACGGTGATGGCAGCGATTTTCATACGGAATTGAATTTCTATGCTAGGATTACGGGGTGAAGACTGGAACGCGTGCAATAGCTGGCGATAGACGGCTTCACCCACAGCGAGAATTCACGGCCAGACGACGAAGATGGCTCATTCTCATTGCTCCTCTGATGAACCTCTGAAACGAAGAATAAGGCGGGGAACCTTTCGCGACGAACGAGCTGAGCGAGTAATTGACGCGTGTACTCGTTCTGCAGCTCGACGAGTTGTTCCAGGCGCCTTGGGCGCGAGGGGCGGCGTTTCCGGGCCATGTTGCGTTACCATGCTTGGGCTGCGGGATGAGGCGGGATGTGTGCGATTTTGCAGTAGTGTCAGGGAGGGAGGGGCTTTTGGTATTAGGTCGCGTATATAGCTCTCCTTGCGATGCCTGCAAGCTTTAGTGTTACTGATTACTGTGTGAAAGGCAAAGTGCGGAGGGTGGACTAGATAAAAAAAGGACGTAAGATTGCTTCAAACGTGCTGCGTTTTTGGTACTCCTTCGAAAACTTGATGGTGGTGTCCGGGCTGTAGCGTTAACCCTAACCCTGGTTTAAGGTTGGGCGGAATCAACGCACGCTCAGGTCCTCGTCAGCTCGAAGGCATGGACACGGATTTGTCTGTCTTTCACGTCTTTCATGCACTCGTCACGCCCTGTCCTCATATCACATCACTCTCTGCTTCCGTTTGTTGCCGGCCATGACGTAGACACAGGCAGATTGCACAGTCCAGCTAAACACCACCGTCACATAGCGCTCCGGCCCTCCTCCCCTGCCTCGTCACTCTTCAGCACGAAAAGCAGCAGCTCACGACTGCCACTTCTTACCTGTCCGCCGTTCACGAAGCAGACCAAGCAGACCAACATGCCCGTGCCCGTTCTATCAATCACTCATCGTCTCCCACCCCCAACTCCACCCCCGCGCTCTCCCTCTCGTCCTCCGTGACGGCCTCTAGCGACGACATCGTCCTCCCCGAGGATGACAAGACCGGCCTCCACTGCCCTCGGATTCCACACACATCGGAGCCAATCACCAGCACTGTGCACGCCGAGTGCTGGCATCGTGCCAACGAGAGCGTTCACTGTTGTCCACCATGACTACGCAAACGCCGTCAAGGAGGAGCCACTGTTCTATATCCTCACCACCATCCGCCTCCGCAACTCGGCGCAGCTTGTCATGGAGAGATGAGGATCACTTTGGTCAGCATTCCGTGAAGAGTACTTCACCCATGTCAAGACCCACAACGTGAGTTGCTACTTTGCCTCAATTCCGAGTCCCTCGAGCTGACAACCAGCTACTGACAGGGCTATGCAACTCTAAACTCGGATTTTGACTCCTTCTACACTCGCCATCTCGAGGCTCGCATGGAGGACTGCTTCTGCCAACCTAACAACTGGACCCAGATCTACACCGACACCAAGACCGGCGTGCTCAACATCTCGTCATACAATTACCTTGGTTTTGCCCAAGCACGCGGTGGCTGCGCCGACGCCATTGAAGAGTCCATCAAGCGGTTTGGCATCTCGACCTGCGGTTCGCGCCTCCAGGGCGCCACCGGGGAGCTGCACGGTGTCGTGGAGGCGCTTGTCGCCAAGTTCGTTCGGGATGGAAGACGCACTCATCAGCTCGATGAGTTTCGCCACCAATTCCACCTTCATTGCCGCTCTCGTGGGCAAGGGCTGTCTTGTCATCTCGGACGAGCTCAACCACGCGTCAATCCGTACGGGTGTGCGTCAGAGCAGCGCGCAGCTCCGGATGTTCAAGCATAACGACATGGAGAACCTCGAGAACCTGCTTCGGGACGTCATCAGCCAGGGCCAACCGCGTACGCACCGTCCATGGAGGAAAATTCTGATCATCGTCGAGGGTCTTTATTCGATGGAGGGAACGCTGGTCAATTTGCTGAGGATCATCGAGCTGAAGAAGAAGTACAAGGTTCGTCTGCATATTCAATATGAATACGCCGTTATCATAATTATTTTCTCTCAGTTCTACCTCTTAATTGACGAAGCCCACTCCATCGGCGTTCTCAGTCCCCATGATCGTGGAGTCTGCGACTACTTTGGTATTAATCCCCGCGACGTCGACGTTCTCATGGGCACCTTTACCAAGTCTTTCGGCGCCACAGGTGGCTTCGTCGCTGGCCCCAAGTCCCTCATTGACGCTCTCCGCCCGCGTGGTCAGAGCGGCACCTATGCCGAGTCGATGATCCCGCCTGTCCTCACCCAGGTCGTGGCAAGCATCATGGGTGTCGCCCCTCCTACCTCGCAGTCGTCGAAGTCTGGTGTTATGTCCACACCGTCGTCAATGTCTACCCTCCGTGGTTACATCGAGTCCGAGGAGCACCCCGGCCCTGCGCCTGCGTCTGCCATCCCGGCGTGGCTCTCACTTCCGCATCACTTGCAGGACGGCAGCGAAGGTCGCACGCGCCTTCGTCACCTCGCGTTCAACTCGCGTTACCTCCACGCCGGCCTCTCGAAGCTCGGGTTCATCACCTAAAGTCACCCATTCTCGCCCATCGTCCCTCTCCTCATCTTCAACCCGGGCAAGATGTCGATGTTCGCGTGCATGATGCGCGCCCGGTCGACGCCTATCGTCGTCGTCGTTGTTGTGTACCCCGCGACGCCGCTCGTCACCTCGCGTGTATGGTTCTGCGTCAGCGCTGCGCACACGAAGGAGGATATCGATGTTGTGCTCCAGGCATGCGACGAGATTGGGGATGTTCTTGATCTGAAGCATTTGCATGGCGAGCGGTGGGCTGTCGATGAGATCTGCAGGAGGAGTGTCGAGCTGGTGGAGGGTATTGCGGCTGTGCAGGCTGCGTGAGGGGTGCTCGTCGGCGGCGGCTTCGTCGGTTGGTCTGCTTCTGACCTGATAGACTACTTTGTGGCCTGTTTCTTGCCGACGTCGCTTGAGTAGGTTGCGGCAATTACAAAAAGTGGTATAATTCATAGATACCTACGTGCTGATGCGTGCGTCGAGAGATTGTGTATAACGGCATTGGTCAGGAAGTGGATAGAGTTGATTACACCACTTGTACATGCTCACGAACATGTACTCTTATGTTTGGCGGTTAATGGGAACGTGCTATAATCACAGAAGTGCTGCTGTAGTCGAGTTTGTGAGTGAGCTTGTTGAGTATAACTTTCCTTCAACCCTCTGTGAAGGAGTTATTGAGTCTGGATGACTTGCCTTGGCTTTCAAGCCCGGATATTGAGCTGGGTCTCACTGATAACAGTACATGTATAGACACAAAGGACCACAATACCAGTATGAAAGCATGTGGTCACAAGTTCATTGCATTACTATTAGTACATGACAAAACAAAAATGAGTATCTACTCCTCCCTTTCCTCCTCTGCTTTCCAGATCTCCAACTGCTTCATGCCCTGTGAAGTGTAAGGATGATTGTCACCCAGAACATTTTGATGCATTGCAACAGTCTCAGTCATAAGTTGGATAGCTGCTTTCTTGTTTCCCATGCCATGCAGAGTAAATGCAAGATTATACATGCTGATCAAGGTGTCTGGGTGCTCAGGGCCCAGCACCCTTTCCCTTGCCTCCAGCACCTGTGTCTCCAGTTCCTTTGCTTCATCCAGCTTTCCCTGCTGCCTCAATGTGCCTGCCAGATTATCCATGCTGGTCAAGGTATCTGGGTGCTCAGGGCCCAGCACTCTTTTACTTGCCTCCAGCACCTGCGTCTGCAGCTCCTCTGCATCATCCAGCTTTCCCTGCTGCTGCAATGTGAGAGCCAAATTACTCATGCTGGTCAAGGTGGATGGGTGCTCAGGGCCCAGCACCTTTTTGCTTGCCTCCAGCTCCTGTGTCTCCAGCTCCTCTGCTTCATCCAGCTTTCCCTGCTGCCACAATGTGCTTGCCAGATTAGCCATGCTGGTCAAGGTGGATGGGTGCTCAGGGCCCAGCACCCTTTTCCTTGCCTCCAGCACTTGTGTCTCCAGCTCCTCTGCTTCATCCAGCTTT